TAAAAACTAAATAAGTTCCTAAAGAAAAAAAATTTTGCAAAAAACAAAAAGTGAAGAACCTTCTTAAGGATACTTTTTTTTCGTTCACTGTTCTTGCGGTTTGGCATAGTTGCAATGCTCTATCCCCCCTTTTAGTTGGTGTCTGTCGGTTCCGTCAAAGTGTCGCATTGGCCTTTCCCAATCGATTGGCAGTAGCAATAAATGAATTCGTTCCTCGGAAATTTGCTGCACAATTTGCGATGCCATCAAGTATTCATAGGAAGCGGCAAAAACACGAAAATTAAATTGTTCACTTTATGAGGATATATAATTCATATTGATGCTGGGACGAGGATATCAGCTTTCATTTCAACAGAAAGTAATTAAGTGGCAATGTTTGCAACGAGATTTTTAATTAATGTCTGTTGTTTATTTATTTCTTTTGCATGTCTGAAAATAATTCTGCCCTGATTGAGTGCTATTATTTTTCTGCATATAATCCATATATTATATATTTACTGTATAGTAAAGCAAGGCTTATTTCAGACATAATTTTGCTGAGCAACTCCCGTACTACTTTCCTCATGTGAATGTTCCTATGAAATTGACTTCTGACGGGTTCAGTGAGCATGAAATAATCCAATCCGAATATAATCAAAGGAACTTCCGCTTAAGCCCCGATTCAATTTGTTGCACAGTGAACTTGTAAACCCCAAACGTACTCGCTTGCTAAATTATTTATTCATGCCCAGCAGAAACTGTTTTTATCCACTTTTTATTCTGGCAAAGCCAGCCAGCGGAAAATGTTACACATACGCCCCGTGTGACAGCAGACAGCAGCGATTTGTTTGTTTGTTTGCTCGGGTTTTGTGTCTTCCCCATGTTTGTCCGCCGTCTCCTTGACTTCTGCTTTGTTGCATTTGCATAATGAGTTCTTCTTGGCCATGGTCGACGGCCCTGCCATTCGGCAGTCAAAGGTTGCAGGCACAGGTTGCTTTCCCCTGATTTCCCCGCTTTCCATGCCCCTTAGCTGCCTGCAGCGAGTGGCACGTGCTTGTCACTGTTACTCTATCTTTGCATTTGTATCGGTAAGCCCAGAGAAAAAATAAAGGGCTGTTATTAATTGGAATAAACATATTCCTTCTAAAGTCTGGCTTGTTAGCTTTAATAACTGATTACCTTTTGTTAACTTGAATTTGTATTTTAATAAATGTTAGATCCAATTAATCATAATATCAGTAAGCAAAAAACCCCAATTAAAGTTTGATTATTTTTTTTTTCTGTGTTGGTTCCATGGAAATTTGTTGCGCGAGCGGCAAAGTTTTGTTTTTGTTTGCAATTTCCACCAAGGTCAGACCGGCTGTTCATTATCGCTGTGGTTGTCGTTGCTTCTGCCTTTTGGAAGGGGTAATTTCATCCCCCTATTAACTGAAGTCATACAGGCAAATGAGCAACTGGAAGCTCGAGAAATTCTACCCACACTAATAGGAATCTTGGCATAATGAATTCCTACTCCGCTTGTAATTTAACTTTTAACTAACGGCCAATAATTTACTAATATAAGGACTGGAGCTGTTACAATTGGAATTCAGCAACAGCTGCACCACTGGCCCATTACGTATGCGCAGGGTGAGCCATGGGACCCCAGTCAGCTGGCTAATTGACGACAGCAAGCGATTTAGAGAGTATCCAACTGCGGGAGAGGTATCTATAGAGAAAGAGATTATATGGAACTGGCGGCTGGAACGATCGGTAACTGCAAACTGAGAACTGCAAACCGAGAATCTGGGCCTGAGATAGCGGTGACTTTTCCAAAGTCGTGAGCGGACCAAAACTGGCCACAAATCCGTGGGATTGAAGGTGATTCGCTGGATGCTTGAAAGCTCTCGCTTGGAATCATATTGTTTTATTTTTTATATAATTGTTGGGTCTGCGAGCTTTTCGAGATATCAAGTATTTATCTTTTGCCTATTTCGTAATGCTCTCTATCGTTCCTTATTGATATTAATTAGTCTGGGCACTTCCTCAAGCTGTTAGTTATCGGATCAATAGTTAATTAGTTTCCTGGACGGAACGTTACCTCATCCTTATCTGGCATATTCACTTATACTTATGAACACAATCGAAAAGTCTATTAGATCTTCGCGAATTTAGGCACGTTCGCGTTATCTTGTTATATATTCGTCTGTCTTAAACCGATAACTTAACCTTTGGTTAAGTGTAATTTTAATGGTCGATTATGCAGCCACTGTAAGTCCTTGATTTTTGGTTGCCTCTTCGGACTTTATTGTAAATATTATAATATTTTATTTTATTTAAAGATTGATAAATTATTTTCCAATGTCCGAACCGGATATATTTAGCGCCAAGTTTATCGAATTTCGGATCCGACTCGTGATGTTTTTCTCTGGTGGACGCGCGCGATTTTCTCGTTCTGTCATCCGCTGGCGTCGCGCTGCTTTTCCATTCTGAGCTGTCGGAATTATAGAATCGAGAGCTTTTCCGCTTTCAGTAACTTTTACGACCGAGAGAGAGCCGAAAAACAAATAATAAATAAAAAGAGAAGCCGTCGGCGATTGCATTTCAGATTCATATTAATTTTGATTCTCATTTCGCTGTGCTATTGTTCGCTGCCCGGGACGGTTTTATTTCTTTGGCACTGCAGTTCCAAATAAACAATAACACCGATGCAACTATCGACTGCAAAACATATAGTATGGCTCTCACCAGGGTGGTGTGATGTAGGATAGAAGTGCCGATTTCATAAGCCCTAACTTAACTTATTTGATAATAGATAACTTCAGTGTGAATCCTGGCTGCAATGTGTTCACGGAAGTAATTCAATTCTAAGTGGTTTCAAGGTGCGACCATACGCTCTGTTCTTCAATCACACTTCTTACATTCGTGGTCAAGTTATTAGAAATTAAGAATATAAAAAAATGTATGTGATAGGAAGCGACGTTTTCAATAATTGTACCTGTATATCTCAAACTAATACTTGGTCAATCTGTATCCGAATGATTGAATTAGAATTCTCTAACAAATTGCATTCAAACCATGGATTTTGTTTTTAGTTATTAAGTAACGTTAGTTCTTTTAGGGCTCTTATTTTTGTGTCCCCATCTGTTTATTCACATGCATGGCTGGCAAGGTCACAATTTTCGAGCGTGCCAAGTGGTTGGCGATTTTACGCTGTGAAAATGTTCTTAAATTCGGATGCATTCATTCACAGCTGCTCGAGTTTCTCTGTTTACAATGTAAACACGTGCTGGCAAAAATTCTTCTCAAAAAAAAAAAAAAAAAACGAAAGAGAGGTCTTGTTAAGAGAGACCGAGAAGAAAGGTACCGCCGCAGACATTGCGTATACGCATCGTTGGCCATCTGCTGAGGGCACGTGAATAAAGCGTGTTTTGGGCGAGTTAAAAATAGCAAGGCGGGCGAGAAAATTGTGTTATTGTATTAACGTCACTCTGGCAAATGAGGAACGCCGTCTCCGCCCCTCTAAAAGATTTTAGCAAGGCCGTCCCATCCTTCAAGTTTTTTAGAGGGTGGAGTTCGTTGTTCGTTAAATAAAATGAACAATTACGAGCACCAATCATGAGCAGCAAGTTGCACGAACCGACAGAATTTTTGTCATGAAGGTTAGCCAAATGTCAGTTCCGTTCCCCTCCTCCTGAAATGGGGTGTCCTTTTTGTGACACGACAGGCACCAGCTCGGGGATTCACAAGCACAAGCGCCGCAAAAGGACCTCCACTTCCGCATTGTCACATACAACCTTTAAAATCGCTCATGCTACTACATTTTCACTGTAGTTCCGGAGAAGGAGTGACGGATGATGGGTGCGAGAAGCCCTGTCAGCTGATTGCAATTTATATCTTTGCTATTTATTATATCGCCTTTTTGGCACCTACGATTTCGCAAACTCATTGATTTATAAATTCGCCATGTATTTAATTGTAGGATTAATCTAAACTTGTTCAAGAAATACTCCACAAAAAGGATATTTACTAATTCAACCAGCTTGTTTATACTTTTCCGCCTGTGGGCACTTTTGCTCATTTCGTTCCTTCTCCAGTCGCACTTATTTTTAGACCGAGCACCTAATCCGCCTCTTGGGTGGAAAACGTTGGGCGTGGGGCTCCCAGAAAGGGTGGCTTGGTAATTAAAGCGCAAACTGGCGCCCACTTGATGCAGCAAGACAAAGGATAAGCTCCCGCGAGTGCACTTACTTCTTGGCATCCGGCGATTGGCAGAGTGGGAATCCAATTAAACGGAAACGGGATGTACATTGGCATTATCAGTGGCTCTGCGGGTGGGAAAAGCTAGAAAGCGCTGACTTTTGGCGCTTTCGCCTCAGCAAATCCAGCAGCGATTGTAGGGGGCGATTTTCCACCTGACCCCAGGTGGTCGTTTTCAAGGAGCTGCTCTTTTATCGATTTTTACGCACTTTATTCCGCTTATTTAGCGGGCAATTCGATTCACTGCGATTTAGCACTTGAGTATATATTCATATAGGTTCCTGTTCCTCAAAGGCACCCTGATGGATGGAGGCAATGGCTGATGCACTGCGGAACACCTCGGAAAACAGGACCGTACCAGTCGGGAAAACGCGCTAAACTGGATGACAACATGGAAAACTCGTGTTAACAGGGGCCCAAATGGTGGTTGCGGAGGGAAATGTTAAGCTACGAAGGTAATGTTACATTTTCCAGCCTTGAGGAAAATAAGCAAACTAAGTAAATATTCAATATATTTAATCTTTAATTTACTTAAATTTTGTTTTTAAGCCATACATTTTTATTAAAACACTTCTGCAGAAGTTACAGCTGATTATGTGAACCGGATAATCAGGTTTACCTAGGGATATTTTCTACCCCAGCTGTTGGTGGAAAAGTCAAAGCGCCATCTTTTGGCGAACGCCCACATTTTTAAATAGGGACAGAAATAACCAACAAATCAGAAGATTTATTTCCTTCAAATCTAAATTCCTATTTGCACAACCCATTAAAACTCAAACAAATGGCCAACCATAAACCAGTAGTCATAAATATTTATTCTTTTTAGTACAATAGGTAAGCATGCACAGTTTAATAATAGCGTATCATGATGATTCCTTTTTGAACAACAGGTTATTGCAAGTAGTAAGCCATAGAAGGACACGACTCCTTTCGGAGCGCCGCGAATAGTTTGCACAGTAAGCTGTAAGGGCGAGAGTGGGTGTCGGGGAACCCCGGACATCTGCCTAACATATTAAATATATATAGTAGATAGTAACGAACGCAAGGGTAAGCCACAATTGAAAATCACATTGGGGTTCTTAAGTGAAATAATGCAACGAACGGAAAAGCCGGAACGCAATAAACAACAACAAATGCCGCCGAGTGCTAAAAGTGATGTGTAGACGATCCTCGGGGATCAACAGCTTGCAAAAATACATTTCTCTCTGTTTGCCGAAAATAGTTACTCTTTCTCTAACTGCCTAAATCTCTGTAATTTCCATGGTTAATCACTGTTTGACACCCGAAATTGGAGCTATTGCTGGATCTGCTGGGTTCTGATCTGGTTTTAAGCGACTACCTGCGCAGGTCGATGACTTTGATCTTGGCCTGGTTGTCCATTCGAATGTGCTGCGCCTCCATGAACAGCGGCGGGTCGTTTGGGTGCGGATGAAAGCCCGACTGCCGACACTGGGCGATATAGTCCAATCCATAATGTGGCGTGAGTATAAAGAAACCAGTGCTGCAAGCGACAGATATGGATAGCAGATAAGCAAGGGCTTTCCAAAATGACTCATGGTTCACTCACGTGTTGTACTTGGGGGCACACACGATGGCCAGTGCCTCGGGCATCATGATCTGATAGGAGCAGTGCGTATGCAGGTCAACAGAGGACAAAAACGCAGTCTGGGTGGGATGGGTCTGCGAAACAGGTGCGTTTTATAAATAAGGAGGAAATAATAAAGGTATATAAGTTGCATACATGTATCCATCCCAGCGTTATCAGCTGCATCTGGTCCTGCACATCGAATATCTGCTCCTCGTGCATCGTGTTGCAGCTATCCGGAGTCCCCTGCTGCTGCGGCGTGATGATGTGCGTGATGTACAGCTTGTTCTGGGACAGATGACCCGCTAGCACTCCGCACGTCTCGATGTTCTTCGAGGTGTTGGCAAGAGCCAGTTTCAGGAACACTTCCATGGTGTCCCCGGGCACGTGAACGAGGCGCAAGGAGCCCGCCAGCAGAGAGTCCGAGCGGTTGTACGCCGGCTTCTGGTTGCGATCGAAGCTAGGCTTAGAGCTGAAAAAAGATTTGTTGATAAATTGATTTTTTGAAGGCGGTCTAATTTCTATGGTTATCTTCTAGAACAAATCCCTTTTTAAAGACCCTCGTTTGAGTTAAATGGAGTTTTTCTGAATAGCTAAATAACGTATAGATAGTGAAATCTACAAGTTTGAAGTATCAGTGTTATAGGACTATCAGTGCTCTTATCAAATTTAGCCACAGTGGGATCGTCTTATTGGCGACGATCGTGCGATAAGTAAGTTCCGGGGCTTATGTTTGTTTGAGGTGCCTATTTTTGAACCTCGAAAAGGGGAATGCAGTTTATAATTAAATTTGCAAATCATATGTGAACTTAAAGCAACGCAGCTTAACTGTGGTGACGGTATGACGAATTTGTTTACACAATTCCGCGAGGTTTCCTCATTTGGACTGTGAAACCAAGTAGGGTGTTTGTAACCACAATTTTGTTTGAGCAAAGGAAGATGACTGTGAACTGGCTGACTAGTCTGATTAGGGAATATTCGCTTCATAACTACTTATACTAAAACCTTTCTTTGGATCTCACTTGGTTGACTTATCGGCGACTGCATCACTTGCAGCAGGGAGCAGGAGTCCCGATCCCGGCAGACTACGGTTGGCGCCCGTGGGGAAGTCATTGGGGTAGACAACCTGGTCGAGCAGGCTCAGATCCGGAGCCGACGGCTGGTTGCCCTCGTCGATGAGCACGTGCAGGTTGGCCGGGATAAGAGACGGGATGCCACTCGACCCCGCCTTCTCCCTCTCCCTCTGCCGCTGGCGCTCCCTCTCCCGCTCCTTCTCCCTCTCCAGTTCCCTGACCCTTTCCGCCTCCTTGCTGGCCAGGAACTGCTCGTACTCTCTTTGGTAGTGAGCCAACAGCTTGGCGCGCAGCTTTTCCGTTGTGGGCATGATCTCGTCCTTAATCTTCCTGTTGATGTCGCGCACCTCGGCCTTCACGTTGCCGTAATCCGGATGCTGGCGGATCTTCTCGATGAAGAGGGTCATGTAGCGCAAGTACAGGATGAAGGCGTTCTCGTGGTTGCCCTCCCGCTGGTAAACATTGGCCATGCGCAGCATCTCGGTGCCAGAGCGATAATACCTGCAAGGACATGGCCTGTGAGAACTGAGAGCCGCCAGGCCTTGGCCACGCAAGGTCGCAGCCTTGGGTGCGTTGAATTGGCCGTGGAATGACCAAAGACTCACCGCGTAACGGGCATGTTTTTGTCCACCTCGATGAGGTTGCCGCAGTGGGTCAGGTGCTTCATCCTCTCCTGGGGTTCCACGACGCCCATGCTCATGTTATTCACAGCCTTTGACATGGTTTCACTTGCTCCTGCAACGCCAGCTCTCAGTTCCCGAGTTGCCCCTACCCTGTTCTGTGGAATTCCTTTGGCTGCTGTCCTGGGTTATTGGTCGCGGGGATTGGACGCAATCTCGGCTGCCAGTTTGCTGCTATTCCGCAATCTTCTGTCGTGAAGAATTACTCATAATTACGCAGGTGGCGTCCTCTGAAAAAGCTGGAAACAGCTGTTTTCCCAACATCAGCTGTGCGTGACAGAGTGGAACGAGCATCGATACTTATCGATAGTAGTCGATGTCGCCGCAAAAGTGTGGGTGGACGATACCTACGAACGGCTTTTTGAATTTTTTTGGAGCGCAGCTGTCGTGTTTAAATTTGGGCTTCAAGCACACTTGCCGCAAAATAACTATACGGAAAACACTTGCAGCTCCCAGTTTAAAAAAGGTATAATGTAGAGCACTTAAAGCTAGAAATTACTATGTACTTGCTAATCTATAGGTCATGAATAAAAATCTAAAAAATATTAAGTATGCTCCTATTTGACAGTTACTATCATGCAGGAGCTTCAAACTTTCTTTTCATTAAAGCCTTCTAACAATGCGTTGCAAATGTACGTATTTATTGAAGCGATCCAAATATTCCCCATTCCATCTGCACGTACTTAATCCATATCGCTGCAAATAAAACAGGGCTAATCTTGGTAATACACTTGAAACTCGGCGATAGTCGGACGTAATCAATGGGTTATTTAAAAGACCCCATGGATTGATTGTAGAAAATTTTCGGTAGGCCATTCAGTAGTAGCGCGTGTGTCGATCCCGAAAGAACTCGGCAGGAATTATATTTCTGGGGTAAGCCAAGAGCCAATTACCCGTTTAAATACTGGGGACTTTGGCTGCAAATATCTGGTTCGCAGGAGTCAAGGTGCGCACTTGTTTACCCAAAAGTATTAGCACTAAGTGGCCCAATCTAACTGCCAAGATCTGCGGAAACTAGCGGGGCGATATGATAAGCTATCAGTGGATTATTTAAAGCATGCAGATCGGGTTAACCCAACAGTGCAGGTGGCAATATTATACAGACCATGAAAACGGAAAACTTTACAAAGGGTTCAATAAAAATCTTAAAGATACATTTTGTAGTTGTTTACATGAGCTGGTATGAGCTTAAAGAGACCCCCGGCTGGATTGACCGCTTGAGACACTGACCAACTGACTGACGGACGGCAGTACGCCCACAGAGCGCCAAAATAAATGGGAACCGAACACCCGACCGAAACCCATTCACAGATGCAAGTGCCGAGAGCCGAGGCCGCGGTTCAGGTTCGGCTTGGAACTCAGTTTGGCTTCCAGCCGAATTGGTTGGCTCGATCAGTCGAGTGCCAGCTTGGGCGAAAAACGGGCGACATTCCTCGGACCTCGGTTCGGTTCACTTCGAGATAGTTTCGTTTCTGGCTGATTCGCGGGGAGCGGACGACAAAGGCAAAGGCAAACTGTCGCGTTCGTGGAAAAATAAATAGATCGAAAAAGTGGGGCCCAGCGTGTTTTGAAATCGCTTTTTGGCATCGACAAGCCCCGGAGTGCAACTGCTGCACATTACTCACTAATTGAGCAGATAAAATGCGTGTGATAAGTGCGGGATATTTCTAACAACTATTAGCGCTGTAACTGGGCTCAAACGAGTTCGACCCGCTCGTGTCAGCGAGTTCTTGAAACTGTGCAGTGCATGAATCCGCGGCAGAAAGGAGTTCTCATTGCATAACCCTCAAAAAACAATCCGAGCATCCCTAAGTCAGTGCAAGCAAACTCAGCGAGAGATACACATGGGTGTACTTATCTTATAAAAGGCTCATCAACCGAAATCTTCTGTAATTTGCTCAATTGGCGCGTTGTCCGGCGATCAGCGTTTGGTGGTTCGTATCCAAGAGATACTTTGCAGTGTCTCTGTGTATCTGATTGCTCTCTTTTCGGAGCGTGTAAGTGTGCGTTACATTTTGAGCCTCCGGGGCGATTGCAAAAGTATCCGAAATCGAAATCCGCACAAGAGATACGTGTTTGCCGGCCATTTGTATCTGTATCTTGTGCGATGGCCCTGCAGCTGATCGTCGCTGCTTTATAGCCGAGCATATTTATTTAATTTTCGTTTTCAATGTCAGGCCCGTGGTGTGTAAATTATGCAAAGCTCACGACCGGGGGACTAATGGGGGCCGGGTGGTCGAGTGGTCGGGTGGTCGGTCAGGTGGAGGAGCACTGCTTTACATGCGCGGCAATTACCCACTCGATTTCCTACTTAGCGCCTTTTGCGGGGAACCAGAAGAGAACGCGGAGTTCTATGTGGAACCCGGTGCGCATACAAAAGAAGCCTATTCATCATTAAACCCGAAACAAAAGCAGGTGGAAAATAGATACAAATAAGGGGTAGGGGGATTTCGCTGATTCATGGCACGGAAAAAGCCAAACTACTTTTGGTTTCAATGAAGACCATAGTGATCACACAAAAGATCTACATGTGCTATGTGCTGAATATATTTTTTTTTTAAAACAAAGAACCTTTTTCACAAACAGAACAAGTTTCCAATTAGAATTTTGTATGCTAAATATTTTGCTATTCCGAGTTGGTAGTTCTAAAACCTTAACCGCTGCTGTGAAGCAATCATTGAGCCACTGAAGAAGCCGCTTGGCTTTCGCAACTGATAAAAACCGGTTCCGCAGAGGGGCTATCATATTGATAAGAGATCCCCGACCGTCATCTTACAACTGCGGGTCGCTTGTTTGCTTTGTTATTATTATTATTGTTATTGTTATTGTTGGTCGGCTCGAATTGTTATTGTTATTGTCTGCTGGAGGTCACACCCGCCGCAATCTCAGCCCCATTCGAAGTGCGATTGCCAACCACCGCGGGGATTTGCATTTGTCCGATATTTCATTTTCATATGTGAATCCGATTGACGGATGAGGGCCGAGCGGATCCACGGATTGGATCCAACTGTCAGTCATTATCGCTTTCGTCAACGTCGCGTTTTGTTGCAGATTTTTGCAATATCCCCCTCCGATTGCCAAATAATACCTCGGATTTCGTTCCAAAATTGGTTGAGTGGTCACTCACCTTAACTTTGTATATATCAGAACTGATAAAAGCAAAGTTTCTATATAAGTTCGTTTTTGATATCGTTAAAGTTAATTATCTTGTTAAGTTAATAATAATTATTATGGTATTTATACCGCGTATTGGGTTCATTATAATTAATTGCCAAAACAAGTTTTGAACATTTCTGTGGAGTTACATTTTTAGCTCCAATTAATAGTTAAGTGCTATTTATCGTGATCGTTAAACTTGTTTGCTTGTTTTACCATGGTTAGTTGCCTAATACTACAATTTATTTGATAGATTGGGCTCTAAATTATTTAGAGTAATTATGGAACTCATTATCAATGATATAACGAAACGGTGTTAATTACTAGCGCGGTAGCTTTATTTATTTAATTTGTATTTTATTCAAATGTTTGTAGATCAAAGTGAAGTGCCCATGCTGAAGATGGCTTTTAGCAAGATCGCCTTCTTGGCTCTATTAGCCCTGAGTTCGCTGTGCGGACTGACCAGTGCCACCTACAAAGTGGGCGTGGGCCGAGCGGACATCACAGGACCTCCTGTTGAGATCAATTTTGTGAGTATCCAGCTTCGCTACTTCTTCCTTCATAAAATGTGGTTATTTCCTTCGATAGATGGGCTATGCCAACATCAAGCAAGTGGGTCGTGGCATCCACACCCGGGTGTTCGCCCGCGCCTTCGTGGTGGAGGACGAGAAGGGCAACCGGGTGGCCTTCGTGAGTGCGGATGCAGGGATGATGGGCTACGGGCTGAAGAGGGAGGTGATCAAGCGCCTGCAGGCCCGCTACGGAAACCTCTACCACACGGACAACGTGGCCATCAGTGGCACCCACACCCACGGAGCTCCTGGCGGCTTCCTGATGCACCTGCTCTACGACATCTCCATTCTGGGCTTCGTGCCCCAGACCTTCGAGGTGATGGCTCAGGGACTCTACCTGGTAGGCACACAAGTGAGGGGAAAATGAATTGATTTACTGATTTCATCTCCCATTGCTTTAGTGCATCAAACGAGCCACGGACAACCTGGTGGACGGTCGCATCTTCCTGTCCAAGACCACAGTGCTGAATGTGAACATCAACCGCTCGCCTTCCTCGTACCTGAGGAACCCCGCCGAGGAGCGGGCCCAGTACGAGCACGACACGGACAAGACCCTGACCCAGCTGAGGTTCGTTGACCTGGAGAACAACCTGCTGGGAGCCTTCAACTGGTACGCGGTGCACGCCACCTCGATGAACAACACCAACAAGCTGGTGACCAGCGACAACGTGGGCTACGCCGCTCTCCTGCTGGAGAAGGAGTTCAACCCGAACAAGATGCCCGGGAAGGGCAAGTTCGTGGGCGCCTTCTGCTCCTCCAACCTCGGCGACGTGTCCCCCAACATAATGGGTCCCAAGTGCTCGATCTCCGGAAACGAGTGCGACCTGCTGACCTCCCGCTGTCCCGCCGGCGAGGGCGACTGCTTCGCCTCGGGACCCGGCAAGGACATGTTCGAAAGCACCCAGATCCTGGGTCAGAGGCTGGCGGACGCCGCCCTGGGCCTCATCAACGAGCAGAGCCAGGAGACCACTGCCCGCGAGGTGACCGGAGACGTGCGGTTCATCCACCAGTTCGTGGACATGCCCAACTACAATGGCAGCACCTACAACCCGCTGAGCAGGAAGATCGACAAGATCAGGGGATGCCAGCCGGCCATGGGCTACAGCTTCGCAGCGGGAACCACCGACGGACCCGGGGCCTTCAGCTTCGAGCAGGGAACCACCACGGACAACGCCATGTGGAACTTTGTGCGCGACTTCATTGCCGCTCCCTCGCAGGAGGACATCAAATGCCACGAGCCTAAGCCCATTCTTCTGGCCACCGGCAGGGTGAGTAGTCCTGAGTAGTTTGGAGTGCCTGGAGGTACGCCATATCACCAATTGCCTTTCGAGGTCTGAAACATTTTATCTTAAAAGTGACATTAAGCTTATATAGCTAACACTCTTGATACACTCACTTGATCATTAAAACTCTGTTTGTGCGAATTAAATAATTAAAGCTATTAAGCTGAAACAAAATATTAGTCAAACAGTAACATTAAAGACACTAGGTTATAATGTCATGCAGGTTATAATGTTATGCATTGGAGACCTCAAATCTTTTTTAATACATACTATATATGGTACTTCCTATACTATAAATATAGTACTTCCATGAATACATCTCTGAACTTATCTATCTTTATTGCACACCCTTTCAGGCCACTTTCCCCTACGAGTGGCAGCCGAAGATAGTCTCGGATCAGCTCCTGAAGATCGGGGATGTGATCCTGGCCGCCGTTCCCTGTGAGTTCACCACGATGGCGGGACGACGACTGAGGAACCAGATTCGAGCAGCGGCCTCCGCCGCCGGGGGAATCGACACCGAGGTGATCATCGCCGGACTGAGCAACATCTACACCAGCTACACGGTGACCCCGGAGGAGTACCAGGCCCAGCGCTACGAGGCGGCCTCCACGATCTTCGGGCCGCACACCCACTCCATCTACATGGACGTCTTCGAGCGCCTGACCAAGGCGATGATGCGGAACGAGACGGTGGACGCGGGTCCCAGTCCGCCGTACATGAACGACGTGATGCTGTCGCTGAACACCGGAGTGCTCTTCGACGGACACCCCATAAACACGGACTTCGGCTACGTGAAGTCGCAGCCCAACAAGGAGTACGGCATCAACGAGACGGTGAAGGTGACCTACATCTCCGGGAACCCACGCAACAACCTCTTCACCGAGAAGACCTACTTCACCGTGGAGCGGAAGATCAACGAGGACCGCTGGAAGGTGGCCTACACGGACGCCAGTTGGGAGACCAAGTGAGTGACTCCTCTCAGACTGATCAGTATATTTTTTTACTCAATCCAATACCTTTCAGGATGATCTGGCACCGCACCAACACGATCCTGGGCTTCAGCGAGCTGGACATCTACTGGACCATCAGTCCGCAGACGCTTCCCGGGGAGTACCGCATCCGGCACTCCGGGGTGTACAAGTACATCCTGGGCGGAAAGTATCCCTACGAGGGCCTCACGCACTCCTTCACAGTCAAGGAGGATTAAGGGGACACAGAAGTAATCCTATAACTATTCCTGGCCGGACTTTCATCGGGCCCATCAAAACAAAACCAACTCAGTGTTGGTATTGTATTTATGTATTTATTTACCATTTGTAAGTGACGAAGGAAAGCTTTATTTTTGCTAGCGCGAATTAAAAAGATGCCAAATTTTGTTGAAAATAAATTTAAAGTTTTTTATTTCGAAAAAGGTTTTGAAGGACCGCTGCCAGCTTGTTAATCATTTGAATACTTCCAATTAAAGAATGTATTTAAATTTCCCGCCATCACGAACAGCTGTTTGAATAAAGTCCACTGCTGATGTCCCTCAGCAAATGAAATGTGGATTGTATCTTTTTCTCCCTGTTTCCGAGTGTAGTTGTATAGTGCTCTCTTCATCTCTGAAATTTCCAGTTAACATGGAACTCGAACAGAGACAGCATTGTCCAATGTAATGTTTCTGTTAGCCTGGTTGAAAAGCGCCTCTAGCGGACGAAAAGACTGCCGAATAGTTGGTTCAGGTTCAGCCCGTAAGCAGTCGGGTGGCGCTTTTGGGACTGACCGACCCGACGTCTCGACGTTAAAACCAGAAAATTACTCTCTTTTTGGAAGTGAGTATTTATATTCGAGCGGCAACAACATTATTTCCATTCGGTACTTCTCAGCGCGCGGACGTGAACAAAAGAGAAGCCCCATCGCGACTACTGTTGAAATTCGGGAAAAAGAGGGACCTGCTCCTCGACAAGACAAGAGAATCATTCCTGAAATCGGTTCTAACAGAAAACATATCCCAAAGATACGCGTGTTGTGTGCGAACTGTGCTCTTGGTGTTCCCAGTTGAAAGTGGAAATGTATCTATAAGATACACAGTGCGGGCGTGCGATGCGAGCGAGGTGTTCCCGAGGAATTGTAAACAAAGAAGGCGGCCAGATTCATTGACATCCATCGAGATCCAGCAACAAGTTCGTAGGAAACCACAGGGTAAGCCAAGAATGCTATCTTTCAAGATTTCTAGAACTTCTGACGTGTTCCTGTCGGCTTCCGTCGTGCACTGATAACAAAAATGGGGACTTCACGGAATGTGGGCCAGCTAAATTGAATATTCGATTTTGATTAGAGAGAAATGCTCTCTGGTGACAAAAACTGAACTGATTTCCCATTCAAAAGTGTATGTTTATGTAAATGTATATGTACAGTAGAATCCTGTTATAACGACTCCGCTTATAGTGTCCGTCCGGGTATTGCGACGAAAACTCGATGGCTTGATTGGTCCCCAGACAGACTTATTCTTCTGCTTAGTGCGTCTTCCGGGTATAACGACGAAAAATCGTCGGTCCCTTGAAAGTCGCTATAAGCGGATTCTACTGTATATGTATATGCACTTGTTGTCACCACATGGTCGGCGATTCAATTGACCGCTTTTTGCCCCCACATATTCCCCATTTCCTACAGATGCTTCCCATCTCCGCTGGCGATAAGCCTCTAAATATCTGGACTCTACAAAAAGTCTATGTGCCCGTCTGGGTGTGTTTATATAATTCGGACTAGGGGGCGAAAGGAGGAAATCGTTTTAGTCACGTAGTCAATTGTCGGCATTTGTTTTGGTTTCGTTTGTCGTGCACTTCGCATCTCCAGTTCCATCTCCTCGCTCTCTGTTGTGGTGCTCCTTTTCGCTGGAAAGCGTACTATCAACCCCTAAATAAAAGGGGAACCAGTCCTAGAACTAGTTCCCAGAAAGCGATGCCAATCATTTGAAAAAAGGATGTTCATCTTAAGCTGGAATTTGAAAATTGATCCTATTTAGGGAGGAATTAATAGTTCTTAAAATATTTTTTTGGAATTTAACCAATTTCAATTATTTTAAAGGGCTCCAATTGTCCCTTTAGAAAGAACAAGAAATGGATCCCTGCTTTATTTATCACTGCTTATCCCGGACACCAACCCTGATTAGCTACTCCTATTAGTTGATACTGCTTATCTAATTGGAAACACTTCACCAATTAGGGTCTGGTTTGGATGATTAATGCGTATACGTATTTTTCAAAACAATCGGCAAACGACTTCTATAGCTTCAATTAACCTACGAGCGAAGTGTGTTAATTTATGAAATTTATAATTTAGCCACGTTCCCGTTCGATGCTCCCCGCTCGCGTGATTTGGTTTTGGCTTTAAACCCATTTGATCGGTATTTGTTTGCTAATTAGTCCGGCAATGACAACCGGTTGGCTCAAATAGAGATGGATGCGAAAGCGAAAGTGGCTGCCAAACAGGGGGCCAAAACAAAATCGGAATCCAGGTGGGGAATGCCTCGAAAGTGATGACAAGGAGGCTGCCATTTGGCCCACTTCCTCGTGCAGTTTTCCTTTTTTCCCGGCTCATCTTTCGCATTTATGATGTTCGCCATCGACTTTGAACCGGTTTGGTATTGCGATTTCCATCTGAGAACGCCGTTTATGCTTACATTTCAAGGTGAATTGAAAATTTATGTGTGCACACGCTCCATGACGGCATCTGTCTGGCATTGGCACGGGTGAAGGGGGCCATCAGGGTGTTAAGGGGGGCGGGCCGATCCGTGAACATTTGTCATTCATTACTAATTAGCAAACTCGCTGAATGCACTTGAATCACTCCCGCCGAGTCCTTCCTTCCTGCCTACTGAATATTTAATGCGAAATCCATTTCCCCGCACAGAGAGAAAATGCTTTCAGAAGCTTGAAAGTAATTGGTTTTCTCTATCAGTTTGTCTACTGAAATATGGTGATATGAAATGAAGAGTCAGACTTTAAGTTCCTATTATCTGGAATAACTTTTGCCAGCAGTTGGCTTATTCGCTTAGATTCTTTCGCCAGTGTTCAGCTGTGGGGTTGGACCAACTTGTGACAATCAAATTAACGCTGCAGAATTGAAAAGTTTATGCCTGATGTCGTACGCTTGTGAGCGGAACTTTTGCCAGCAGACAAATCGTATTACCCCCGCTTGGAGTTCGGTTCTGGTGCCAAGTTCTTGGGGCAACTGCAACATGTGGAAACTAGGAACTGCCACGCGCTCTTGGCCTGGCCAACTCAATTACACTTAACCAAATTGTTTGCATAATTTGCGCAAACTAGGCAGCCCAGACCATGATTTTCCCACTCAAAACTCCTCGGTGTCTTCTTTTTTCCGTGACTGTAAAGTGGAGAGACCTCATTCGGTGGTTGGGGCAAAGTTTGTGCCAATGATGATGATATTAAAGCCAATAATGACGGTGAGGTGGTTATGGCGAGGCGCGTCTAACGAGCTCCATTAAGTCAGTGAATTAAAGAAAAACTCGGAATCAAATTACAGTGCCGGCGAAGAGTCGTCGAATCGATTCGATTCGATGCGATTTTAATTATGCATTCGATCGCCGAGCCACGCAAATTGGCCAAATTTAATGCGAGGGAGGGCCTTTGGGGAGGAAGCCGTGCCCATTCCGAGATTCCGAGTCGGCAAATGTCACAGAAGACATGGGAAATACTGTGAAGTGAAGAAGTCCGCGTGGGGAAGGTCACTCGGAGAGGCTGGGGGCCTGACATTTAGCAGTTTTCGGAGGGAGCAGTTTAGCGACTTCGTGCCACAATAACAGCAACTGCCCCAAAGAGGCAATCTGGCCAGCAGAGCTCCGCAATTTCCGTGAGCTTGCCACTAAACTCGCAAATGCCAGGGCTCAAAGAGCAGCTCCACAGAGGAAATCGGTAGCCAAAACTATATAAACACCTCGCAAATGTCTAACTTAGCTTAAATTCCTTAGAAATATATCTTAATTATTTCTTAAAGAATTAGATAACATCGTTAACTCTCTTTTTTATTAACCTCTTGATAGAATTGCATTAGTTAAAATTAAAAAAGCTCCACCCAAAACAGAATCGAGTTTCGTTTGGCTTTATTTATTCATCAAAACTAGTTTCCAAAAGAACTTCCAAGAAGAGCTAAAAATGTTTAAGGCATGGCATTAGAAACTCTAATAAATTGGACAAATTTGTTTCCGATTTTTACAAGTTTCATTTAATTTTATCAAACATTTTTTAATTTCATGCAGTATTAACCAATGATTAATTAACGACCCCCAAAGCAGAAGAGTTGCACATTCATAATATTTCTTCCTTGAAAGATAAATACTAAAAGATTAAGATTAAGTCAAGCGTCATTTTGGAAACATGTTTTAAAGCAACGTCTTCTTTAAATATTGTGAATGAGAAACCATATTTTTAATTGAGGCTTCCATGGTTCGCAGATATTGCTATCTTTGTGGGTAATGAAATCCAAAGTAATGTTTGGAATTGGTAACACAAGTCGGAATTTCATTTTAGTTAGGTGTAGTGTAGAAGCCAGTGCTTCGTTACAATTTCAAATTAGCTGTGGAAGCTCGGTTTTCAGTGGCTCATAAATGTCAGTGGTGCTACTGGGCTGCCGGAGGTTGAGTTATGGCTTTAACCCCGTCCGTCTCGGAGTCGCTCCAGCAGCTTCCTCGACTCCACCGGCCATAAAACTGACGAACGACATTGTGCGGGCCACGATGTACCAGACCGTCGAATCAGAAGACCCACTGAGCAGCAGCCAGTTGGCCTTGCAAATGCTTCACACCCAACCACCCACTTAAAGGGGCACTATCTCCGGCGTTTGCGCCTGAATAATGATGTCGTGTCTGCTCGAATTGCACCGTTGCATTTTATAGAATTGCTGCCGTTTGCTGACAGTTTCATTTGAGGGAAAGTGTCGCCGATCTGCGGGGCAGGGGCAGGGGGAGCCGCTTCCCAGGAAACAGGTGAATACGCTGCTCTCGATAAGCGAGCTCCTATTGTGCGGGACAGGTGGCACAGTGAAACGTCCGCCGAGTGGACAAGTGCTGAGGCAACAGGCAGAAAGTGATGAGAAGGGTGATAGCTTCTTACCCAAATAGAAACTTGTATTAGAAGTATCTTTTTAAAAAACAAATCAAAGTAATTTATTGTTTTGCCATTGCAGATTGTTTCTATAGAGACATTTAAGAGGTTGATAGGTATGTAGGTAGTTGTGCCAAATTCCACCCATCTGGAAACATCACTGCCTCGAGCGAACACAATTCGAAACAGCAGGTCACCGTTCGACACTTTTTTACTGTGGCAACAAGGACCCCTTCCCTTTGCCCGGCAGGAAACATTTGCTGACTGGCCAGATGCGATGCGAGTAATGCCAGTTCGCTGTCACCTGCACAAATGTATCTGCGTACCTGGATCCGAGGGGCAGCCAACCATCTCCGTCTGCGCTTCCATTTCCATTTTCATTTTCATTCCATCGCCGCTTTTCGCAGTCAGTCAGTGGGTCGAGCGGCGAGCTTAGTCAGCGTTTTGCACACACAACATTTCATAACTTAATTGCAGTCGGGCGAAAGATAACAAAATGCTGTCGAAAAGCAGGCAGAAATTCGTTTTCATTTCTCCCCGCTCCCATTTGTGCAGTAAAAAGTGCAGTAAAATCAGGAAAAGAAGAGGCATCCACTGGCAGTAATCGAAAATTGTTGGGGCATTGCATAAGGCGCAGAATACACGCAAGTCGAAATTGCCGAGGCAGCTTTTCTGTTGGTTTTTGCTGCACTCGAGGGGCGGACTGCGAAAAAGAGGCGTGGTCCGTGGGCGGTGTGGAAATGCAATCCGGCGATGACGACAGTCCGTTTCATTACACCACGATTCGCACCGCAAGAAGTGGAAGAGGCGGCGATGATGAGGCGTGAATCGAAATTGATTGAGAGATTAGTTTGCCCAACTAACCAGAAGAGAAGACGTGACGAAGGTGCTTGAAAAGCGGCGATTCGTCGGGGTTGCAAATCGAATTTCCTCCGCCGTGCATTAATATCCGTAACCATATCAACTTTCGGCTCTTTTCCACTCGGCTGGAGTTTGTAATTTGCTGCCAATTAGTTTAAACGTGAATCCAATTTCAGCTTTGTCCAGGGAACGTCCTCCTGTCCTCTTGTCCTCTGGCAATTCTGGGCATTCTGGCCACTTCGACCGCAGTCTATGGAAATCAGAGCTGGCTGACATTTCGCCTGAAATTATTTCTGCTCTCTGTTAATATTGATAATTCTGGCATTTGCATGTTTTGAATATGCGGTTCATTTGTATTCCGCTCCGGCTTTATTGGCCCATCAGTTTGATCGACCAGAAATGAGAGTAATCCCGTGCTGATTGTTCAGACAACTTGGCAGGTGCTTCTGCACAAAAAGTGTATATAACAAAAACATGGCTTACTTTATTACCTTTTTTGTGTCGGTAACAAGGGTAATGTGTTGTATATAAACTCTTAATTTGTATAAATTATTGATCCGAATTCAATGCTTTGTTAAACATTGCCATAAAGATGTTATTTTTAAAACGGCCAATATAAAGCTAATACGCTGACATTTATAGTTGAGATTATTTCAAAAGCCGACACAGTACGACAACCGAGTTAATCCCGATTATCTTCGCGTTTTTGTTAGCTTGAACTCTTGTTTTGACTAGCCGTTCTTGTTTAGTTAAATTCAACAACAAGTTAAAAAATTCAAATACCTAAAGAAATAGATTTTCAGCAATCATAAAACGCACCTAATTATGGAAATTTCCGAATGGGTGGTCGTTATTTTCGGCCGTTTTGAATTCCTCTTCTGAAATTGTGCAACTCATGGCAGCAAACATTCCTTTAGAGCTCTGTTGCACTCAATTCCCGCAAATAAATGCAAAAGTTGGTCCACACTCCGCAGAGGGCGAATGGCGATCGCCGTGGAGTTCGGTGAACTTGTCGAAGGCAGAAATTCCTCATTCGCACGAACTGCAGATGTCAGCGGATTGAATGGGGCTCTGGATGAAACAATATTAGCATTTCAATAAGTTTGATTGTGTAACGCAGCTTGTTGTGTTTGAGGACTGGGAGTACCGTTAAGGTTTGTCCATCATCACTCACAACGGAAATTATTTGTTCGGTTCTCCGCTGCAGCGACGCGTATCTGTGAGATACATTTGCATAAGTTGCGGAGTTCTTTGAACCCCAATTAATTTCCCGGGGAGATGCAGGGCCCAGTTGTTAGCCAGAAACAGTCTATCTGGCATCAGGAACATCGCTCTGAAACTGAAACTGGAAAGTTAATGGAATCGAATGACCGGGTCGTAAAACTTAATAGCCGCTGCCCTCGTTCTGATCAGAACGCCGAAACTTCCCAACCAGAAGTAGAAGTAGAAATGTGTGTCCAAATAGAATTCATAGGCGAACCGGTCTGGGCGAGATTATTTAATATTTGCTGACAGCCGGGTTCGCTCCCAACACATGTTAGCTGACATAAATCGCCTTCGCCCGGAGCATCCATAATTCGGCAAAGGGGGCCAGAAGTGTTGGCCGAAATGCCGCATATTAATAACAGATCTTATCTTCTGAGTGACTGATTAATGTGAGCAATTACCTGCTCAAGTTCGAGTCTGTCTTGACTTTGCCGAATTAATTACTTCTGATTAATTATTCAACTCGATTCCCTTGAAGGACATACATCAGCATCAGGCTGTGTTCGTCGTGGTTTTTGGAGGACTTTTCGGGCGGCCGCCCACCGCAGACAAGCCACTTCGGTATGCAAATTGAGTGCCACAAAACATCGCCGACGCGCTTATCTTAAGTTGCGAATTAACAGCGCGCGGCTAATTAATATCAATTAAAATTTATTGGCACGCTAACCGAGCCGCAGTCTATGAAGTCCCGCCTCCAAAACGGAACTGGAAACAAACCCGAATTCGCTGTTCCTGTCAGGTGGGACTGACTGATGGCGGTACCCTGGCCAAAACAGACTTCGAGGCTTAGCGATATATAGTAAGCATATGAAACTTGATACATCAGAAGATTTAGGGGCTACAAGCGGTTAGCGAAGTTAATTTACAAGCGAATAAGTGATTCAACAGGTTGTCTAATAGGGTTTTTACTCTCTTATACACTTGTGGTGTACTACAATTTATTATCGTAATTAAAGTGGCTGGGTAAATACAACTCAAGTAGTAGAACAAGCTTGATTTCCAGTCTATTGCATTCTTAGCTCATATTCTAAACACAGATCCCAAAATAGTTATACAAAGTCAAAAATGCAACTCAAATTGTCCGCTTTCCGCTTCGCCCTTTTAACTGTGACAAATTGTGCCACATCGGTCGGTGGAAAGAGACTAGAGGCAATAAGGGAAATATATAAATTGCAAATTGTTCTGGCAAAGGGAACACTGGCACTTAAAGAGCATCTCCCGTTCAGTGGAGTGCCATCGAATGTTTTTGGACCCGTTTTATTGTCGTCAGCGCGTTGCGAGAGCAGTAAAGTAAACGCCATAAAACAATCCACTCGATGGCAGGTCAAATTAAAAAGCGCTCATTAAAATAAATTGCCAACTGCCCAAACTCAAGCAGCAGCTGCCCCTTGCACAGAAATTCTGGGCTGCGGCTAGCTCGGTAGCGATATTAATCAATACGAGAGTCGATTTCGAGTTCAGTGAGCTCAAAGCTCTTTCCTTACACATGGCCGGAGATTTAAATACGAATCGATCGCTCGGGCTGTTCCCCCTGTTCTTGCTGTTTTCGTAACAAATTTGAAGGTGTCCTAAACCCACGGTTTTCTATCTTTGCAGGCTTTAAAATGGCGGCTGACTGGCGATTGATGTTCCTGCTGGGAGTCCTGCTCTTTGCGGGAACCCTCGTGAGTGGGGAGGTGTACACGGCCTTGGCTGAGATGGAGGAATTACTTGAGACTGAGTCCGTCCTGATTACCAACCTGGAGGGCTATATTCGGGCGCAGGAGAACAAGCTGAACTTCCTCAAAAAGTGAGTACAATTTCCATTAATTGGGAAACCAAACTTCTAACGGGTTGAAAATTACATACCTGAACTACTTTCCCATTAACTTTGTTTGGTTCGTGTTTATGAAATCCCGCAACGCGAAACCTAATCAAATGTGCAATCCTGTAGTTGCACATAAACATTTTCTAATTTACCCCTGAGAGCGGTTAATATATTTTGTTTCTCAACAACTAAAAATGCAATTACTAATTAGTAGCTTTGTTGGCCAATAGGCAGAAAAACGTTCCCCTGCTACCTAATTATCTCTAATGAATTTGACCTTTCAATTTCAAACTCATTGTTACGCTTTCCAGAAAGTTGACTTTGTAATTTGTGATTTATTAAATTCAGAGTTTAAAGTGTGCTAGAGTAATTGCAGAGGTAAAGCAACTTAATTTAGCGTGAATTTCAAGGGCCCCCTATGAACTGGCTCTCTAAATTTTGTATGAGAAATAGAAAGTACTTAAAAGCATAATAACAATACATTGGACTATAGAAAACAGCAGGTATATTATATATCTTCATTATAATTATGTTCAAATCAGTGAATGAACTAAGTTAGTTTTTTGGTTTTTAGGAAGAATACTAGTTTTGAGAAACCCACATGCTCCTTAGCATAAATAGTTCTTATGCAAATGGAGGCAATATAGTATGTGGATGGTCTGCAAATGGGGGATACAAAAGAGGCTCAGGTAGTCGCCTGCATTCTGATAATTACTTTTGCCACGTGCGCGGGGCAGCTGTTGCACGCAGCACCTAGTTACCAAGTACATAAAAGTATCTGCATTTGTATCTGTATCTGTATCTGTATCCGTATCTGCGGAGGCGCCCCGAACACACATGACTGCAGATACATATCTGCTGCTTGTGCGAGGAGGGGATCTATGTACTGCGCTTGTGGCAACTGGCAGCGGAAATAATATGGGAAGTGGAGGGGGCAGGGGGGAGCGGGGTGCAGGATGCGGTGAGACAACTCCCCTAATCAAATGATGCCAGGCGCACTCAGGATCTATCTTCTGCCGCTGTTCCTCCCGTAGCTCACGTAGCTGTTTCTGCATTCGTACCTTGGCATTGTCACAACAAAGGACGAGACAGGATCCTCGCAAACAGCTGACAGCTGTGTGCCTGCTGTCCCTGTCTACGTCTCTCCCTCTCTCTCTTTGGATGCGTTATCCTTGTGCGCTGTCATTGCCCTGCCTTTGAGTGTCTGTATCCTTCGGATGCGGAGTGCCCGACTCCTCGTCTTCGCATCTCCTCATCTGTTTGTGTCGCGTGCCGTCTGCAAGCGTTTAGGCTTTAATGCCGCTTAAATTTTCCCACCGGCCAGCTGTTAGTTGTTAGTGCCTCCAATTTCCAGCTAATCCGCTTGCCAGTCGCCCCGTGGCTCCGATTTGCTTTGGCCAAAAGGCAATTAAGTTGGGACAAAAGGACAGCGCGTGCATCCAATCTGCGCGGCCCAAAGGCATGCATATTCATATACGTACTATATGTGCACGTGGGAGGTCGGATCCGGATAGAGTTGGCCTAGGAACACGACGTACTCCGCCGTTTTCCTCTGGCAACCAAATGTAACGGTCGCTTTGCCACCGAAAATCAGGGGAGGAGCTGCTCTTAGGGAAGGTTTTGGCTCTGCTCAAACAACCGAGCTCAAAAGTATTAATTTAAAGGGAACGATGCCGACAATGAAATACCCCGCGTTTTAATTAATTTTTTTGTGGGTCTTTTACTACATGTTTCAGAAAGGTTTTCTGTATGAAAATAAAAACCTTGTACATGCTGGTTTCAATTTTCTAGTGAAAGGTTGCCAAAATAGAATAGAAATAGCAAAAACTAGAAATATGTTTGACTTTGGAAGCTCATCTTTACGACTGACACTTTTATGGCACAAATATGCGCATATTAAACTAAACTGTTTTTTTTATGCATTTAAACTTTTGTCATTTTATTTGACGACTTTGTGATGCAAAAACTATAACAAAAACTTGCTGTTTGTATAAATAACTTTTAAATGTTCAAAATAGAACTAGTAATGAGTTAAACAAGGCAACTAGTTTTCATAAAAGCATTAACATTAGGCAAATTATGCCATATTTCGGTGACGACAATGACTGTGACTGGTTGTACATAATCTTAAATGGATTTAAATGCCATTCATCATACCCTCTAACTCCGCCGTTGAGCGGTATCAAAACAGCATTAAAGCCGCGAGGGAGCGCATATGAGTTGGTAAATAAGAATTAAAAACGCTGATAAAGCGAGCCGAATGGAACGCCGGCTGCTCCTGCAATTCGCAGGGGTTCGTAGGTTTAGTTTGGTTCAATTTGGGACTGCCAGTGGAACTGGGTAGAAATGTCTCAGTTGGAACTGCGTTTCAACCCCCGTTCGCTGAGCAGGAGCAGATGTTTCTGGGTCTGCTGCTCGCTGCTTTCTGCTCTACCCGGCCTAATGGAACGCGCCAAACACAGTCGGTCATTGTACGGGTGTCTTATGTACAGGCAAATGTGTAAATGTGTTTCGGGGAGGGGAGAGGGAGGAGGAGGGGGGCGGGGCACGATCCACTCGACTGCGCGCCGGCGCAGGAAGTGGAGGAAGTTGAGGAGCTGCCGGCTGGAACGGCTCTCCAGATCAGTCGAGTCGCAGTTGCCGAGGCGAACGGATCGCAGATCTTGAGAACGCGGAGTGAGAAGTGCCACGAACTAAGAACCAAGAAACTATAAGAAACACCCCTAAAGGCTGTGGACTAACCACCAGTACCCCAGAACACCAGTTCACCAGTACAGTGCCACCATGTCGCAGCACAACTACACGAACCCGGCCTTCTGCCAGAACAGCGAGTTCTACCCGGTGCCCAGCAGCAACTCCTCGCGAGTGGATTCCATCTACAACCGCAGTCTCCAGATGAACTTCGCGGCAGCTGCCCCGCGATCCGGACATGCCACGCCCCCTAGGGATCCCCGCGAGGGTCCCCTGCGGATGCAGCGTAGCATGTCCACGCGATCGGTGACGCGGAAACAATACCAGCAGCAGCAACACCAGCAACAGCAGCAACAGCAACAGCAGCAGCAACATCAAGCTAAACAGCAGCAATACCAGGCCAACCAGCAGCAATCCTCGAGTGGCCGCTACGCCTTGGTTCCCCTGGAGGAGCTGAACAGCAGCAGGGCCAACAGATACGCTATAGTTCCCGGACAGGCAGCCCAGAGATTGGCCAGATCGCAGGACAACCTCGACCGCTACAGCTCCAGACATGGATTGCACGAGGAGGAGGAGCCGCACTCCTTCCACGAGGAGCCCCACCAGGAAACCCAGTTCGCCAGCCTGCCTCCCTCTCTAAATATTCCCCCCAAGCCAAGGAGCAACATCAACAACAACAACAACCAGAATCCCAACCAAACCCAGATCAAGCACGCCTTCAGCAGCGACTTCGGGAGCAAGACCTTCCTGATCGTGGACAAGAACAGCAACCAGCGGTACCAGATGGTGCCCACCGCCGAGGACGAGGAGCTGGTGGACGAGAACCAGGAGATCATCCAGATGCACAACGGCAGGGCGCACCGGTACGCAGTGGTGCCCACGGATGCGGATGATGATGAGTTGGTGGAGGAGCAGGAGCAGCAGGAGACCTGCCTGAGCAACGTGGAGCTGAGCCAGCAGTACGCGGCCAGGACCTCCACTCCGCAGCAGAGGAACGCGGCGGCTGCCACGAGGGCGCTGCACGAGCTGCTGACCACGCCCCGCAAGATGCAGCCGCCCCCGCGCCTCGCCCACTCCACGCCCCGCAACGCCGCCCACCACGAGCAGCTGCAGATCGAGCGGCGGCTGGAGATCTACAAGAGCCAGCAGATCTACCAGAGCCAGCAGGCCAACCCGGTGCCGCCCAGCCTGCCCCTCCGGCAGAACAGGCTCTCCCCGCAGCGGCTCCACTACGAGACGGTGAAGCCGCTGCCCCTGCAGCTGGCGGACCGCTCCATGGCCGTGATCAGCCCGCGGGTGCAGGAGCAGGAGCAGGAGAGGGAGCAGGATATGAGCAGCATCCAAGGAAAGGGCAAGAACAACAACTCGTACCCCCAGAAGATGGCCAACGCCACCATCACCCTGGCCGTCGTCTCCCTGATGCTCGTTTTGAGCAGCACCATGAACGCCGGACTCATCGTCTACATGATTGCCCACGTAAGTCCAAATCGAAGTGGAGCTGAAACAACTCAAGGGAGTTCCAAACGGATTCTTATATCAACTTCCCTTTACAAATATTTTAATATTTATTTCCTTCCGCAGTTTGGGAAATTCTTTTATCTGCAGTTTGGCTTGGTGGCCTCCTTTTGTGGAATGGGACTTGGCTTCCTGGGATTCAAGTCGCGCCACTGCGACTGGCTGCCGAACCGGAGTTACAGTTCCGGATACATTTTGGTGACTGTGTTCTGTCTCTTCAAGTCCTGTGGACTCCTGGTGATCCTCGTGGTGGATCCCTTCCCCGGATTCCCCGTTCACGATGTAACTACTGGAATCATCCTGGGCCTCTCGACCTTCACCATGTTCTTCATCGGACTGGGAGTCCTAGGAAGTATGTGGTGCCACCGACCACCGCCGGATAACCGCGTCAACGTGGTTTAAATTATATGATATATTTACTCTAAGCATCAATTTAGTTGTACACCATCCACTTCGACTTCAAGAACTTGACACACCGAACGGCTAAAAGACCAAAAAGAAAGCATTAGATTTATAATCAGAGGAAGATCATCATCCCCCAGAAGACTGTACATAACGAGTGGGTTGTACTTATCGCTAGATCGTAGTTCGTTTAACTTATTTTTCACCATAGACCTAAGTTTGTTTCGATATAAAAATAAAATAAAGGCACTTAATTACCAATCAGCTTAAAATATCTTGTTCTGAATAAGCTGCTTATGAATTTCACTTGGTAAACACTTTTCAATTGAGGTCATGCTTTTCTGCAAAAATGTGCGACTCAACTGGATGATTGATGAGGAAACACATTTTGTGAAGCCACAAGCAAGTTTCAAACAATAAGGTCGCTGGATAAGCAAGCTAAAATAAGCGAACGCAGTTTTAAGTGAAACGGCTGGGAAAACATGGCAAAGTTATTGTTTATGCAGTTACTTATTGGTAAACAAGGAAGTTTGAGCTGCAGCGTATTCATGCCGCAGGACTTGGGCTGTTCTTTCTGGTCAAGTTCAAACTTTGGCCTTCTCCTCCCCCCTTTAATGCAATTTGCCTGCACGCGAAGAGCACTTAGTGAACAACTGGTAACTTTCCCCCTTTAAATTGCAGCAAAATGGACGAGTACCAGCGGGAGCACGCGGATGCCTCGAGTGACATCACCGCCTACGTATCGAACCCGATCAACGCCTACCTGCTGACCAAGCGACTGACCACCGACTGGCGCCAGGTGGAGAACCTTATGGAGCACGACGTGGGCACGGACTTCGTGCAGAACATCACCCAGTACCGCAGTGTGCTGAAGTTCCCCTCCGACGAGGATCTCAACGGGGCGGCGGTGGCCCTGCTCCGCCTGCAGGACACCTACCAGCTGGACACGTCGAGTGTGGCGCGGGGCAAGCTCAATGGCATCCAGTACAGGTGAGACCCGCTTAGCTTCTTCCTAATTGGGAAACTAGTGCCCCTTAAGCCTCGTACTTTATGGCTCCACATTGCCAAGTCCCCCGAACACTCACCTGACCAATTTATATCCCGCAGCACGGAAATGTCCTCCGACGACTGCTTCGAGCTGGGGAGACAGTCGTACGTGAACCACGACTATTACCACACGGTCCTCTGGATGAACGAGGCGATGGCCCGGATGCTGGAGGAGCCGACCAACCACACCCAGAGCTTCACCAAGGCCGACATCCTCGAGTACCTGGCCTTCTCCACCTACAAGGAGGGTGAGTGCCAGTTTGGTTCCCCAAAGTGCTTGCACTGGGAAAAAGGAATGCTTTCAAAATAGAGGGGGAATTGCCCTTAAAAAGCTTTACTTGACAGTGAATGTCTCATAACTAAGGCAACTTGAACCGGTGCTCCCTAACTAACTACCAATTTTAGGAAAGACTCCTGCAGCCTCCTTAAATTTCGGTGATTAAATTCTCAGAGTGTTCTTGCTGCTCCATCTCGTTGTTGTCCCTGCTCGTTTGCATGGCACTTTCGAGGTCCATTTGGCTGCAGGAAATTGCACTCTGTCCCCGTCCACTCCCCCTGTCGTCCCGCCCCCGACCACTTTGCATCCCTGCAGCCCGCACACTTTCCACCTGGAGCCCCTCTTAGGGTGCTCCATTAAGTGCGCCAAAGTGTTGGCCATCTGCAGGCAGTGCGACAATGTTGTGGCCAGGAGCAGCCATCAGGTTGGGCAGATAGGGATCGGCACGTCCTTCTCCCGGGGAGCCGTATGCTTTATTAACGCCTTATTACCCGGTTAGTGGCCCCATCCGCTCACCAAGGAGTGGGAAGAACACACGTATCTGAATTTAGATAGCTCTACACTGAGAAGAATTCATATACAACTCCTTAATCAGTTTATCTTTGAGAATCAAACAAGAAATGCGAAATGGAAACCACAATTTTCAACTTGAATCCATTCGATTTTCAAGCGATGTAAACATCCATTTTCGTCCCACGAATACCCCCTTTATATTGTGTCGTTTTTTCTCTTTTTTGTCTATGTGAGGAGTGTGACTTGACAGACAATTTATGGGCGTGGCCGGGGGCGGGGCGGAAGTGCCGCCATATTGTGTTGGGGCACGACACGAAAGAACAACGCAAATGGGTCCGCCCTCGAGGCGAGTGACAGGCTTTCTGTCACCCAACCACTCAGATGCTGATCCTGTTCCTGCTCCTCCCTCCTCCCCCTTTTCCTCCTCGGGAAGAGCACATGTGTGTGCGGGATGCAAATTTAAATTCCTGTCGCCGACAGCCTGTGAAAAGCTGAGGTCGGGGTGCAGGTTGAAGCGAAAGTTGCTCGGGAAACTTATTAGTTGTGCCAGGGATAAGCGACTGCCTGGACCTGGACGCAAATGAATAAATAAGTGCACAGTTTGCGAACTTTGGGAACAATCCAATCCACTTGATGGAAGTTCGAGGTCAGGCGGTGAGACTTTGAAAGAAACTGCGGTATACTTTCGGGCCGAGCTCTGTTTGCTTAGTGGGGTATCGCACTTAAGTCCGCTTTGGACCCTAATGAATTAATTGTGCGGGTCGCCTAATGCGAAGCTCCTGATTTTAAGCGGGCATTTTACTAACCTGCTGATTAACTTTTCATGCTCTAATGGCCTTACTAAAGGTCAGGTCGCTTTGATGATTTTGTGGTTAAAACGAAGACCATGAAAGGGGTTTATTGAAAGGTTCTTTACTGCCAATCACAATTATATTTCGGTGGGTAATTTGTTGACTTTCCTTTCAGGGAACATTGAGAGCGCCCTGTCCATGACCAACGAGCTGCTCCAACTCATTCCCCACCACGAGAGGGCCAACGGAAACAAGCGGTTCTACGAAAAGGAGATTGCCAGCCAGCTGCAGCTGAAGAAGATGAAGGGAGACGACGGCAGCGACGAGATGCCCAAGTCCGACTTGGTGAGATGACGGCTGAAAACCACAAAATGCCATTATGTTCTAGATAACCCATTTACAGCCGGTGGCCAAGAGCGATCCAGGTGTTTACGACTTGTCAGAGCGAAGGGCCTACGAGATGTTGTGCAGGGGCGAACTGAAGCCCTCTCCCTCGGATTTGCGGCCCCTGCGGTGTCGGTATGTCACCAACGACGTGCCCTTCCTGCGCCTGGCTCCCCTCAAGCTGGAGGAGGCCCACTTGGATCCCTACATCGTCATCTACCACGACGCGATGTACGACAGCGAAATCGACCTGATCAAGCGGATGGCGCGTCCTCGATTCCGCAGGGCCACGGTCCAGAACTCCGTGACTGGAGCTCTGGAGACGGCAAACTACAGGATCAGCAAGTCCGCCTGGCTGAAAACGCAGGAGGATCGGGTGATAGGAACCGTGGTGCAGCGAACGGCTGACATGACTGGTCTGGACATGGACTCCGCCGAGGAGCTGCAGGTGGTCAACTACGGCATTGGAGGCCACTACGAGCCTCACTTTGACTTTGCGAGGGTGAGTGCTTATCTGTCGAGTTTACTCTGAAAACCAGCTAAAAAACAAATCATTATTTTCTGTATTTTCCTATATTTAGAAAGAGGAGCAGCGCGCCTTTGAGGGCCTCAATCTGGGCAACCGCATTGCCACCGTTTTATTCTACGTAAGTTTATGTATTCCACTTTTCTATGCACACGCACATCCCACACGGCTTATAAAATTGCCAGAGTTGTAACAGTTCTCGCAGAGGCGAAAAAATAATCATTAGAAGGGTTTATTTATAAACGGAGATGCGTAGGTTGCAATTCCAGGGAATTCCATTCAGCTGGTGGCAAGTTGTGAATGCAGAGGGAACCCACAATGGCAGGGAGCTAGATACAAACCCAAAAGCATCCCTGTGTTCTATAGAGGACTTTGTTTACTCACCAGGTATTGTTGTTCAGTGGTCAATAGAGAGCTTTAAAATCACTGAACTGAATCTAGCAGGAGAGCAAAACTAATTGGTTTTGCAAAGCGTGCACAATCAGATATTTTGCTCTTGAATTGTGGAATAATAATATAATCCGCTAATTAATCTCTGTATTGTTATTTATTCCGCAACGCCGACAGATGAGCGATGTGGAGCAGGGAGGAGCCACTGTCTTCACCTCCCTGCACACGGCTCTGTTTCCCAAGAAGGGAACGGCTGCCTTCTGGATGAACCTCCACAAGGATGGAGAAGGAGATGTGAGGACCCGCCACGCAGCCTGTCCTGTGCTCACAGGATCCAAGTGGGGTACGTTTTACTACTTAGTTAGTAGTTAACCTTAAGTATGTTTTGATTGTGCAATTGTCCTCCTTAACACAGTGTCCAACAAGTGGATCCACGAACGGGGCCAGGAGTTCCGCAGACCCTGCTCCTTGGACGAGGACCACGGCGAGTTCGCCATCTAATTTGGAGTCTATTTAGTGAATGCAACGAATCTTAGTGCGGAATCTCATCCTTCGCCATCGGCCATCGACTTCCTATTGTACATACAGCATTCAGACCGCAGAAGGTCGCATCTGTTCTACTTATGGGTTCCCAATGCGGAACCATCTTCAACTAGCTGTAACCTAGCCTCTTATGGAATTTATCTACTTTTGTATATTTGTCTAGTTTAAGTAGAAAAACAATTGCAATAAAATCGAAATAGAAATCAAGAAGCGTAGTTCTTTTATTGCTAACATGCTTGAAAGCAGTAATCAAAATAAATTGGGGTCATAACCATTCTGAACCTTTACCACTAGAAACCTGAAAAATCTATCCTTTTAAAGTGGCTTTTTATAAATTTAATAATGGTTGAATAGGGGAGAATATCTGATTTAAAAGGACAACAGGGAGGCACTTCGATCAGCTCTGGTGTTCGATTAGTGGGTGGCGATTCATCAGCCGGAGGACTCATCCATCAAATGCGGTAAGTGGAGCTTCTGCTGCATCAGCTGTAAGTCGATACGCCGGCGTAAGTGTGTGCGTGAGTATCTGTGTGTTTGCATGGGGAGGGCACACCAATACAAATCGGCTTATCCTTGCAGCGGCTGCCGCATTGCGTTGCATACTTTGCGGCACTCCGCGTAACTCAATCGAATTTTGTTTGGAAAGCGGAAAATTCAGGTGAAAAATGTGTTGTATTATTGAGTTTGATAAAATAAAGTACACAGCTACACACAACCCTAAAAACTATAATAAAACTAGTAAACAGTTGAGGGCATGATGACTTTTGAGTTTTTATAAATCATATGGATTTATAATTATTTATCAGTAAAAATGCCAGACAAATAAATACATTTCAATGGTTGAACATTGTAAATAAAAAATGAAATTAGCGGTGTTAAATTATTGACGAACTTTTACAGGAAATGGCCAGGTAGCATTTTTATGGCTACTTAGCGAGAAGCGCTTAATGATAAACAAAAATGTTGAATGAATACTCTTATCAGCTCAAGAAGTTCAATAAGTAAAAATCCTTATCTTCCAGAAGAGAGATAGAAAACAAAGAACTTAGATTATTCGAGGTACCAATCTTATTACAAACTTGACAACTTTCGAGGTCCTAAGTACACGTCATAATTTCACCAAGGAACCTCACTATCGGCTTGCAAACTTGTCATGCTAATTTATAGCCGGCGAATTTTACACTCAAGAAGAGTTCTTGTCGCCGATAAGACGAGAGATTGGTGTTGGTATAAAAGGGCGGCCAGTTTCTGGAAAAACCATGAGTTGTATCACCTGTCCAAGATGAAACTGTTCGTATTCCTGGCTCTGGCCGTGGCCGCAGCCACCGCCCTCCCTGCCCCCGAGCAGAAGGACCAGAAGCTGACCCCCGTGCCCGTCAAGGACATCCAGGGTCGCATCACCAACGGCTACCCGGCCTACGAGGGCAAGGTGCCCTACATCGTGGGTCTCCTCTTCAGCGGCAACGGAAACTGGTGGTGCGGAGGCTCCATCATCGGCAACACCTGGGTCCTCACCGCAGCTCACTGCACCAACGGAGCCAACGGAGTCACCATCAACTACGGAGCCAGCATCCGCACCCAGCCCCAGTACACCCACTGGGTGGGCAGTGGCAACATCATCCAGCACCACCACTACAACAGCGGCAACCTGCACAACGACATCTCCCTCATCCGCACTCCCCACGTCGACTTCTGGCACCTGGTGAACAAGGTGGAGCTGCCCAGCTACAACGACCGCTACCAGGACTACGCCGGCTGGTGGGCCGTTGCCTCCGGATGGGGCGGCACCTACGACGGATCCCCACTCCCCGACTGGCTCCAGGCCGTCGATGTCCAGATCATGTCCCAGTCCGACTGCAGCCGCACCTGGTCCCTCCACGACAACATGATCTGCATCAACACTGCCGGTGGAAAGTCCACCTGCGGAGGTGACTCCGGTGGCCCCCTGGTCACGCACGAGGGCAACCGCCTGGTCGGAGTGACCTCCTTCGGCTCCGGAGCCGGCTGCATGGCCGGACACCCCGCTGTGTTCAGCCGAGTGACCGGATACCTTGACTGGATCCGCGACAACACCGGCATCTCCTACTAAGAACCTAGTGAATTCTCCTCTTTTTTTGGAGTTTTTTAAATAAAAGTTTTAAGCATAAAAAACGTTGGCCTATTGATTGCTTTATACAAATAACATATATAGATAATGAAACGACTTTCTGGGTAATTCAAACAAGTCACCTTCTTCGCCGGCAGTCCACAATCACTATTTGGAATGACCGATAAGATTCATTCATTCGTATAATTGTTGGAGAAAGTATTTCCCAAAGTTTTTATGAATGAATGCTATAATCAGAAATCATAAAGCAAACCGTGTTATACCATTTTTTTGTTCAGATCTAAGAAATTGAGATTGTGGTGCTTGTATGTCATTATCCGCTTTGAAAATAAAATCACTTGGACAGTCATTTAGCGAAATGTTTGTTAAGATAACTGTCCAAACAGAAGTATCTGAAGCCTGCCCAAACTTTGGCGGTGGGATTTATTATCTAATTTTGGCTTTTGTTCAAATCATGGCTTCTGTTCAAAACTGAAAGCAGTCGGCTTCTGTCAGTTAGCATCATCTTCAACAATGATGATCGTCAGTTGAAATTAACATTTTTATAATATATTCGTTACAGGATATGGTAATCAACCATATAATTTGAAAACAAGGAAGAAAGTTAGCTTCAGAATCCTTGCTGTCATCAAATATGTCGAAATAATACATACAGGCTAAACAAGATAGAAGCTATGACGATTTGTATACCATAGCATTTTAGCATTATAATTTCAGGCAGAATTATAGTGGGCATAGGAAAGATCGAAAAATTTATATTAAATGTATGGAAAAAATTATTCTATCGATGTAAGGTATAGAAGAAAACCCAGATGTGGAATTAAATATTTATTAAAAGATCCCTAAAAGGGGAGGAATACAATGCGTTCTCAGTAGGAGATGCCGGTGTTGTTGTTGTTTTGTCACAAGAATAGAATCGAGTTGATCTAAATAGTTGATGAGCATAAAGTGACGTCATTTAAGTGGGGTCTCGGCAAAGAAGGTTCCCAACCCCGAATGATTGATTTGAAAACTAGTACTTGGCTTATGCTTTAATCGTTTATTGTTTCGGTAAACAACATCATCCACTTAGTAGGAGATGCCGGTGTTGTCGCGGATCCAGTCAAGGTATCCGGTGACGCGGCTGAAGACGGCGGGAGCGCCGGACTGGCAGCCGGCGGCGGAGCCGAAGGAGGTCACTCCGACCAGGCGGTTGCCCTCGTGCGTGACCAGGGGGCCACCGGAGTCACCTCCGCAGGTGGACTTTCCTCCGGCAGTGTTGATGCAGATCATGTTGTCGTGGAGGGACCAGGTGCGGCTGCAGTCGGACTGGGACAGGATCTGGACATCGACGGCCTGGAGCCAGTCGGGGAGTGGGGATCCGTCGTAGGTGCCGCCCCATCCGGAGGCAACGGCCCACCAGCCGGCGTAGTCCTGGTAGCGGTCGTTGTAGCTGGGCAGCTCCACCTTGTTCACCAGGTGCCAGAAGTCGACGTGGGGGGTGCGGATGAGGGAGATGTCGTTGTGCAGGTTGCCGCTGTTGTAGTGGTGGTGCTGGATGATGTTGCCACTGCCCACCCAGTGGGTGTACTGGGGCTGGGTGCGGATGCTGGCTCCGTAGTTGATGGTGACTCCGTTGGCTCCGTTGGTGCAGTGAGCCGCGGTGAGGACCCAGGTGTTGCCGATGATGGAGCCTCCGCACCACCAGTTTCCGTTGCCGCTGAAGAGGAGACCCACGATGTAGGGCACCTTGCCCTCGTAGGCCGGGTAGCCGTTGGTGATGCGACCCTGGATGTCCTTGACGGGCACGGGGGTCAGCTTCTGGTCCTTCTGCTCGGGGGCAGGGAGGGCGGTGGCCGCGGCCACGGCCAGAGCCAGGAATACGAACAGTTTCATCTTGGACAGGTGATACAACTCATGGTTTTTCCAGAAACTGGCCGCCCTTTTATACCAATACCAATCTCTTGTCTTATCGGCGACAAGAACTCTTCCTGAGTGTAAAATTCGCCGGCTGTAAATTAAGTCCAAGTGTTGAGGGTGACAAGCTTTGCAGGCTGATAAGTGGGACGTGGTGGAAGGAAGTCTTCGGTGAAATTATGGCATGTACTTAAATATTGCCAACTTTGTAATGCGTATCCCTTAAAATATATTCAAACAGCTTGCATTTAATAACTATGAAAATCCGTTTTAATCGATTTTTTTTTTTTGGAAGGCATAAAAATGTTTTATTAAATAAATGAAATAATAGTTGTTAGTTAACTAACTATTACTATTTAACAACTATATATTCTCTTCATATTTTTATTGGTATGTGAGGTAGTGTATCTTTTCAATAAAAAATATGAATGAGAAGATAATTATCAATGAAAGTTTAAAAATTTCTGATTGATTTTACTGATTACCAAGCAATAAACGGTTATCAGTTTAAATACCTCTTTATTTATGGTCGTTTTCAAATGAGATGATAAGCAAATCAGGTACATTTATAATCATGAATCGGATCTACCTTCGGCACTTTAAATTATATTGATTACAGAATCAAAGTCACTGTTGATAAGATCACTGAAATATTCTAGAATTTTTTTAACAAATGTGTATTTCTATAATAAATTTATTTCATATTTTTGTTACGGATTTAAATAAGTTAAAAAAAATAGTTTTAATTTGAATAATAGTTACATTTTTGTCTAACATGATATATAAGAATAATAAATTTTAATGAGGTTAGAAATGTTTTTAAAACCATACACCAAGGGGTATTTTTTTGTTTATTACAACGTTTTATCTGAGTCGATAACCTTAAAATATACTTAAGCCCCTTCTAGTTGGTCTGTAGTTTCGGGTATCAAATTTGTTGCGTAAATATTCACACTTCCTCTGCCATGTACCTAGAGGAATTCAGTCCTATCAGCCAGTTAAGCTTGTTGTGACAGAAAGTTTGCCAAATATATTGCTGGCCATTTTACTGACACGCGACAAGAGCTCTCGAAACCGATAAGACCACGGTATAAAAGGCTGGTCAGTGCGGGCCAGAAGCACAAGTTGCAAGACTTAGCCAACATGAAGGTCTTAGTATTCCTGGCTCTGGCCGTGGCTGCGGCCTCCGCCATCCCCACTCCCGAGCAGAAGCTGACCCCCGTGCCCGTCAAGGACATCCAGGGTCGCATCACCAACGGCTACCCGGCCTACGAGGGCAAGGTGCCCTACATCGTCGGTCTGCTCTTCAGCGGCAACGGAAACTGGTGGTGCGGCGGCTCCATCATCGGCAACAACTGGGTGCTGACTGCTGCCCACTGCACCAACGGAGCCAACGGAGTGACCATCAACTACGGAGCCAGCATCCGCACCCAGCCCCAGTATACCCACTGGGTGGGCAGCGGTGACTTCGTCCAGCACCACCACTACAACAGCGGCAACCTCCACAACGACATCTCCTTGATCCGCACTCCCCACGTCGACTTCTGGAGTCTGGTCAACAAGGTGGAGCTCCCCAGCTACAACGATCGCTACCAGGACTACGCCGGCTGGTGGGCCGTTGCCTCCGGATGGGGCGGCACCTACGACGGATCCCCACTCCCCGACTGGCTCCAGGCTGTCGATGTTCAGATCATTTCCCAGAGCGAGTGCAGCCGCACCTGGTCCCTCCACGACCAGATGATCTGCATCAGCACCAGCGGCGGAAAGTCCACCTGCGGAGGTGACTCCGGTGGCCCCCTGGTCACACACGAGGGCAACCGCCTGGTCGGAGTGACCTCCTTCGTCTCTGGAGCTGGATGCCAGGCCGGACACCCCGCTGTGTTCAGCCGAGTGACCGGATACCTTGACTGGATCCGCGACAACACCGGCATCTCCTACTAAGAGTTTTCAATAAAGTTTTAAAGCATACTTTGTCTGCATTCTTTTAATAAGGGGATTAAAAAAAAATTTTTTTTTGTAGCAGCTTAAAGTAAACTCAACAAGCCTTATGCAAAATTCATTAAAAACAAAGCACGTAGGAATTGGATAGCCCCTTTAATTCACAGATTTACATTTTCCTGTTCAACATCCATAACAAAGCAAATAATTGAACTTCAAGTTTAATCAAGTAGCATTAATACCTGTTGTACAAATTGCCCATCTGCACATTTTAGAAATTTTTGGGGAAAGAGAGGGAAAGATTTTGGGAGCAAGAGTAAATGAGTTGTTTACTTAGCAGCACTTGTGTGGGTTTCTGTGCCTGGCACCTTATTTACACAGCGTTTTTGTCTGGATACGTGACAGTTTCCAAATGGAATATTGTTCTATTTGGTTCACTCTTCACTCTGAAGCGAGAATCTCTCTGGTCGGAACAGTATCCATCAGTCAGTCTCCGTTTCCAGTTCTCCCTTTACAATGACGCACAGAAGTTGGTGCTGGGTTTTTGGGTTCATCCTGTGTGGGAGTTGGAGTGGATCGGCAAAAGGGGAGTTCTACTCATCGGTGGACAGTATGCAGGATCTGGCCCAAGTGGAACGGGAGCTCATCAATGCCACGCGTTCGTATCTTGAGGCTCAGCAAAAGCAGCTCAGCTTTTATCGCAGGTAAAACAATAAGATATTCGCCAGTTCTCTATATTTATTATTATTAATTGTAGATATGTGGATCAAATAAAACGGGAACACGAGTGGGCCACCAATAAATCGAGACTGGATGATTACCTAGGTCACCCTTTGCACGCCTTCAGGTTGATCAAGCGGTTGGTTCAGGACTGGGATGCCCTGGTGTTCGAACCCATTTTAGCCAGCAAACCAAGAGAAGGTGGGTACTAAACTATTGTTATAATTGTAATTAACAAGTTGCCCTTCCAACAGACTTCCGGCAGTTCACAGAGATCTTGGCCAGGGACTTGGGCTACCCCGATCACTCGGAGCTCCAGGGAGCCGTTAAGGGATTGGCCAGGTTGCAGAGGGTCTACAATCTAACGACCCGGGATTTGGCCGATGGCTTCATCAACGGTTACAACTACGACTCCGAGTTGCAGTGGCGAGAGTGCTACGAAATAGGGGTTCAACTCTTCGATCTCAGGGAGTACCAACGATCCCTTGAGTGGCTCCAAGTGGCCTTTATCCTCCTCCGAAACAGCGAAGAAGAGGAGAAGGACGAGAGTCACTTCTTGTCGGACATCCGCGAGTACGTAGCTATGGCCAACTTCGAGTTGGGAAGCCCCAAAAGAGCTGAAAGGCTTCTGGATCAGATCCTGAAACCCGAACCCACACACACCGCCCAACAAACTCGAAAGTATTTGGAGAGCAGAGATCCGGATATTAACTTCGAGGAGCAGAATCCCTCCTGGTTTGCCAATTACACTAGACTTTGCCAGGGAAGAAAACTACCAGAGAAAAGAACAGGTGCTCCTCTGAGTTGCTACCTGGATGGAAAGCGACATGCCTACTTCACCCTGGCGCCTCTTCAGGTGGAACCAGTGCACCTGGATCCGGAGATAAATGTCTACCACGGGATGCTGAGCTCCAACCAGATCATGTCCGTTTTCGAGGAGGCGGACAAGTTGGAGATGGTCCGCTCAGCCGTCGCGGGATCAGGAGGAACCCGTGCGGTGAGGGATCTGCGGGTCAGCCAGCAGACCTGGCTGGACTACACGTCCCCCGTGATGAAGTCCATCAGCCGTATCATCCAGTTCGTGTCCGGATTCGACATGGCCGGATCCGAGTTCATGCAGGTGGCCAACTACGGAGTTGGGGGACAGTACGAACCACATCCCGACTACTTCGAGGTCAATCTGCCCAAGGATTTCAAGGGGGATCGCATCTCCACCAGCATGTTCTACGTGAGTGGGTTTTGGAGAATCGTATATCAGAAATCTATAAATATAATATTTTATGTAGTTATCTGAAGTGGAGCAAGGCGGCTTTACTGTCTTCACCAAGCTGAATGTATTCCTGCCTCCCGTGAAGGGAGCCATGGTCATGTGGCACAACCTCCATCGATCCCTGGATGTGGATGCGCGCACCTTGCATGCCGGCTGTCCAGTCATCGTGGGATCCAAGCGGAGTAAGTGCAACAGTAGGTAGTTGTTGGAAGATACACATTTAATATCACTTTGTGTTGTAGTTGGAAACATATGGATGCACTCGGGCTATCAGGAGTTCCGTCGACCCTGCAACCTCACCTCAGACAGCCACAAGTCCGCAGGTTATCGGGATTAAGTGTTAACTATTCCTTTAATAAATTATGTCTTACTTTAATGAGGTTTCTTATTTTGTATACGAGTAAATGTGCATTAGTCAAATTCCCTGTAATGCAATGAGATTTCGTGGTTCCGTTGGAGATCGCAGGGCCTTACTTTGTCCTGGTTGCGTTCTCGCACCCAAACATTGGCAACTGGCAAAGAATATCGATTAGAAAAGGTTATTTTAAGCCTATAATGTTAACTTACTCCACTTGCTGCCCTGCAGAACAGGACAAGCGGCGTGCTTGGTTCGGTAGTCCTGGTCTCCCGATGGATGAAGATTGTACCAGAAGAGCAGGCTCCCTTTTTCTGGGGTCACCAGCAGGGGTAAGAAGGGAAAAGCTGTTCCCCCTCCAGCTTCCACATCGGAAAGCTGAAAGAATCATTCCTTCAGTTGCAAACAAAGCAAGATAAAGTACAGCTTACATAGTAGATTCCCGTGGCGATTCGGTTTCCGTTGAGATCGTGCTCCTGGTAAATGTGGTTCTCGGGAAAGCTGTCCCAGTGCGGCTCGTAGTGTCCGCCGATCCCGTAGTTGGCCACCTGCAGATCTTCAGCGTACTCCATATTCAGACCCGATAGGTCACCCACATGCCGGCTAAGCAGTTTGGTGGCCGCATTCCTGGAGTAGTTGAAGGAGGCACCCTGACTCGTGCGGAAGGCGGCTGCAGTGGATCCTCCACCTCCTCCAAGTGAGTAGACAGTGGACCTCTTTATCCTGGGTCTGGCGGTCTTCTGCAGAAGCTCCGAGTCCTTCTCGCTGACCACCTGGTGCAGCTGCACCACCAGGGGATCCAAGTGGAGCTCCTCCAGCTTGAAGGGGGCGTACCCCAGTCTACTCCTCCTCAGGCGACACCTGAACCTCCTCTGTTTGGAAGGCAGTGGAGATAGCTCCCCTCGGCACACCTGCTCGTACATGCGGAACTCCCGGGATTCGTGGTAGTCCCCCGGTCTGCGGGCAGTCATGTGGAGCAACCCGTTCTTGTCCCCGTCGGTGATGAGCTCCTCCAGGTGCTGACGAGTCTCCAGAAGGTGGGTCCTTTGCTCTGGTTCAATGGACAGGACGTGGTTCACCAGCCGCAAGGCGCTCTCGTGGGCTCCCATCTCCCGGTGGTAGTCCACCACCGCCTCCATGAAGTCCAGGGAGGCGGACTCCGATCCGTAGGACTGCTGCCCGAGCAGCTGCATCGACTGCTGCAGCCAGGGAACTGTGTGGTTGTAGTCCCTCAACGCGTACAGGTGCTGGCCGAGGACGAAGCAGTCCTGCCAGGACATGGCCGTCCTGAAAGGCAAAACAAAATCATAGAAATCTTATGTCAAACCACTTCCTTTCCTTATTTCGGATTTTCAAAACCATTTCGTGATTTTAGATTGTCATTAAAAGTTGACAAGGTACAGATGAAAAGATAATTGCTGCTTCGTTTAATTATAATTTTATGGCACCAAGATAAAAGCACAATTTTGTCAACCAAACTACTCATAACTACTTTGTGAACTATCAGATATAAGCAGTGAAGATCTCGTTTCTCTACACATTTTTTAAACATTAATCATCTGTTTTTATTTCTCACCCATATTTGACTCCATTGAGGATTCCACTGGCGAGTTCCCCTACGTCGAGTTGGTAAGTCTGCTGCAGTCGAGTCAAGGCGATTGCCGATCCCACAAAGTCATCCTGCGAAGGAAAGCTCAGATTCTCCTTAAGTCTGCCCATTGATTCGAGATAGTCTGCAAGAATATATTTTATTACTAGCCACATTATAATATGAAAAGTGGTATTTGTTAACTAACCTGAGCGACTCGTGTCTGAGGCAATGCTGCCCTCGAAGGTTTCCCAGTCGCTGTGAAGACGTTTAATTAGCCGGAATGCGTTCACCGGATTGTTGAGGTAGTCGTCAAAGCCCTCGGCGGCATTCAGGTGTTCCAAGCGGATAGCGTCGATCTCACTGAGATCATAAACAAACTTATCATTAATCAGACTCATAACTATGGGATTTTGCATAAATTAAGTTATTTGGGATGGACAAACTAAAACTAAAAATTCTCTGGTTGTTATACACAGCTAAAAAAAAACAGTACATTTTATACAAATTAATAATTAATAAAATTAAATTTTAAATTATTAAATATTTAGGTATCACGAAAACATATTTTATGATGAACGTACTATGTATCTTTATGCACTCTTTCCTACACAGTTTTTTTCACAACGCTAATAAATCTGAACACCTACTAATTGAAATCATTTTTCAGAATTATGGTACAAAAAATGGCTTAAAAATATGCAGCACCATAATTAAACGAACAAGAGTAGAGGGTTATCGGTGGGTTACCTGATTTGTATAATTAACGCATTTATTTTCACGCCTGTCGCCTGCATTGCGGCTCATTTAGAAGTCATTAAGTTGGGAGCGTATCCATAATCTGAATCCAAAGCGGGAATAACTAATTTGAGCCCCAGTCTTTTGTTGGAAACTTTATTGTGATGATGATTAAGTGGCAGCACTTGTTCCCAATAAATCTATTTTATATCTTTTCACGCTCTTAACCGAAGAAATTCAATTGTTTCTTACACTCGAAAATAAATACCAGTTTTTTCCGCCGGCTGACTCAGGTATATATATAAATATTATACTTTACAATTTGTTAACGGTTTCTCGTTAAATAACCGGCAATCCGGTTTGCAAAATGCGCATGACAAACAGAATAACCGCTCAAATTACGGAATATTATGCATATCTGAGGCGATAAGTGCACCATATTTCAGCATTCTAAATCTGCCAAGTCGATGACACTTATTTCTGAACAACAAAATAAACTAGCGGCAATTGTTTTTAGATCCGGCGATCGAAATCTCCGCTGGTAGCAATCGATTTTGTCCCCGATAATGAAATGCAAGGTCCCGAAATGATACCGAAAGTGGTTGGCCAGCGATTTGTGCTTTATATGAGCCATTAATTAGTATAATAACCGGCGCAAATAAATCAAGCCAAGAAATAGGAGAAATTAGCAGGCCATAAAACAAATAGCACCCAGCGCATTTAAGGGGTTATATACCTTTTTGAGCGAAAAAAATTAGGGAACTTTGGAATTTTTTTCAGGTGTGTAGCAATTATTTTATGATACTGAGGTTATTATTTATTGATAGTACATGTTTTTATATACACAACAAACGTTTGTTCTTAAAAAAATATAAATAACTTTCGAAGTTATGGCAATTCTCTCATAACCCTTTTTTTGTTATAGCGGCTTGCGGTGACCACGATGGAAGTCCAGCGGGTCAACTAAAATCAATAAACCAAAAATTTTTTATTAGTTTAGTATTATTTCTAGTTCGTCATTGAATTACTTCAAGAATATTTGGTTTTTTCTGCATACAGTAACAATTTTTTCAAAAAATTGAATTTTCGAGCTCTAAAAATTTTATTAAAAATTTCTTATCTGCAAAATCGAAATTGCCGCATAAAAACTGATTCAATGACGAACTCGATACAATCATTACGAATATTTAAAAAAAAATTGAAGAAGATCGATCAAATAGTTCTTGTGCAATCGCGGTCACAGCAAAGGCACTTTTGGAAAAAAACGACTTTGAGATAATCGCATTCAAAGTTTTACGTTGCGTTACAAAGAGTGACGAACCGCGCCTCAAAACGCTGTTTTCCTATCGAACTATTATTCGGATCTCTTCAAAAATTTGGAAAAATGTTCTCTAGGGGATATACTTTAGGATTCAGCTAAAAAAATTTTTTCGTTTTTTTGAAAAAAAAAGGTATATAACCCCTTAAACAAATAGCGTTGCTCGGGGAATTAAAAATCGCCAATCGGCGACAAATCGCTTGGCTGCCATTCTCTTTTAAGGCAACCGGTCGGCCGACAGGCAGCAATCTGCATAATTGTAATAAAACTTACTGAACTTACTGAACTAAAATTTAATATCTCGGTGTGCCATATCTCCCACACCGACACTAATTAGCCAAAAGCGAGTCGTCAACTGAAAATCTGCCCACCCGAGTTCGGTATTGATTTTCTGTTCATGTGGGAGGTCATCCACGCATGAGAGATGAAAAATTCATAATCGAATGCCCGCCGACATCTGTCAATTGTTTTTCATATTTCTGCTGTACTGTGGCAGCAAACATTCGAGTATTCCCAGCTAAATTGATGGTCTCTGCGAATTCCAATTGGCTTGTGCGCGAAGTGAGTATCTAATTTGCATCTGATTAAAGCTGGCCATCTTAGTATAAGCCGAAAACAGCATGGATTAGTAGGCCCTGCTAGAACCTGAAAAACTTTCCATTTTGTTCTGCGAAGAATATCCACTAAACATAAAATTCTATAAGTTCACTCCACTCTGATAAGCAAATTAACATATTTTTAAGTGCGATTTTATTATCAATTTTTATATTCGGTTTATATTTTTTTCTAATGAGTTTTAATTTCGTTGATGGAGACCAATTAAGGTGCCAAAATAAACACTTAATTAACTTTAATTTTTATCGTTTTAAGCTGATTATCACTGACATCTTTGTCTTGTTTAGGATGTACTTTAATTTAATGGAACTACCTTTGCAGAGCCTCTGCATGTTGGTTAATTTCGTTCACGTATTTCTGCAGCTCTGCCAAAAGCATAACCTCCGTTTCAAACAGCTTTTCCAGGCCCGAGGTGGAACTGAAAAACTCTGCATTGCAGGCTGCAACCTGCAGCACCAGAAAAAGGACACACTTGGCCGAAAACATCTCACTTAACCGAAAACGTAAGCGGCTTTCAGACTGCGGACCGCGGATTTGGCTTGCTGTTCCAGCCGCGATTCGTGATAAACTGCTTTCGGTCGGCGGCAGAAGCGACAATCTTAGAAAGATCTGATGAAAAAGCTCGGGGCGTCTGTGATGAAGCGTTTCTGAGCTGCGGGTGTCGATCGAACAGTTCTGGCGCTTTCAGGCCGAGCAGAACGGAATCTCTGGTCAAAGAACTGGCCGCGGGGGCCAAGTTCTGCTTGAATAGGCCCCATAAAGTGAAGTGGGTACCCAGCGAGTTCAATAAACCTGGCATGTTCATTTACATGAGCCAGAAGTTATGGCAATTATTCCCGGAATCACTCAACTCAACATTGAACAATTAAACTCTCCGACTTTTCTGTATTTTTCTGTATTTTCCCCCGCTATTACTTTCACTTCGCTGTCAGCAGCAGTTGTCATTTCACATGACCAAATATTCAAATCTCGCCCAGAAACTTTGCCCGTGAACTTGTTTATGCAAATGAAGCCGGTAAATGAATACGCAACTGGCTTTTGCTCACCGAAAGCTGGCTCTCCTCTTTGTTTTGAGTGACTTCGCAAAGCACTCAAGCCCCTTAACCCACTGAGCTCGTAAGAGCCGAAAAAGATACAAGCACGTTAGCTCGACTTCAGCAACCTTTATTTGATTATCTCGTACTCCAGCGAAACCTCGTGATCCCGGAAAACGTCGCAGGGTCGGGCAAAGGTCTGCGTCACTTCGTGGATCCACACGTTTCCGACTGCAAAGATCAGGCCGAAAGTAATTACAATAATTGCAAAGGTTAACTCGAGAGTCGGTGGAGATGGCTCAATTTGCGCGCATTAACTTAAATTAACCATTATTTCGGCTTACTTGCTGTTTAAAGGGTTTAAAATGGTTGGATTTAAATTTGGTATATAAAATGGTATATCGGGAATATAATTAAATTAAAAAAGTACTACATACTCTACAAACTCATTATAATATAAATAGATACCCATTCACATTTAACAGCACTTAGTTTCGATCATTAAAAGAGCTTTGCCAAATCCGACAAAAATAAATGGCTGATTATACTTACTCCACTTGCTGCCCTTGAGCACCGGACAGCCGGCGTGCTTGGTGCGGTAGTCCATGTCCAGGGAGCGGTGCAGGTTGTACCAGAAGAGGACGTTGCCCAGCTGTGGCTTCACGGCGAAGTCGAGGAAGGGGAAGGCGGTGGCCCCGCCCTGCTCCACGTCGGAGAGCTGCGAGGGCGGATACTTGTAATTGCTTTTGGTGAACCGTGCGGGGATTAGGCCGCATTTACTCACGTAGAAAATGGCGGTGGCAATGCGGTTGCCCTCCTCCGCGGGATAGTGGTCCGGGTCCCGGAAGAAGTCCCAGTGCGGCTCGTAGTGGCCGCCCACGCCGTAGTTGGCCACTTGGAGCTGCTCGCAGTAGGTGGTGTCCAGTCCCGTGGCGTCCTTCAGGTCCTGCAGCATGCCCTCCATGGTGGGATGCGCCTTGTACTCCAGCCAGGCGTTCTTGCTCACCCGGAAGGCGGACTTCTTGTTCTGTCCGCCGGGCAGGGGATTCACAGTGGACCTCTGCATCCGTGGAACTGCCATCTCCCGGAGATGGGCGATCTTCTTGGGGCTGAGTACGTCGTGGAAGGTCACCACGTACGGATCCAGGTTGTGCTCCTCCAGCTTGAGTGGCGCCAAGATCCGGTACGGATGGTGTCCCCGGCTGAATCGGCAGCGCAGCTCCTTGCGGAGAGTGGGATTCACCTCCCCCCGGCAAACCCGCTCGTATTTGGCGAACTCCTGCGACAGCTGGAAAAGGAATTCCCTTTAAGTACCTATGCTTTATTTGGATTGAAAATGATTGTTTCGAACTCACGCTATAGGAATCCGAGTGCTTGGGAAGGTAAACCCCATCGGTGTCCTCCGAGGGCGCAGCTCCCTTGTCTCCCAGGTGCCAGTTCCTTATCCTCTTTGGATCGAACTGGAGCACCCGTTGGCTCAGCTCGTAAGCCGTATCGAAGTCGCCTGGAAAATCGTGTGAATGAGTCTCCCCAAAGCTGGCAAATAACTTTGACCCCAATCTCTTTTTGCTCACCCAGTTGGAACAAACTCTTGGCTGTCGCCTCCATTTTGTTGAGGGTAACGGTATCCGGTCCGCTGGTGGGCGGCGAGTGGGCGTGGCTGCTGTGACGTCGCAGGCGCTCCATCGCCTCCCGCAGCCAGACCCTCGTGTTGTTGTAGTCCTCCATTTCAAAGAGTTGTTGACCCAGCTCGAAGCAATCCTGCCAGCTCATGTCCGAGCTAAAAATACAAGTGGAAATCGTTAGAAGGGACTTATTTGACTTCAATATACGCTTAAATAAACAGCAGAAAGAAGATATTAATAAATAGTCACATTTTCATTAAAAGTTAGTTTGGGTGCTTTAACTCTTTCGGGGGATTTGTTGAATTTGAATGCTTTGAAATCATTCTCAGATAGATTGTAGTATATCTGGTCATGAAGTCAGTATACTTTTCCAAGCCTCTATAATAGTGATTTCGATTGCCGTTGAACAAAAAGGGGACCGGGATTAGATGGAATAGCTATGTATTTTAAGCCTGGCTGGTTATTGCTTATCCACCTCCGCCAAGCAACCCGCTTTTGGGTCTCACCCGTATTTGACGCCATTGAGGATTCCGGCGGCCACCTGGGCCACGTCCAGCTTGTAGGTGCTCTGGAGGCGCACGAGGGCCAGGGCTGCCCCCTCCACGTCCTCCTGGCTGGGGAAGCTCAGGCCGTACTCCCTGCTTGCATTGAAACCTGCAAAGGAATAATCGTTAGAGGGAAGCTCCTTCAGGAGGGCCATCGCCAACTCACTCATGTCCTCCGATAACTGCTGAACCCGACCCTCCATCAACGACCAGTCCGAGTGGAGGCGCTTCATCAGGCGGTACACGTTCACGGGATTCGTGAGGTAGTTCTCCGAGTCCGCCGCAGCCACAGAGTGCTCCTCCTCGATGGACGCCAGCTTGCTGCGGATTGAACGAGTTTCGGATCAGATTTGCCTACCAGTTTAGCCGATTTATGGGACTTGTGTCGTCATAGGAGCTGACTTGCAAGCTTACTCTTACTCGTATTTCGGCTTAATTAATTCTAATTTATGTGTGATTCTATATTCATAATAGTTTTTATGATCGCCGCGATAAGAGACAACAGCGCGAAATCAAATAAAACGAAATGAAATGCCACAAACAAACCCGAAACCTGATAACCAATATTCGCCGCTCTGCAAAGCTGTCAAAAATTATCCAGTATCCGTGGCTAATGCTCCAAGTGGCTAACTACCCCAGATTAGTGACAGGTGGACATCCGCAGTAACACCCATTTCAGATCGTCGACATGACAATTTCGCACAGATAAAGCAGACATAAAGTCTGGCACCTCGTGTGTCGGCGACTCTGTAAACTAGTTCTCCAAAGGGGCAGTAAAACTTTAATGGATCCGCTAACGACAATAGGCCGTAATTAAATTAGCATTGTTTCAAGAAGCGTGATCTAGCTTAAAATATGATAGGTTCTATGGCTGAGGGTTCGACTGAGAAGTTTCCTTTGAATATTATATTCCTTTATAGAAATAAGGATAGACTAAAAGTACAAAGAGATCTACTTTTAGTGTGTCCACTAACCTAAAGAAATGACATTCGGTAAAGGTGTTCTGTGTTACAACAATCTTATGAAAACATACTATTTTATATCTTTTGGTAGTAGTTACTTAGTTATATACTCACCCCTCCAAGAACTGCAGGGAGGTCCTGATTCCATTGACCTTAGACCTCAGTTCCCTGGTGAGATACTGCTCCGTTTGCAGAAGTTCCTCCAGTCCCGTAATCGAAGAAAAATAATCCGCGGCCAAGGATCCCTGACCCAGACAGGATACCACCCCCAAAAGTAGTAAGTGTCCCCACATTGTGGTGTTTGGGAAATGCCCTGGGTGTATCCGCTAATATTTAAGTATAAGTCCTTGCTATATCCGGTAATCTTTTCCAGATTTTCTAGTCCGCCGTCGCTCGCGTCTCGTTGCGAACTGATGTGCGGGGATCTAGAGAGATCCCAGAGATGCGGAGAGCAAACCGGCGGCGAGAATAAATTTCGCATGGGCGATGTCGCAAACTAGTTGCGGTGGCCTATGATTTGATGAAAACTGTTTTAGCCAGTTCTGTGCATGTTCCGACTCGGGGAAGAGCGTACGGGTTTCGGCCGGCGTGTTTTATGGCTTGTTTTGCGCTGATTTACTGATGCTTATCGGCCGAGCTCGTTTTGAATTCTGAATTCGATCCGGGCTCCGATTCTCCGATTCTCGGAGGCGGCTATTGTCTTTAGCCGCAGATTAGACCAGCCCGGCATATTAATCCGGGCTAATTGGCCGTTAGCTCTTTGATATTTAAGACTGCAGTTCGGCTATTTAGCAGCTTTGGCTAGACTCCAATTAACAATTATCGCTTCGTATCCGACTGGTGCGTCACTTTAAATTGGCTATAGTTTATGGACTTCCCTCGGGCGCCAAACTGGAGCAATGATTTGTTGATGAACTGCCCACCATAACTCACTCTGTTTTGATCGGCAATCTATGCTGATTTATCGACTTCAGAAGCTGCGAACAATCAGGTTTTATGGCCCAGTGATTGACTCGCGGGTTTCCTCTTAACAACAAACAAACAAACAATTACGGCTCGCATTGAAGCCTCCCATATCTGGCGTTGTTTGCCCAGCCATTCACACCGGCCCCACCCATCAGCCATCCGCAAAGTAACGCATCAAAAGACTGATTTTAATCAAAGGCCAAGGCCAACTTTATTTGATTTTCCCGCTGGCAATTAATGCATATGTAGTTCGCATCGGAAAACCATGGAAACCCATCGAGCCCGGCCGCCCACGTCAATGGAGTCCTGTCCACGCGGCTGCAACGAAATCGAGATGAATAAAAATGCAAATTTTCATTCAGCAAATAGTGGTAGTCGACCTCGAGTTTCCCTGTATCTTACTCGATTAATTTCAGATAGTACAAACAGTTGTCAAGATCCTAACAATTATTTGCAAGAACTTAAATTGCTTTCGTGGAAATTAATTTCCAAATAAAATGGCAAAGTATCCTTTATATCTGGGTATTCCCAGGCACGTTCGACTAACAGCATTTGGGATATCGAAAGTGCGACAAGGCCACAAACCGAAGCCGCAACTTACACAATTGGACGCCCAGCAGAACGGGACAGACCGCCTGGCCACTTCGGTAGTCCCACTCGGATGACAGTCCTCCGGCGGACCTCGTGTGCCAGAGAAGCAGCGAACCCCGGGGGACGTTCACGGCGAGCTCCAACTGCGGAAAGACCACAGCTCCCCCGATTCCGGGTGCCTGCAACTGAACCGCGGCAGTGTAGCGGAATTTAATTAGTGACACATTAGCCAATTAATTGGGAATGTGGGGAACCACGTACGCTCAGCATGGCACGTGCCACATGTCCGAGTTGCGAGTCGTCCTCCAACTTGGCGGTGTGTTCGTGGCCATGGCGACGTCCTCTCCAGAAATCCAGGTCCCCAGCCTCGTAACCCAGGAGAAGGTTAACTCGCTTTAGCTGTTTCTGAGCCACCTTTGATAGCCTCAGCGGTTGATAGCCCTCTCCCTTCGCAGCCTCATCCTCCTCGTCCAGAAGTTCCGGCAATTGCTCGACCTGCTTTGCGGTCAGAACATCGTGGTGCAACACTATAAACGGGTCCGAGCTTAGTGGCTCCAGTTTAAAGGGTTGGAGGAGGGACCAGGGAGTGCTCCCATCCAAATGGCAGTGGTCGAATCTACTGCCTGTGGTAACTACGTGGGTTGCTCCTCGGCAGAGCTCCTCTATAAGCAGCTGCTCCGCTGACTTGGGTTCCTAATGTAAAAGGGACATCTGGTCAAATAATCGCTGTCATTTGTATTAATTAAACATATTTTATTTATCCCAAAAGGGCATTCCGAGCAATGTATATTTCACCCAATTCATTTCCATTATTTCGTGAAATTACCTCTGGCTCGGAATGTTTTTCATTTCTCCACTCGGATTTTTCAGCTTACCCTTAACCTTTATCAGCCACTTACTTTTGCCTTTGTCTTCGACTTTTGGCCCCTGCCCTTGGGCAATTCCTTCTTAGTCATTGCTTTTTCAATCTTTTTCTTGGCCCTTTGAAGGTTCTGGTTCATTGGCAGCAGCAGCAGCAGCTCCTCCACAGTTGCCAAGGCTCGGGAAAGCTCCCCTGAAAAATAAAAGAGGGAGTACTTTTGAGCATTGGGGCATATTAAATCCCAAGCCAACCTACCAGCTCGGAATTCCATGAGAAGAGCTGCCTCCAGGATCTGCACCTTCCCCCGTTCCCGTTCCCCCTCCGAGTCTGTGGAGTTTTCCGAGGCGGAAGGCAGCTTTTCCAAGGCGGTTTCTAGCCAAAATTTAGCCACGGAGAAGTCCGATTTGCGAGCCATTTCTAGGCAGTCGCCCCAGGACATGGCGGAGCTACAAGTATGCAAACAAGTTTTGGTTATTTTGATTGTTTCGGATTTCTCATCTTGCATTCTTTCCGCCTTGTGGCTTCCTCACCCCAACTTCAGTCCGTTGACCACGCCCAAGGAGAGACTGGCGGGCTCCAGCTCATAAACCGACTGAAGGTTTAGCAGGTGGTCGAGGGACTCCTCGTAGTCCTCCTCGCTGGGCAGAGTCAAATCCCGGTCGGAGAGACCGTCTCCAAAGGTTATCTGGTGAGTGGCATTGGCCTGCTGCTCCAGTTTCGGCCACACTGTATCGAATCGCTTCAGGATGGTAAGCACATTCAGGGGGTTTCCCATGTGCTCCTCCACATTTTCCACCCGACTGTGGATCTCCTCGATTGCTGAGGTCTCCCGCCGAATCTCCTCCAGCTGCAGTTCCAAGCGATCGATGTAATCTCGCAGCTCGTCGATGAGCAGAGTTTCGGTGTCGAGAAGAGCCTCTAATTTCTCCGCTCCCCTGGCGAAATTAGCTCCAACCACGGAACCCTTCAGCAGAAGCAGCTGAACCAGCCACAAAACACCGAAAGCCGCCGGCATTTGCATAATTAGATGTCTCCGGTGTTTTTTAGACCGACTTCGCTCTTTTCTTTGCTCTTGGGCCTCAGGTCAATGACTAGAGATTTTTTTCTATTTTATTATTCGAAACAGAACAGAACGAAGACAGTCGACTGAGCGTCTTGAATCGCGGGGCTAAACTGAGGTCGAAGCCTATTTCTCTGTTTATCTTAAGAACGTGGTGAGTTTAGCTTGAAAGCCATTCGATTGAAGAATGAATCTCTGGTGAATTGTAAAGGTCTCGGATTAGGTTATTTTCATTTATTTTATTTTTTATTTTGTACATATACGAGTATATAAATTATTTGTGCTCCAAGTCTAGGAACTTTCCCTCATCGCTGTTAAGTTTGCATGGTCGCTTAAACTCCTGGGCTCCCACATGGAACCACTCATTGCATACTGTAAGATACAATTCTGTTCAGATAATATCAGTGCTTGATGGATTTGGTACACTCACTCCATTTGGAACCTTGGAGAACTGGACAACCTGCATGTTTGGTACGGAAGTCCTTGTGCGTGGATCGATGTAGATTGTACCAGATCAGAAGACTGCCCTTAACAGGCGGAACTGCCAAGCGGAGAAACGGAAACGCGGTGGCTCCACCCAGAGCAACATCGTTGAGCTGAAAAAATTAGGCCTAAAATTAAATCATTTCTCTATGTTTTTAGCTATAACTTGGCCAAAGAAAGTCACACAGCTAAAAGAATGACTGTTTTTTACAGCTGACAACCTAGTTATCCACAAATGTATCTTTTTGGATGACTTTAAAAAATTAATTTTTTGGCCAATTTTCGCATTTTTGATAAGGGGTAACATCATCATTTTTTGCGAAAATTGGCCAAAAATAAAATTTTCCAGATTTGAATGCCAGTCGATTTGTGGTGTAAATACAAGCTTAAAAATGTATGACATTCCATATTTGGACCATTTTTTCAATTGTTATGGCCAAAATACTGTTTTTTGTATGAGCAGATTATCCCCGGAAAAGTCGCGCTTTGGGCAAAACTGCAGCAGAATACAACCCTCGACAGTCGATGTTGAAAATAAGTTATATTTAGGAAAAACTTACATAGAAGAGCGCAGTCAAAAGACGGTTACCCTTCCAGCCAAAGACAGATTGACCATCTCCCTGGGGAAAAGAGCGAAGAATGATTAATTCATAATTCACAAATTCAGTATCAACTTTACTTCAACACTCACCTCCATGAAGTCAAAATGGGGCTCGTACTGTCCTCCGATTCCGTAGTTCACCAGCTGCAGGGGCTCAGCACTTTCCGTGCTCAATCCGGTGACGTCTTCCAGTCGCTGTTTGATTTTGAGGAGCCAGGGGTTCTTCTCGTACCACAACCAGGTGTTCTGACTGGTCCGAATCTCGGTGGTCGTCGAGTTCTCCGACTGACCCACCCTCGACCGCTCCATTTGACCCTTGCCGTTCTCCATTATCATTTCCATTTCGCTGTCAGCCAGGACTTCGTGAACGTAGGCCACATAGGGGTCCAGATTCAGCTGTTCTACTTTGAAGGGAGCCAGTCGGTAGAAGGGAACACCCTGGTGACTTAGCCAGCACCTGAGATTCCGCTGCTCCCGGGGAGATTGGTGGAGTTCCCCTTGACAGACACGCTTATACAGTTGGAAACTCTCCTTTTGCTCCTAAAGAAACAAGTTATTTATATTCAGTTCGCAGATCAGGCTGATCCACTTACCCTTTCAGTCTGCTTAGGCAATTCCACTTTTTTCCCAGGTCCTAGACTTCGCTCCTTTGCCAGTTTCTGCTGATACAGGTTTCTGTTCTTCAGAGCCTCCTCGTGTCCAGATTCCTTATCTAGTATTTCGTTATTGAGTTTGTGGGCCAGCTTCAAATTGCCCAATTCGTTGAAGGCAGGAGCCAGTTGTTCCAAAATCTGGACATCGCTCATATTTGGTGATATCAAATCCGAAGGCTCTCCATGTAATTTTCTTCTAGCTTCCAGAAGCCATTCGGATCCATAGGAGTACTCCTTAATCTGGCAGAGATTTTTACCCAGCTCAAAACAGTCACTCGCACTCAGCGAGGTGTCCAGTTGGTTCTTCTCCTCAGCATGGAGAACTCCGTTAGCCAACTTTTTGGTAGATAGCTTATAAATGTCCTGCAGACGGAGAAGACCACGAGTGGCTCCATTCAGATCCTCTTGAGTGGGCCCCTTGAACTTGATCTCCTCAAGAGAATCGCTTAGGGCACTCTTGTAGGTTTCAAAGTTACTGGTATCGAATACAGGATCGAATACATTAAACTTCCAGTCGTGGACAAGCCGTTTTATGGTTATGAAAGCATTTAGGGGATTTCCAAAGTAATCCTCGAGATCCAAAGGGTTGACTTCCAGCTTCTCCACCTGATCCAAAAACCTTTAACAAAAAGTTTCACTAGTTACGCGTGCTTTTATTCTTTTGTCGGAATATCCATACCTTTTAATATTCTGCTGTTCTTTTTGGGCCCTGTCCAGATACTCATCGAACTTTTCCACTATGAAGGCCTCCACGTCGAGCAGTCGCTCCAACTCACTTATCGCTGAGTAGTAGTCCCCATTGACTGAGAAAATGCAGAGCATCGAAAGAATGGTAACCCGGAGCATTTTCACTGTTCTGAGTTCAATTTATTACTGTTCTGGGTTTGAGATACCAGAATTCGAAGACTGTCTGACTCCGACGATTGCAGCTAAGCAAATATTGAAACAGTTGGGGGTTTCGGCATTTCTAATTTGGATAAGAAAGTAGGTGGATGTGAAGAGAGTTCGCCAGAAAACAGGAGAGACATATGCTTGTTTTATGATCAGTACAACAAATCACATTCAGTGACAAAAAAATTAAGAAATCAAAGCGTGAAAAATACATTTTTAATGCTTAAAATCATATTTAAATCAAGCGTTTTCGAGCTCAGTTTGTTTTAAGATGCCCAAGTCTAAACTCTTATTTTCACAGTTTTTTCTTTTATTTTTGGTAACAGGTCTCGGCAAATCAAAAGTAGTGGAAAGGAACTATGCCATATCGATACACGGCCTGCAGAAACTAATTGGTTACGAGCATGACCTTTTAAATACCCTACAAGACTTCACAGACAGTCTGCAACAGAGAGTGGATACCATAGAAAGGTAGGTAGAGAGTCAAAAATATATATATTTCAAGTTTAATTTGCATCTTAAAAGCTATTTGGAAATGATGCAATACGAAGACGATGTCCAGTTCCCCACCAATCCCATTGAATCTTTTCGAGTCATGCGCCGACTGCACTCGGATTATTCTAATTTGCTCTGGCTTCTGAAAGAGCAGCCATGGGAGGGTAAGTATATCCAAAGTTATGCATAAATTATCACTCTTTTAATGAATTGTAAAGATTTTGCTACGAAGACAAATGCTCTTGCTGGGCTTTTGCCTACGTCCAAGGACATCCATGAGGCTAGGAAAGGCCTGACTGTCATCCAGGGTACCTATTCAATCCTGGCTGACCAAATGGCTCGGGGCGTTCTTCAAAACGTTCATCACAAGTATGAAATACTCTACAAAATTCAGATTCTGGAGACTAAACCATTTCCCTAAGCACGTCACTCAACGCAATGGAGTGCTTCACCATCGCTGAGGATTTAGTGCGTGACGAGGATTACAGTGCCGCGATGGAGTGGCTGGATGTCGGTGCGAAAATGTACTTGGCGGATCGGGAAAATCAGGACCTGTACACTCATCTGGGATTTCCCCTGGCAAGTTACTACGAACTCCTCGCGGAGATTCAAGATGCACTAGGTAGGGCGCTCCAGTTGACAGACTAGTACACTAACTTGTGGGTAAAATAACACAGGTTCGCGAGTTTTTGCGATGACCCAGTTGGAATCGGCCATGGAGTACTGGCCGGGTGAAGTCAGCTTAGGACGGGTTCACTCTCGGCTGCAAATGAATATTCGCATAGGCAAGGAGCCGGAGAGAAAGGTAAGTACTGCATTTTCGTACGGACTTACATCCAATTTTTCACATCCTAGGAAGAGAAGAGAGTATTGGAAAAGGATAAAGTCTATAGGGATTGCTGCACTGCGGAGTGTCGACCCAACTCGAAGCTCTTCTGTGTGTACAACACCACCGCCTCTTACTTCCTCCGACTGGCTCCTCTCAAGACGGAGCTCCTATCCCTCGACCCCTACGTGGTGCTCTACCACGATGTGGCTTCCGAAAAGAACATCCGTCACCTCAAGAACCTGGCGCATGGAGATCTCGTCCGTGCTGTTACGTACAGATCGGACGGATCGCAGCAGGAAGACCCCCATCGCACCACTAAAGGAGCCTGGCTTGAGAATCCGGATGGCGTGGTGCAGAGGATGACGCAGTTGATAGGGGACATGACCAACTTCGACATGGAGGACTCTGAGCCTTTCGAGGTCATGAACTACGGAATAGGCGGGTACTACCACATCCATCACGACTCTCTTTCAGAACAAAAAGTAAGATCTTGAAGAAAACATGGCTCCCCTTCTAATCTTGAATATTGGACAGGCAAAGATTGAATACGTTTCGGATCGCTTAGCCACAGTCATATTTTATGTAAGTGTTGCAAGCTTTATTACGACTATTTTTGATATATTCCTATTAATATTCCCGAAGTTAAGCGAGGTGCCTCAAGGCGGAGCCACAGTCTTTCCGCAGCTTAAGCTGTCGGTTTTTCCCAAGAAGGGCTCAGCTCTCGTGTGGTACAATCTGGACCACAAGGGCGATGGCGACAAAAGGGCAGACCACTCAGCCTGCCCAACAATAGTGGGTTCTAGATGGGGTAAGATCGGCTGAAAAATATATTTCGAGATCAATTTATATCTATCTATTTTCGCAGCCATGACCAAGTGGATAGGTGAAAGGGGTCAAATTTTCCGGAAGCCGTGCTTGAAATACATTTAGGGAACTCGTTTCCAAGAAAATCAACAGCAATGAGTGTACATTTTATAGTATTAAAAAAAAATAATAGTAAATGTGTTTAGTCATGCTACTGTTCGCAATAAGATTCACATTTCATAGTTAGTATAAGTTCTCCTCTTTAGCCATGTGGTGGGGTCTAAAATTGTCTATTGTTTTGGTGGTGCTAAGTCCCAAATGTTTTTGCTCGGCAAAACTAGAACACTATTTTGAACTTGACTTTCAACTTATGACACAACTGAAAAGCTATTCTGTACATCTCCAGAGCCATATTGGTTTGTTAAATCGGTGAGAGAACTAATCAAGTTTTATTTACTGAGTGAAATGTACCTGTTCCATTTGGCAGTTACATAAATGATAGAAGAGCCAGGCTGGCAGATATGGGAAACGATCGAGAAGAGTATCTGGGCAACCCAGTTAATAGTTACTCCTTACTTCACCGACTGCACTTCGATTGGCCAAGATGGCGTAAGCTAATGGAGAAGCCCTTGGCTACAGGTAATACACAGGATATTTTTTACGGCAGACAATCCCTTCTTGTATAGATTCCTAGAGCAAATCACTGAGATGCGGGAACTACTTACCCAGATTCCAACGAAGCAGGAATTCATGAACTCGACAAGAGAAGCTTTAGATTTCCATAATAAGCAAAACCATTATGTTGAGGAAAACAAGTTTCAGTTACGGTTTGTTGGAATCTTATTCTTCTTATTTCTTATTCTTATTCTTATTCTTATTAAATGAGTACTTATATTTCCCCCCTTATAGTCCGACGGAATCTCTGGATATCGCTTTGTATGCATACGACCACGAGAACTTCGAAGAGGCAGAAGTCTGGCTAAATAAAACTCTAGAGGGACACAAACATGTGCTTCCCCAGCAAAAGGAACTGTATGAGGTGATCAGCCCCGTCAGTAAAAGTCAGATCGAGGATCTCTATGAGAAAGTGCAGAAAATGAAAAGAGTAGATTAAACTCCATAAGCATTTTGTAAAAGCAGTAGTGGAGACCAGAGTTAATATTCGAATAAAACGCTCCCTCATGTTTATTTAAAGAATTTAGTTATGGTTTGTAGGGTGACAAATTCTTTCAGAAATACTTATTCTTGCTATTTAAATCCTCAGTTACTATTGCAATCATGAAGACCTCATATACATTACTAGTCTTTTCAGTTTTCGCATTTTTCTCTCTTTCAAAAGCTCAGGCTTCAAACAAAGTTAAAGATGGTAGTCCTTTACCGATGTTCAAACTTAAAAATCTGTTGTGGCTTAACTTAGATTTGATGGATGACCTAGAGAACTACATAAAGGCGCTGGATGCGAAAATGAAAATCATTAACGAGTAAGTAACTTTTCAGCTATCACCACTGCACTATGGTTTTTTTTTCGATTTTTTTTGGCATAAACTCTAATTTTAAACCCCTTGAATTTAAATTTGGTTTGAATACATTTTTTAAGCTCCCAAGATGACCTACCAAGTTTCAAATGATTTAAAGCACTATTTCATATAGCTGTCATATAACCGATCTGGCCGACATACAAAAAAACTCCATTAAACATTTTTATTTCTTATTTTCTTTATGTTATATTTAATAAAAAAAACAATTATCCAAGATCACATTTTAGTATTCATCTCCATTATTAGTGCTTCAATCTGAACGTAAAGATACATTTTACAAAATTTTAAATAAGTTTGGTTATGTTACTTACTATAGAAATTACTCAATTTTCTTTTTTGATTTTTTCAAAAACGTGTGGATTCGGACAAAAATGGTTAGTTTCTCATTAATCTGCACACTTTGGTTAATAATTTCTCATTTAAAACTTTTTGCAACACTTTGCAATCGGACAGCCCACTCAGCCTGTCCAACGATTGTGGGTTCTAGATCGGGTAAAAAAATATATTTTCAAATTAATTACTCTACCCATTTTCGCAGCTATGACCAAGTGAACAGGGGAAAGGGCCCAAATTTTCAGGAAGCCATGCTTGAAATACATTGAGAAAACTAGTTTCGAAGAAAAACATCACTAATGGATGTACATTTCATAGTCTTAACAATAAATAAAAACTAAATGTGGTTCGTCACGCTAATAAGTTCTACATTTTTTTTTTTCGCCCGAAAACGGACCGAGGGCTCAGGTGGTTTCGAGATGCCCAGGTCTAAGCTCTTGTTTTCACAGTTTTTTCTTATATTTCTAGTAACAGGTCTCGGCAAATCGAAAGTAGTGGAAAGGAACTATGCCATTTCGATACACGGCCTGCAGAAACTAATTGGTTACGAGCATGACCTAATAAATACCTTGCAAAATTTTACAGAAAGTCTGCAACAGAGAGTGGATACAATAGAAAGGCAGGTAGAGAGTCAAAAATATATATTTTTCAAATTTAATTTGCGTCTTAAAAGCTATTTGGAAATGATGCATTACGAAGCCGATGAGCAATTTCCGACCAATCCCATTGAAAATTTTCGAGTCATGCGGAGACTGCACTCGGATTATTCTAATTTTCTCTGGCTTCTGAAAGAGCAGCCATGGGAGGGTAAGTATGTCCAAGTTTTGAACAAATTATTACTCTATTTATGATTTGTATAGCCTTCGCTACACAGACAAAAGCTCTGGCTGGGCTTTTGCCTACGGACAAGGACATCCATGAGGCTATCAGAGGCCTGAACACCATCCAGTCTATCTACTCCATCCCGGCTCACAAAATGGCTCGGGGCATCCTTCTTAACGTTCACCACAAGTAAGAATTTATTTCTGCGAACTTCAGATTCTGGAGACTTCACCTTTTCCCAAAGCACGTCACTCAACGCAATGGAGTGCTTCACCATCGCTAAGGATTTAGTGCATGACAAGGATTACAGTGCCGCGATGGAGTGGCTAACTGTGGGTGCGATAATGTACTTGGCGGATCAGAAAAATGAGGATTTGTACACCCATCTGGGATTTCCCCTGCCCAGTTTTATCGAACTCTTCGCGGATATTCAAGATGCACTAGGTAGGGCTTTCCAGCTCAGAGTCTAGTGTACTGACTTGTTGGTAAAATGACACAGGTTCGCGAGCTCTTGCGATGACCGAGTTGGAATCGGCCATGGAGTCTTGGCCGGATGAAGTCAGCTTGGGTCGAGCTCACACTCAGTTGAAAATGAATATTCGCATAGGCAAGGAGCCGGAGAGAAAGGTAAGTACTGCATCTTTGTACGGACTAATATCCAATTTTTCACATCCTAGGAAGAGAACAGAGTATTGGAAAAGGATAAAGTCTATAGGGATTGCTGCACTGCGGAGTGTCGACCCAACTCGAAGCTCTTCTGTGTGTACAACACCACAGCCTCTTACTTCCTCCGACTGGCTCCTTTCAAGACGGAGATCCTATCCCTCGACCCCCTACGTGGTGCTCTACCACGATGTGGCTTCCGAGAAGAACATCCGACACATCAAGAACCTGGCGCAGGGAGATCTTGCCCGCGGCATGGTGTACAAGTCGGGCGGAACGGTGGGGGAAGACCCCGGTCGCACCACTAAAGGATTCGCGCTTGAGAATTCGGATGGCGTGATGCAGAGGATGACCCAGTTGATAGGGGACATGACCAACTTGGACCTGGAGGACTCTGAGCCCTTCCAGGTTATGAACTACGGAATAGGCGGGTACTTCCACATCCACCACGACTCTTTTAAAGAACAAAAAGTAAGATCTTGAAGAAAACATGGCTCCCCTTCTAATCTTGAATATTGGACAGGCAAAGATAGAATATGTTTCTGATCGCATAGCCACAGCCTTATTTTATGTAAGTGTTGCGAGCTTTATTACGACTATTTTTGATATATCCCTTTCAATATTCCCGAAGTTAAGCGAGGTGCCTCAAGGCGGAGCCACAGTATTTCCGCAGCTTAAGCTGTCGGTTTTTCCCAAGAAGGGCTCAGCTCTCGTGTGGTACAATCTGCACCACGAGGGCGATGGCGACAAAAGGACAGACCACTCAGCCTGCCCAACAATAGTGGGTTCTAAATGGGGTAAGATCGGCTGAAAAATATATTTCCAGATCAATTTATTTCTATCTATTTTCGCAGCCATGACCAAGTGGATAGGTGAAAGGGGTCAAATTTTCCGGAAGCCGTGCTTGAAATACATTTAGGGAACTCGTTTCGAAGAAAATCAACAGCAATGAATGTACATTTTATTGTATTAAAAAAAATAATAGTAAATGTGTTTAGTCATGCTAATATGTCATGTTCCCAATAAGATTCACATTTCATAGTTAGTATAAGTTCTCCTCTTTAGCCATGTGGTGGGGTCTAAAATTGTCTATTGTTTTGGTGGTGCTAAGTCCCAAATGTTTTTGCTCGGCAAAACTAGAACACTATTTTGAACACTATATTTTTTTTATATATCTGCCATATAACCGATCTGGCCGATTTGCCCCAACTTTTTTGTTTATCAAGCTATGGCTTTGAAATTTGGGTTGTATTCAATCTGAAAGTAAAGATACATTTTACAAAATTTTAAATAAGTTTGGTTATGTTACTTACTATAGAAATTACTCAATTTTCTTTTTTGATTTTTTCAAAAACGTGTGGATACGGACAAAAATGGTTAGTTTCTCATTAATCTGCACACTTTGGTTAATAATTTCTCATTTACAACTTTTTGCAACACTTTGCAATCGGACAGCCCACTCAGCCTGACCAACGATTGTGGGTTCTAGATGGGGTAAGATCGGGTAAAAAAATATATTTTCAAATTAATTATTCTACCCATCTTCGCAGCTATGACCAAGTGGATAGGGGAAAGGGGCCAAATTTTCAGGAAGCCATGCTTGAAATACATTTAGAAAACTAGTTTCAAAGAAAAAGAACACTAATGGATGTACATTTCATAGTCTTAACAAAAAAAAAAACAAGAAAGGAAGCTAGCTTCGGCAAGCCGAAGCTTATATACCCTTGCTGTCATCAAATATGTCAAAAAAGAAAATTCATAAAGGCTAAACAACATCGAAGCTATAACGATTTTTCTATTCATTTTCCATATTTCCGACTATAGATCATATGGGAGCTATATGATATAGTTGTCCGATTTCAATTCAAATTTAATTCGTAATTTAAGAGTCGTAAGAAAACTCTATATTTCAAAAATCATACTTGTCTGATGAAAAACCACGATGTTATAATTTTACTTCCGTTATTTCTATATAGATTTTTCGATCTTTCCTATGACAGCTATAAGATATAGTTGTCCGATTTTTATGAAACTTTTTTCTCAATATAATAATTGTTAAAAAACTTGATATTCAAAAAATCATGCTCATGGGATAAAAAACAACGATGTTATCAATTTATTTCCATTAATTCTATATATATTGTTCGATTTAACCCGAAATTCAATAGTAGTTAGAAAACGCCATCTGGAAGAATTCAAGTCGATCTGATCAAAAACAACGGCGTGAGAATTTTTTATATCATTCTCTCGTATGGGAGATATCCGATATAGTTAGCCGATCCGGCCCGTTCCGACTTATATACTGCGTGCAATAACTACACACCTTTTTCCCAAAAGTTTCAGCAAGATAGCTTTAAAACTGAGAGACTAGTTTGAAGAGAAACAGACAGACGGACAGACGGACAGACGGACAGACGGCCAGACGGACAGACGGCCAGACGGACAGACGGACAGACATACAGACGTATTCTGATTCTACTCCTGATGCTGATCAAGAATATATATACTTTATGGAGTCTGAGGTGTCTCCTTTACTACGTTGCAAACTTCTGACTGAAATTATAATACCCTTTTGCTCTGCAAGGGTACAAAAAGTAAATGTGGTTCGTCACGCTAATAAGTTCTACATTTTTTTTCGCACGAAAACGGACCGAGAGCTCAGTTTGTTTCGAGATGCCTAGGTCTAAGCTCTTGTTTTCACAGTTTTTTCTTATATTTCTAGTAACAGGTCTCGGCAAATCGAAAGTAGTGGAAAGGAACTATGCCATATCGATACACGGCCTGCAGAAACTAATTGGTTACGAGCATGACCTAATAAATACCTTACAAAATTTTACAGAAAGTCTGCAACAGAGAGTGGATACAATAGAAAGGTAGGTAGAGAGTCAAAAATATATATTTTTCAAATTTAATTTGCGTCTTAAAAGCTATTTGGAAATGATGCATTACGAAGCCGATGAGCAATTTCCGACCAATCCCATTGAAAATTTTCGAGTCATGCGGCGACTGCACTCGGATTATTCTAATTTTCTCTGGCTTCTGAAAGAGCAGCCATGGGAGGGTAAGTATATCCAAGTTTTGTACAAATTATTACTCTATTTATGATTTGTATAGCCTTCGCTACACAGACAAATGCTCTGGCTGGGCTTTTGCCTACGGACAAGGACATCCATGAGGCTATCAGAGGCCTGAACACCATCCAGTCTATCTACTCCATCCCGGCTCACAAAATGGCTCGGGGCATCCTTCTTAACGTTCACCACAAGTAAGAATTTATTTCTGCGAACTTCAGATTCTGGAGACTTCACCTTTTCCCAAAGCACGTCACTCAACGCAATGGAGTGCTTCACCATCGCTAAGGATTTAGTGCATGACAAGGATTACAGTGCCGCGATGGAGTGGCTAACTGTGGGTGCGATAATGTACTTGGCGGATCAGCAAAATGAGGATTTGTACACCCATCTGGGATTTCCCCTGCCCAGTTTTATCAAACTCTTCGCGGATATTCAAGATGCACTAGGTAGGGCTTTCCAGAGTCTAGTGTACTGACTTGTTGGTAAAATGACACAGGTTCGCGAGCTCTTGCGATGACCGAGTTGGAATCGGCCATGGAGTCTTGGCCGGATGAAGTCAGCTTGGGTCGAGCTCACACTCAGTTGAAAATGAATATTCGCATAAGCAAGGAGCCAAAAAAGAAGGTAGGTACTGCATCTTTGTACGGACTAATATCCATTTTTTCAAAACCTAAAAGGAGGACAGAAAATCAGAAACGGATAAAGTCTATAGGGATTGCTGCACTGCGGAGTGTCGACCCAACTCGAAGCTCTTCTGTATGTACAACACCACCGCCTCTTACTTCCTCCGACTGGCTCCTCTCAAGACAGAGATCCTATCCCTGGACCCCTACGTGGTGCTCTACCACGATGTGGCTTCCGAAAAGAACATCCGACACATCAAGAACCAGGCGCAGGGAGATCTTGCCCGCGCCATGACGTTCAAGTCGGACGGAACGGTGGGGGAAGACCCCGGTCGCACCTCTAAAGGATTCTCGCTTGAGAATTCGGATGGCGTGATGCAGAGGATGACCCAGCTGATAGGGGACATGACCAACTTGGACCTGGAGGACTCTGAGCCCTTCCAGGTTATGAACTACGGAATAGGCGGGTACTTCCACATCCATCACGACTCTTTTAAAGTACAAAAAGTAAGATCTTGAAGAAAACATGGCTCCCCTTCTAATCTTGAATATTGGACAGGCAAAGATTGAATATGTTTCTGATCGCATAGCCACAGCCTTATTTTATGTAAGTGTTGCGAGCTTTATTACGACTATTTTTGATATATTCCTATTAATATTCCCGAAGTTAAGCGAGGTGCCTCAAGGCGGAGCCACAGTCTTTCCGCAGCTTAAGCTGTCGGTTTTTCCCAAGAAGGGCTCAGCTCTCGTGTGGTACAATCTGGACCACAAGGGCCATGGCGACAAAAGGACAGACCACTCAGCCTGCCCAACAATAGTGGGTTCTAGATGGGGTAAGATCAGCTGAAAAATATATTTCCAGATCAATTTATTCCTATCTATTTTCGCAGCCATGGCCAAGTTGATAGCTGAAAGGGGTCAAATTTTCCGGAAGCCGTGCTTGAAATACATTTAGGGAACTCGTTTCCAAGAAAATCAACAGCAATGAGTGTACATTTTATAGTATTAAAAAAAAATAATAGTAAATGTGTTTAGTCATGCTAATATGTCATGTTCCCAATAAGATTCACATTTCATAGTTAGTATAAGTTCTCCTCTTTAGCCATGTGGTGGGCTCTAAAATTGTCTATTGTTTTGGTGGCTCTAAGTTTTCACAAATGTTTTTGCTCGGCAAAACTAGAACACTATTTTGAACTTGACTTTCAACTTATGACACAACTGAAAAGCTATTCTGTACATCTCCAGAGCCATATTGGTTTGTTAAATCGGTGAGAGAACTAATCAAGTTTTATTTACTGAGTGAAATGTACCTGTTCCATTTGGCAGTTACATAAATGATAGAAGAGCCAGGCTGGCAGATGTGGGAAACGATCGAGAAGAGTATCTGGGCAACCCAGTTAATAGTTACTCCTTACTTCACCGACTGCACTTCGATTGGCCAAGTTGGCGAAAGCTAATGGAGAAGCCCTTGGCTACAGGTAATACACAGGATATTTTTTACGGCAGACAATCCCTTCTTGTATAGATTCCTAGAGCAAATCACTGAGATGCGGGAACTACTTACCCAGATTCCAACGAAGCAGGAATTCATGAACTCGACAAGAGAAGCTTTAGATTTCCATAATAAGCAAAACCATTATGTTGAGGAAAACAAGTTTCAGTTACGGTTTGTTGGAATCTTATTCTTCTTATTTCTTATTCTTATTCTTATTCTTATTAAATGAGTACTTATATTTCCCCCCTTATAGTCCGACGGAATCTCTGGATATCGCTTTGTATGCATACGACCACGAGAACTTCGAAGAGGCAGAAGTCTGGCTAAATAAAACTCTAGAGGGACACAAACATGTGCTTCCCCGGCAAAAGGAACTGTATGAGGTGATCAGCCCCGTCAGTAAAAGTCAGATCGAGGATCTCTATGAGAAAGTGCAGAAAATGAAAAGAGTAGATTAAACTCCATAAGCATTTTGTAAAAGCAGTAGTGGAGACCAGAGTTAATATTCGAATAAAACGCTCCCTCATGTTTATTTAAAGAATTTAGTTATGGTTTGTAGGGTGACAAATTCTTTCAGAAATTGTTATTCTTCCTATCTCAGTCTTCAGTTTTTATTACAGACATGAAGACCTCATTGGCATTTCTAGTCTTTTCTGTAACCGCGTTTTTCTCTCCTTTAAGAGCTCAGGCTTCAAGCAAAGTTAAGGATGGGGGCCCTCTACCGATGTTCAAACTTAAAAATCTGTTGTGGCTTAACTTAGATTTGATGAATGACCTAGAGAACTACATAAAGGCGCTGGATGCGAAAATGAAAATCATCAAAGAGTAAGTAATTCCTAAGCTAACACCACTGTTAGTCCGATCGGTCCTTTCCAGAGCTCTTTTCGACATGTCATCGTATCACATTAAATACGAGCATGCCAAGGAAAGTATTATTGACAGTCCCGTGGGAAGTTTCTCCTTGATCCACCATATGCAGTCGGACTGGACCCATTGGCTGGTTTTCCTACAAGAGGAGACGGGCCAAGGTACTAACAACTAGGCAAAGAGCGCACATATTATTTTAATTTAACCAAAATGGATGTCTTAGATGAAATGGACTCTCTGCTTTCCAAAATACGTTATCTACCCACTGAACAGGACGTCTCAAGTGCCTGCCAAGGAATTTCCAGGATTACAAATGCTTACGACTTGTCGCCCGAAAAAATTTCAAGGGGCTCGTTCTTAGGAGTCCAGTCAAAGTAAGTAATTATAGCTCTAAAGCTCGAATATAGTTCGTTTTAGGACAATCCCAACCATATATAGGTCCCTATTGTCTCCTCGTGATTTCCTCCAGTTGGCAGATTATAGTATGGCCAATAAAGATTTTGAAAAGTCTGAGCAGTGGCTACAGGTTGCTATATCCTTGCTAGAAAATCCTAGCTATCAAAAACGAATTTTACCGCTTTTCCGTCTAAACGTCGTTGATTTATATTTGAAGCTATCAGAGGTTTACGTTAAGAAGCGTAAGTGAAATACTCTTCTATACAAGATACAGTTAATATTTGAAATATTTTCTTAGAAATGTGGCCTCGAGCTCTCGAAATAGTGGAGACAGCCTTAAAGTTTCAAACCAGAAATGCAGCACTTCTTCAGATGCAAGAGCACTTAAGTTACCAGATTCTTCTCAATCCACCATCAAATGCAACTCACAATTTAAGGAACGGAAAACATCCGCTTAGGAGAAACGGGAGTCTTCATTGTTTTTACCAGCACAGAGGTGGATTTCCCTCCCTGTTTTCCACTACGTTGAAGGCAGAGATACTCCTTGTTGATCCCTTGACGGTTTTTTACCACGAAACCCCTAAATAATTTGAATCTTTTATATAAATAAAACGTTGAGAACATCTGTTAATTTGGAAGAAATAAGAAGTCTTCAACGACTATGTATATTTGTTGAAAAAATAGTATGTAAACTGCAGCGCAGATCATATTATAAGTTTTTCAAGGGATAATAATGCCTTGGTACTTGACTTTGAGTCGATGCACGGCCTTCTGAACTCTTGTCCCATGTCATACACCCACTTGCTGATAACTACAGATTGTGAAAGGGACATTAGTTATCAAAACACCTTGCTTGTAGAGGTACGAACCCCATTTGGAACCCACGATTACTGGACAGCCCGTGTGCATGGATTTCATGTGATCGTTGCCCTTCCAGTCCAGGTTGTACCAGAAGAGGGCCGAGCCGAAGCTCGGGAAAACCGTGATGTTGAGCTTTGGGAAGTAGGTGCCGCCTCCTTGGGGCACGTCGTTCAGCTGGAGGAAATGAAAAATCAGAAAAATAACTTGATTAGACTCAAAGTACTGACGTAGAAGAGCGTAGTGGACATGCGGTCTTCGGTTCCGTTGAATCTCGCGTTTTTCGAGAGCAACAAATCAAAGTGCGTCTGGAAGTAGCCACCCAGGCCGTAGTTGACGACCTGGAACACCTCGGAGTAATTCACATGGAGACCAGTTGCATCTCCCAACCGCTCACATAACTTCAAGGTTCCCTCGTTAAAGTCATCATCGAGCCACGCGGACATCGAAGTGCGGTGTCTGTCGACTAAAGATGTGTTCGAAAAGTCGTCCACCGGAACTGTCGCGGACGGCAACATGTAATCTCTGCTGGAGGATCGTAGCAGAGCACTCTCCTTCGGGGTGACCATGTCGTGCAGGATGGCCATGAAGGGGTCCGTCGAGAGGATTTCTGTCTTGATTGGCGCCAGTCGCAGGAAAGGAGCGGTTACATGGTTGTACACGCAATACATTCTCCTCAGTTTTCTAACGACTTCACAACGACCACTGCAACAAGGTGGAAAATTCTCGCTTTCGTCGGGATCATCTGGCTCCTCCTCCAGCGGTCCGATCTCCGACAGTGAGAGAATTCTGTTTTCCAGGCTCTGATACTCTTGAAATACTTCTGAATCATGTGGCGAAAGCTTGAGGGCAACCTGATACGCTTGCAGAGCGCCCTTGTGATTTCCTGACAGTAATCGAGATTTTCATAAAAGCCCTCTTGGGAATCCCTTTCATACTGACCCTGCTTCATCCGCACTTCGCCCAGTGTCCTGTGCAGGAGAGCCTTCGTTGGTCCTCTGAGCGATTCCATCTCTGTCTGGAGATCCACTGCTTCCAAGCCACTGAGAATCCATGGCTCGGCAGCCGACCAAATCGATTGGTTCATAAGATGGTGAGCGATCGCCAGGCAATCAACAGGTGCCAGCGAAGAGCTAAGATAGAGGTGAGCTTAGTTTCCCTGATTTGATACCCTAACCCTACTACACCCACTCATACTGCACTCCATCCAGCAATCCTCTGGCGATGTCACTGGCCATCATCCCGTAAGTCCGTTGCAACATTTTGATTCCATGAGCTGCGTCGGCAATGTCGTGGTCCTGCGGCAGGGAAGTCTTATTCGAGTCTAAGAAACGCAACTCTTCTGCAAAGGGACATGCTCAGCTGGTGAACAACACGACAAGTGCAATTACCCACCCTGCCCCACTGGCTTTTCCAGATACACTTGCCACATCAACCAGTCCGCCTGCATGTGACGAATGAGGGAATAACTTTTCAAAGGGCTGGCCCAAAATTGTTCGCTAGGATTGTAGTTCTTGTGCCTTTTCCTCATCTCGTGGATTCCCCTTAAGATTCACAATGTCTTAAAACCCAGGATCGATGAATGTTCAAGCTCACCTCCTAATGGTTTTGGCTTTCTGCAAGAGCTCATCTGCAAACTTTTCCAGATTGCCGACCAAAGCATCATCCATTTTCAGCAGGACGTCCATATTCATGACAGATCTAGAATAGTGTTGTTGTCTGGGTTTCTTAAGGAGTTCTCCCCAGCTGCTGCTAAAAAAAAGAACTCCCAGGATTACCAGGCTGCGTATCAGCATTCTGAATCCAACAGTATCAAACTAGACCGAAAAACAACTTACAAACCTTGGAGTTTTATAATTACATTATGCCCCTTTTAGTTTCACCTTAATATGAAATTAGAATTGCCTCGGTGCAAAGTGTACAATTTTAGAGGCTTATTATTAATACAACTTAAAATAATATGAGCTAGAATAGCTTTTCTACAGATAACGAATGCTTAGAATTTGCTTTAATGTCGATGCAGGACCTCCTGAACTCTTGTCCCTTATCGTCTATCCACTTGCTGACCACTAGGAGGTATATTTTAAATTAAAAGAACAAATAGAATAGGAAATTTACAAACCCCATTTAGAGCCCACGATGACTGGACAGCCAGTGTGCATTGTGCGGAGTAGGTTGTTCCCCTTCGTGTCCAAATTGTACCAGAAGAGCACCGATCCGAACTTGGGAAAGACCGTGAGGTTTAATCCCGGGAAGTAGGTTCCTCCGCCTTGGGGCACATCATTCAGCTATAATGTAATAATATATACTTATACACTTATAACAAGAACCACTTAACTCACATAGAAAAGAGTGGTAGCCATTCGGTCAATGGATCCGAAGGTGAATCGATTCTCATCCGAATGAAGCAAGTCCCAATGCGTTTCGAAGAAGCCTCCGATTCCGTAGTTGATCACCTGGAAAGGCTCCGAGTGTTTCATATCCAATCCTGTTGCATCCCCCAAACGATTAGCGAGTTTAAGGGTAGCCTCGTTTGCATCGTCATCGAACCAAACTGACTTTGATGTTCTTGAGGAGGCAACTACAAAGTCAGTTGTGTCGTTATCGATTGTTTCAGAGGGAGTCAAGAGCTCCTTGCTCGAGGATCTTATTAGAGCACTCTCCTTGGGATAAACCATTTCATGAAAGACAACGACGAAGGGATCTGTCGAGAGGATCTCTGTCTTAATGGGAGCAAGTCGCAAGAAGGGAGCGGTTGCATTGTTGTAAACACAATAAAGTCTTCTAAGTTTTCGGGGTACTTTACAGCGGCCACTGCAACAGGGAGGCAGCTGCATTTCCTCGATGTCATCATCGGGTTCCTCCTTTATTGACTCACTTCCTGATGATGTAAGAAGGGTTCTGGTCAAAGCTTGATACTCCTCGAAAATTTGTATATCATGTGGCGAATATTTCAGAGCCTTTTTGTAAGCTTCCAAGGCTTCTTTGGGTTCGTCTGCAAGCAAGGATATTTATTCTTAAATAAAATTCGTTCGGCATTTTAATTACTCATTTTGATTCGCACTTTTCCCAGTGCCCTAAACAGCTCAGCGATGTTTGGTCCTCTTAACATCTGCATTTCTGTTTGAAAACCTTTACGATCCTCAGCATTAATGCCAGCAAGAATCCATTGCTCGGCGGATGTCCATCGATTTTGGTTCATAAGGTGACGACCCATTGCCAGGCAATCAACAGATGCCAAGAAAGAGCTAGTTAAACATTTATATTAACTACTTCAAGATCGGACAAAACGAGACGTACTTATACTGCACTCCATCCAGTAATCCATTGGAGATATCACTGGCCAACATTCCGTAGGTCGCCTGCATTCTTCTTATTCCATTAGCAGCATCTGCAAAGTCGTGTTCCTTTGGCAAAAACTGTTTCTTTGACTCTACAAAAGCCAAGTGTTCCGCATAAGAAGAGTGCTCCAAATACTGACTCCACATCAGCCAGTCTGCCTGCATGTATCGAATGAGGGAATAACTATGCAAGGCCCTAAATTCCTTGAGTTTTTCCTTCTTCATTCTCTGATGCATTTCCTTCATCTGGAGAACACCCCTTTAAGGCCTAATGTGTCTTTATAAGAACCTTAAATACACAAATTGATTACTAGACTCACCTCCTAATAGTTTCGGCTTTATTGGTAAGCACAGCAGCATAACTTTCCAGATTGGCTACTAGTTCACCCTCCATTTTTAACAGGTCGTCCATATTCACCACGGATCTAGAATGGCGAAGTCCAAGACCTTCGCTAAATGACAGAATACAAAAAAGCAGCAGCTTGCCCACTACCATTCTGAATCTTACAACATTGGAGTAAATGAGAAGCTAAAACTCCCAGAGTTTTTATAATAACATTAACTCTGCTATTAGTTCCACCTTCTTCGTGGAATTGCAAGCCTGGCAACCAGCTTATCAATAATTTTTTAATGTTTTACACATTTTACTAATTATCTGTATTTTTCCCCGCTCAGCTTAATTATTATCTAGGCAAAAACAGTTGCCGGCTCATCTTCCTTGGGTGCGTGTGAGAACTGGTTTCCAACCGAAATCCTTCTCTCCAGAGCTCTTTTCGACATGTCATCATATCACATTAAATACGAGCTTGCCAAGGAAAGTATTGTTGACAGTCCCGTGGGAAGTTTCTCCTTAATCCACCACATGCAGTCGGACTGGACCCATTGGCTGGTTTTCCTTGTACGACTTGTCGCCTGGAAGAATTTCAAGAGGCTCGTTCTTAGGAGTCCAGTCAAAGTAAGTAATTAAAACACTAAAGCTCGAATGTAGTTCGTTTAAAGACAATGCCTCCCATGTATAGGTCCTTATTATCTCCTCGCGACTTCCTCCAGTTGGCAGATTTTAGTATGGCCAATAAAGATTTTGAAATGTCGGGGCAGTGGCTGCAGATTGCTATATCCTTGCTAGAAAGTCCCAGCTATCAAAATGTAAAATATCAGCTTAAGAGGAACGGGAGTCTTCATTGTTTTAACCAGCACAGAAGTGGATTTCCCTCCTTGTTATTCACTCTGTTGAAGGCAGAGATACTCCTTGTTGATCCCTTGACGGTTTTTTACCACGAAACCCCTAAATAATTTGAATCTTTTATATAAATAAAACGTTGAGAACATCTGTTAATTTGGAAGAAATAAGAAGTCTTCAACGTCTATGTATATTTGTTGAAAAAATAGTATGTAAACTGCAGCGCAGTTCATATTATAAGTTTTTCAAGGGATAATAACGCTTTGGTACTTGACTTTGAGTCGATGCACGGCCTTCTGAACTCTTGTCCCATGTCATACACCCACTTGGTGACAACTACAGATAATGAAAGGGCCATTAGTTATCAAAACACCTTACTTGTAGAGGTACGAACCCCATTTGGAACCCACGATTACTGGACAGCCCGTGTGCATGGATTTCATGTGATCGTTGCCCTTCCAGTCCAGGTTGTACCAGAAGAGGGCCGAGCCGAAGCTCGGGAACACCGTGATGTTGAGTTCTGGAAAGTAGGTGCCGCCTCCTTGGGGCACGTCGTTCAGCTGGAGGAAATGAAAAATCAGAAAAATAACTTGATTAGACTCAAAAAACTGACGTAGAAAAGCGTAGTGGACATGCGGTCTTCGGTTCCGTTGAATCTCGCGTTTTTCGAGAGCAACAAATCAAAGTGCATCTGGAAGTAGCCACCCAGGCCGTAGTTGACGACCTGGATCACATCGGAGTAATTCACATGGAGACCAGTTGCATCTCCCAACCGCTCACATAACTTCAAGGTTCCCTCGTTAAAGTCATCATCGAGCGACGCGGACATCGAAGTGCGGTGCCTGTCGACTAAAGATGTGTTCGAAAAGTCGTCCACCGGAACTGTAGCCGACGGCCACAAGTAATCTCTGCTGGAGGATCGTAGCAGAGCACTCTCCTTCGGGGTGACCATGTCGTGCAGGATGGCCATGAAGGGGTCCGTCGAGAGGATTTCGGTCTTGATTGGCGCCAGTCGCAGGAAAGGAGCGGTTACATGGTTATACACGCAATACATTCTCCTCAGTTTTCTAACGACTTCACAGCGACCACTGCAACAAGGTGGAAAATTGTCGCTTTCATCGGGATCATCTGGCTCCTCCTCCAGCGGTCCGATCTCCGACAGTGAGAGAATTCTGTTTTCCAGGCTCTGATACTCTTGAAATACTTCTGAATCATGTGGCGAAAGCTTGAGGGCAACCTGATACGCTTGCAGAGCGCCCTTGTGATTTCCTGACAGTAATCGAGATTTTCATAAAAGCCCTCTTGGGAATCCCTTTCATACTGACCCTGCTTCATCCGCACTTCGCCCAGTGTCCTGTGCAGGAGAGCCTTCGTTGGTCCTCTGAGCGATTCCATCTCTGTCTGGAGATCCACTGCTTCCAAGCCACTGAGAATCCATGGCTCGGCAGCCGACCAAATCGATTGGTTCATAAGATGGTGAGCGATCGCCAGGCAATCAACAGGTGCCAGCGAAGAGCTAAGATAGAGGTGAGCTTAGTTTCCCTGATTTGATACCCTAACCCTACTACACCCACTCATACTGCACTCCATCCAGCAATCCTCTGGCGATGTCACTGGCCATCATCCCGTAAGTCCGTTGCAACATTTTGATTCCATGAGCTGCGTCGGCAATGTCGTGGTCCTGCGGCAGGGAAGTCTTATTCGAGTCTAAGAAACGCAATTCTTCTGCAAAGGGACATGCTCAGCTGGCGAACAACACGACAAGTGGAATTACCCACCCTGCCCCACTGGCTTTTCCAGATACACTTGCCACATCAACCAGTCCGCCTGCATGTGACGAATGAGGGAATAACTTTTCAAAGGGCTGGCCCAAAATTGTTCGCTAGGATTGTAGTTCTTGTGCCTTTTCCTCATCTCGTGGATTCCCCTTAAGATTCACAATGTCTTAAAACCCAGGATCGATGAATGTTCAAGCTCACCTCCTAATGGTTTTGGCTTTCTGCAAGAGCTCATCTGCAAACTTTTCCAGATTGCCGACCAAAGCATCATCCATTTTCAGCAGGACGTCCATATTCATGACAGATCTAGAATAGTGTTGTTGTCTGGGTTTCTTAAGGAGTTCTCCCCAGCTGCTGCTAAAGAAAAGAACTCCCACGATTACCAGGCTGCGTATCAGCATTCTGAATGCAACAGTATCAAACTAGACCGAAAAACAACTTTCAAACCTTGGAGTTTTATAATTACATTATGCCCCTTTTAGTTTCACCTTAATATGCAATTAGAATTGCCTCGGTACAAAGTATACAATTTTAGAGGCTTATTATTAATACAACTTAAAATAATATGAGCTAGAATAGCTTTTCTACAGATAACGAATGCTTAGAATTTGCTTTAATGTCGATGCAGGGCCTCCTGAACTCTTGTCGCTTATCGTCTATCCACTTGCTGACCACTAGGAGGTATATTTTAAATTAAAAGAACAAATAGAATAGGAATTCAACAAACCCCACTTCGAACCCACGATGAGTGGACAGCCAGTGTGCATTGAAAAGTCGTGTTCCTTTGGTAAAAACTCTTTCTTTGACTCTACAAAAGCTAAGTGTTCCGCATAAGAAGAGTGCTCCAAATACTGATTCCACATCAGCCAGTCTGCCTGCATGTGTCGAATGAGGGAATAACTATTCAAGGCTCTGAATTCCGTGAGTTTTTCCTTCTTCATTCTCTGATGCACTTCCTTCATCTGGAGAACACCCCTTTAAGGCCTAATATGTTTTTATAAGAACCAAAAATACGAGAACTAATTACTAGACTCACCTCCTAATAGTTTTGGCTTTATTGGTAAGCACAGCAGCATAACTTTCCAGATTGGCAACTAGTTCACCCTCCATTTTTAACAGGTCGTCCATATTCACCACGGATCTAGAATGGCGAAGACCTTCGCTAAATGACAGAAGACAAAAAAGCAGCAGCTTGCCCAATTCTGAATCTTACAACATTGGAGTAAACGGGAAGCTAAAACTCCCAGAGTTTCTATAATTACATTAACTCTGCTTTTAGTTCCACCTTTTTTTGAGAATTGCAAGGCCTGGCAAACAGCTGATCAATATTTTTTTTAATGTTTTACACAATTTACTAATCATCTGTATTTTTGCCGCTCACCTTAATTATTATCTAGGCAAAACCAGTTGCCGGCTCATCTTCTTTTGGTGCGTGTGAGAACTGGTTTCCAACGGAAACCCTTCTTGGCAATTATGTAATATTCTATGGGGTCAACTGCCGCGGTCAGTTGGAATCCAAGAGCTCTCGAGAGCGGATCTCAGATACAATGGTTTATCCGGCCTTATCAGCACTTCTGCTGGTGTTCCACCAACTATTCTACTTGGTTTCTGGAGCGGAGTTCTACTCCTCCATACACGAGATGACCAAAGTTTTCGGTTACGAGCAGAAAATGCTGCTGCATATGCAGAAATTCCTAGCCGATAATCAGGGAAAATTGGATTTCTTAAAAGCGTAAGCAAGAAACAAATTATTTTAAAGCCTTAAAAATATTCTTTATTACTATTGGATTAGACGGCTGCGGGAGTTCGAGATTGAGCGGGACGAGGCCCGTGATTGGGGTCCATCCTATTTGGACAGTCCCCTCAACAAGTATCTGCTGAATAAAAGACTAACCGTAGATTGGCAGCGAGTGGAAAACCTCATGGTGACATCGACAGGCGAGAGTGTGTGAAGAACCGACAAATTAGAAAGCACTTCTAATCACTTTTTACCTTCAGAGTCACTGGGTCGTCTAAGGAAGCTAAGGAATCGGGAGACACTGCCCAAAAAACGAGATCTGGAGGGAGCCATAGATGGCCTGCTGAAACTGCAGTTTGTCTACAGACTGGAGGCCAAGGACATAGTCAGAGGAGTGTTAGATGGCGTAGATCATGGGTACTTAGGGCATTCCACTCTCCTCGGCACTTACTATATAACAAGGCTTGTAATTATTCTAGCACCCAACTGAGCTCTGAGGATTGTGTGGATATAGCCAGATTGGCTCTGAGCTACCATCATCCCCGATTGGCTCACTCCTGGCTGATTGAAGCCGGAAATCGCTTGCCAGGCGGAGAAAAGGCAGAGGAACTCAGACCACAGGTGCTGGCTCTTCTCGTGCAGGCAAAGGCGGAGTTGGAGGACTTTCGGGGTCTCAATGACACCTACCAGGAGCTGATAAAAATTCAACCGGCCAGTGAGGAGCACGCTCGGAATTACGAAAGCTTTCTGCAGTCCCTGGGCGAAAAAGCGTTGGTAAATGACTCCAAACCCATACTTGAACATGCTGTAAGTGGTGTTACAACTAGAGGGGATCCCTTTTATTCAAGATTTATTCCCGTTTAGCCCGTTCCTGAGGAGAGCCAGGTTGTGGACCCGTTCCAGGCCTTCTGCCTCACCTGCAGTGGCCATTGGCAACTCACTCCCAAGGAGCGGCGCCATCTCCGCTGTGGTTACGTCACCGAAACGCATCCCTTCCTCTGGATCGCTCCCCTCAAGGCGGAGGAGCTCTTCCAGGACCCGCTGCTCGTGGTATACCACGACGTCATCTACCAGAGCGAGATCGACGTGATCAGGCAGCTGACCAACAACCGGCTGGTTCGGGCCATGGTGACGGGCGCCAACGAGTCGGTGGTCTCCAATGTCCGCACCAGCCAGATCACCTTCATTCCCGCCTCGGCGCACAAAGTGCTGGCCACCATCGATCAGAGGGTGGCGGACATGACCAACATGAACATGAAGTATGCCGAGGACCACCAGTTCGCCAACTACGGGATCGGTGGCCACTACGGGGAGCACATGGACTGGTTCGATCAGATTTCTGTAGGCTTTACTCCCTTACAAGACATTTCTATTTAGTAATTTTTTTCCTGCCCAACAGTTTGATGCTGGCTTGGTCTCCTCTCCGGAACTGGGTAACCGCATTGCCACAGTTCTTTTCTATGTAAGTAAAGGATTCCTGAAGCAACTGTTCAAACTAAACTTAAATCAAACTTAAACCACCTAAAGCTCTCGGATGTTGCACAGGGTGGAGGCACAGCCTTTCCACGACTACGGACACTCGTAAAGCCAAAAAAATACGCAGGTACCTACATTTACTCCTGATTCCTTATGGGTTCCTTAACTGTAACCTGGTATGCCCTTCCAGCTGCCTTCTGGCACAATCTGCACGCCTCTGGAGTCGGAGACGTTCGAACTCAACACGGCGCCTGTCCCATAATTTCCGGTTCCAAGTGGGGTATGCTTCTTGATTTTAATCAATTATAGTTCACTTAAACCAATTTATTTTATAGTGCAAAATCGCTGGATTCGAGAGATCGACCAATCAGATCGGCGACCCTGCGAACTGTGGGATGATTCGTTGGCTACCTACGCCCAGATTTTGGAAGTGGAAAAACGGATGGAGGCAGAGGCAGCCTCTCGAAAAGTTTAACTAAGTTTAAGTAAGCAATCGAGTCAAGTTTGCGGTGAACCAAGTTCTTGTATAGGGCTGTAAGTATACGAAAATATAGATTGAGATAAAGAAATGCTTAAATATATACTCACTGTACCTTTTTTCCAACAACCCCCAAGTAAGTACACAAGATTGAATACCTGAGGTTCCGCCAGGAGTGGGAACCCCTTTCAAAAAGATGCTTTATTTGTGATCTGTTCTGTTCTCTCGCCGCTTAAACATTGCGCCAGCTAAGTTAGAACCAACACTAATTAATTGCGTACTTGCTAGTACTGCTGATGCCCCGGCCCCGCCCTTCTTGAAGGTCGGGGGTCACGGGTCACGCCTTTGGCCTGCAGCTGTCCCTATCTTTCCGATCTGATCTGGGTCTGGTCTGGTCTATCCGCAATATGTGTGTATTTGAATAAATTCAATAGAGTATGTCTTAAAACAAACATCCATATGTAATTGTATAAGTAATGCATTTAAATCCAGCAACAACATTTATGTAGTAATTATTTCTCTGCTCTGGGCATAATAGTACAATAATAATGACAATAATTCTCTGCTATATGTATAAGTTGGAAAAGTTCACCGCTCTATCCATCAAAACATTTATATAAATTTCTCTTCTTTTTTTTTTTTTTTGATTTTCCTTTGATATTTTGTTATTTTTTTTAGATTTTTTTGCGAAAATAATTTTCTGGTAGGTAAAATAGTTCAGTTGGAGACTTTTCGCATTGTTGCTCTTTAAAAGGACACCGAGTGAAAGTTTTTTGACTATGCAAATGTGTCATGTGTATAAGGGTTAAATTCGCTTCATTATGTCTTTCATATGTTTTGCTCTTCTTTCGCTTTTTGTGGTGGGTGATTTGCTAGACTGTCACTAGTTTAGTTAAAGTTTAGTTTCAGTTACAGTTCTAGCTTTAGCTTTAGCTTTAGCTTAGTTTTGTTTGCTGCCAAGGGATTGTCTTGGGGGTACATTCATGGTACTTTGAAACATCGATATACAAATACACTGATTACATAAATATATAGTATATGGTGTGTATATTCAACTTGCATTTCTGCGTTAAAATTTGACTAAGTTACTCAACTTAAAATTCTTGCCGCTCCGCCTGGGATTTTCTTTGGGGGAGTTTATTGAAATTACAGTTTCTTTCCTTAAATATACGTTAGTAAATTACCATTTTCTATATATATTTTTGTACACCTATAAACATCTATATACGAGTATCTGTGCTCTGGAGTTCGCAACGCTTAAGTTACACATCGATAATAAGTTTCTCCTCCCTTCCGAATATTTTGATATAATTGCATAACTTGTGGGCTAGTTGCCCGAATCCTCTTTTCTTCTGCTCTCTTTCCGGTTGACTTTGAATGTGCTCGTGAAAACTTCTGCTTCCGCACCTTAGATCTCGTAGTTGCGGAACTTGTTGGCCACGTCGGTGTTCTCGCCGCCCCACTCGGCCTTGCGACTCCCGTAGTACAAGGCCGCCCCGCCCTCGGAGGCCCGCCGGTGGGCGGGGTTGGGCGAGGCTGCGGTCAGGCCGCCGCTGCTGCATCCGGCGCCGGACCCGGGTCCCTGGGCAGCTGCTCCTCCGGTCTCCGGCAGCATGCGGTCCTTGGTCTTGGGGGTCACCCAGTGCATGGACTTCGTTGGGCGGACAAAGGGTGAACAAAGGCATTTAATTAGATACAATTCCGCGGTTGTGGTCGAGGACCAAGGACCTTCGTTTGCACGGATGTCCCCGTCCTCGACTTCGCATGCAACAACACACACGGACACACACAGAATTGGATGAAGAGGTACATTCAAGAGAGGTTTGCATTCAGTGGAGTTCGTCGGGCACTCAGGAGCGGGCTTATAGAGAAACACAGAGAGAGGGGAGGGGGAGGGGCTTCAAAGGGGTATTTAAACATCTAAACTACGATTGCAAGAAATATTAGAAAGATAATAGAAAGGGGAATAAAAGTTTCAAATTTTTTAAAAAAAGATTAGCATAAGTAAATAAGTATTTAAACAGTTGCAAACTGGATTTTTAAAATAGAAACAATGACTACAAACTTTAAATTTATATGTGACTCATTGGCAATCGGACTCTTCTAACCGTTTGAAATATAAAACCCAGGGATCTTTACTCGGGTAAAATTAGATGGAAGTCTCAATGACAAGTTGTAATTAAAAGAAGAAACAGCTGAAGCTAAAAGGCACCGCTTTTCCATTAAAAACTCCCTTTAAAGGAATTTGTCTTGTTTACTGTCCCCCTCGAAATTTATTGATTTAATGGAGTGTTTCCCAGCCTGGGAGCCTTTTCACCGTAAAGTTTTAACTAGGTGTCCGGGCTGGAAATTAGAAATGCAAATACGGACTTGGCGCTCATAATCCCCGCCCCATTCTGAAGGCCGGACAACATCGGCCGCTGATGGATGGCGACAATTTCCGCTCGGCCCGCCTGCGGAAATTACCATTGAGCTGCACGTGGGGGTTTTCGGGTGGGCTCGGAATAATCGCGTTAATTGTGCTACAACAAAAAAGAACTCCGCCTTTGCTTACAAATTTCATTAGGGGGCAAACAAACCAATGAAGGGACACAAAGCAGGCACAAGTGTTGACGCAGTGCAGCGGGACAGGGGATAATAATAAAGGATCAAGTCTTCCTTTGTGCCTGAGAGAGGGAGAGAGGACTAATAAAGAGGGAGTGAGAGTGTGAGAGAGACGGGGCGACTACTTCTCTGGTTCGCTGAGTTCCTGGCCCATACCGCATACCTCTTTATCCACTTTCTCGGCAATCGTGTATCTTCTCACCTGACCGACATGCTCCTTCATGCCCAGCCACTGCTTGTAGCTCATCGAGATGCCGCTGTTGCGCCACTTGTCGTACACGGCCCTCTTTTCGGGGTCGCACAAGGTCTCCTTGGCCTCCTGGAAAATATCACATTTTTGGCCAAATTAATGGGTGCCGCCAAAGGGAGCAGAGCGTTCAAGAGGTTTTAATTTTGTGCCTCAGCATTTCACAGTCTTTGAATTTTATTAAAATTTCCCTTCTCCGACACTGTCTTTCTATGAATATTCTGTGGCCCAGAACCAGTGTAAGTTCTCAATTTACAGCACAAAATGTGTAAGGCGAAACAAACTTTAATCTATTTTGCTCGATACCGAACATGAAAGGGGCACATACAGCAAACCCCCTCCCCCTCCCCCTCCCCATTTCCCACGAACACTGATCAGCCCCATGAAAGTCAGGACTGGGATTTGCTCAAGTGCAAAATCAACAGCTGCACAGGTTTCGGATGCCAACCCGTCCCCCAGTTCTTTTTCCGCCTTGGCTCGGCCTGCATGTTAATCAATTTCATATGCCTTGCTATAGCACACTTACTGGCGTGCCCACACACACACACACACGCACACAATGGGGATACCCGCACTCATACACACTCATCCGCAGAGAGCCCTCACATATTTGCACGCTCAAGTGATTTTGATAGCCTCGGCTGGGGCTTGATATATATCTTGACTACTTTTACCGCCAGCCCCAACACACACACACACACGCACACACACAACCACAGCGGTAGACACCGATACGCTTGGCGGGTGTTTAATACACACAAAAGGATGCACTAGAAAAAACTAACAAATGGAGGAAGAATATGTTTTAAAAACGTTTAGTTTTTCTCTATCACCTGGTTCTTCTTCTGATAATGATTTATCCTAACCTACGATAAATTGATTTTAGTAAAATTGAATTGAATTTATTTAAACTATCGATTGTGTTTTCCAGTGCAGATATGCAGATAGACAGACACCCACTTACACACATGCACAATTGGCGCTCTGAGATTTCATCGCTCGACGGCTGTTTTATTGTTCCGGCAGCTTTTCGGGTCCTGTTTACATGATAATCAATTATTTCACTAGCCACTGATTATGTGGGTCAGCAAACAGGGCTCAAAACCCGAAGAACTGAGGAACAGGATAACCTGGAGGCCTGCCGGCTTGTTTGTCTTCAATTAGGGCAATCGCTTAGTTGCTTTTTCTCGAAATAATTCAGGATCCTGGATAATTAGCAGTTCGGAAGCGATTCATCTGCACCCGACGAGAGAAAAGTAGCTATACCACACTATAATCCGGACCTTGTTAATCCAGCTAGTGTATCCTTAGTCAATTTAGTGTCCTTGGAGTGTATTGTGTGTCTCCCGACATCCCGGGGGAGTTGAGGGGACAGCTTGACAACTGCAAATTGTGTTGTAATTCGTTAGTCGAATGCCGTGATGATGGAGTCCTGGCTCATTTGCATACTCCTCGGGGAGAGCTGTGGAATTTCCGTAGAACCTCCAACCTGACTCGGCCTTTGAAATCTCAGCGTTTCATTTTAAACGCTTCATGGGCCCACACACTGGTTTTGTTTTATGGCCCGCCATAAAGGTAAGTCCTCCTGCACATCGTGGCATATTCTGGCATATTTACGAGCTCCGCACACATGCACGTCCAATTTTACGAGCCGTAAATTGTACGGCGCGTTCCTCCCGTTCCGCCGGACAGCGGCACGAGCTCCTGAACAGCTATAAGTATGATTACGACAAGGGGGGAGAGCCCTGGTCCCTGTCCAGGACCAAGGACCCTCGTGCATAATGGAGGGCAGGGATCCGCGTTCCCCCTTAATTTGCCTTTCGTTGTTTCAGTGTGTTAAAACTTTACGTAAGAGGGAGAACGGAAAATATAATTTAACAACCTGCAATTCCCTGAAATGCACTTCGCTGAAAAGCTTATCAGCATTCAATTGAAAGGAAAGTTGGCATAAAGCAACTTGACTTTTCATATGTTCCGGCATAAAATAACAATAGCTATTACAAAAGAGTATAAGCCCTAATAGGAAAGATTTAATTTCAAGCCTTACTTAGCGAAATGTAATATTAAATTGGTTTCACCACCTGTCAAACCCTATTTTACTCTTCATTCTCGCTCTATTAGGTATACCATCCCCAGCAAAATTCACAGGATCCAGCACTTTTCTCCACATAAATTTGATTTTGTTTTTAGCCACACGTTAATGAGTTGTCGGGTTCCGACACGCCTTTTTCAACCCCGCCCTTTGTTCGCTGTGGGGAAAATCAATAAACGTTTCAAAAAATATATTTTGTATGGGTAATTTATTTTATCTCATCGCTGGCGCCTTGTTTTTCTTTTGTCGCTCGGAAAATTCAATTTGAGGACGCAGCGCGTGTTTGTGTGTGTTTGAGCAACTGTACATCGAGTATGTGAAAGTGGGTTAAGTGCACGAGTGTGAGTGTGCGAGTGGTGTGTGTGTGCGTGTGCAAAGGGCAGCCATTGTTTAACGCAGCTTAAAACTTTCCCCAACTGACAGACACGATTTGAATAGATGCGTTCGCTTGACTGGTCGCCAGCTAATTACAGAAACTATCAGGGGATGAGCGCTTTCAAGGAGAACGCTCTCCACAGACTCGGCCAACTTATCAAGATTCAAAACATAAAGTTCTCAACTCAAGTCAAGCCATTTGTGCGGCTCAGAAAGTCGAGCAACTTCAGCTGCACTCAACTTTTCCCTTGGCTTTTCATTTATATTTTTATTCGCCCTTTTTAGAATTTACGCTCTTGACTTGAAACATTTCGTCTAAGTGCGTTGCATTTCAGAGCTTAAATTATTTTAAGTTATTTTTCAGAACATCATGGATTGTATGCTCAATAATTATCCTTTGCTTTCTGACGCATCCGAGATAAGTACGAGGATAAACTCCAGCAGAGGTATCGAACTTCTTAAGCTCCCACACCTGGATGTTTAAGCAGAGCAAGTATCGGGCTTGAAAAACATTAATTTTAAGCCTGCTCCGGCAACTTTCATCTCGAACATATTGCCCCACAGGCTGTCAAATTTACAATCCACACCCCTCCTCCCCGAAAATGAGAGGCTCCCCAGGAAACTTCATTAAATATGTAAAATGCCGAAACGCTCGCCTTTTCTTTATTTCAGGCGCTGTTTTCCTTGGATCTTTTACGTGTTTTCTTTTGCCTACCTTTAGCTGCTGGAACTTGGCCTCCGCCTCCTTGTCGCCGGAGTTCTTGTCGGGATGGTACTGGAGGGCCAGGACCTTGTACTCGGCCTGGATCTGCTCGGGCTGAAAGCAAAGGAGGGAAATGCACAAATTAGTTGGGCAAGTTAAGTGAATTGCGATGATGAATTCTCTTTGCCCCAAATTAACTGAGTATTTTGTGGTATAAATTTTTAAAGCGACCTTTCCGGGTAAACACATTACATAATGGCGGGCACACAAGGAAACAGAGACATTGATACGTGGAGCTCTCCTGCGGCCTGCAGATTGCCAAGGAGACCGCAGTTCAGGTGGAGCTGTCACCAGCAGACGGATCCACCGCAAGATGAAGGGATCAAATGGGGCTGCCAGTCCCCAGCCACCCATTTCAACCGCCGAGTAACGAAATAACAATAAGCAAACATTAAAACTTGACGAGCGAAACTGTTCGTGCGCAGTTGAGCAGCACTTAAAGTAATAGAAAAGCTGTCGCTTTGAGCCATTATTTCGGCGGCGGAGGAAAACTACTGGAAAAGCGAGAGCTTGCGGGGGAGGTGCGGAAACTTTGAGGGTTTAAAATGTTGCCAAATTAATTCGCTCGTCAGAGTCCTTGACTCTGCAGAAGGCTTTTGACACTTGGCAAACAATTGATATTAATTAAGCCCGAGTGACTTTCGGCCAAGCAACAAGTTGACAGTTGCCAGCAAAGATCTGACACAGCTTTCATCGGGACCAGAAATAAAAATAATGATGGCGGCGATGCTGACACGCCACACTGAGCGAAAGGGGCTTCTCTTTATACTGCGGGGAATGTTTGAGTTGGATTCACATTTTTTTTAAAGCTTTGTATTCTTTTGGAAGGCTGCTGTTAAACTCCTTTTTCTAGTAACACACCCCCAAAAATCAACCTTTTTGCCCAGTGTTCGTCGTTCGCAGCTGCTTGTTTTGTCTTGTAAATTGAAATGGCTTTTCGCGCACCATCGGTCGGCTCACAAAGGACCAAGGCAGCCGCACGGAGGGATGGGAGCGACCATCATGGGTCCCTTTATTCCACTCGCTTTCGAGTCTATTGTTCGGCGGGGAAACGTCGAAAGGCAGCTGCCACAGAGCAAACATATTTAGGTCACCATGGTATTCGGAATACATATCTCTCTATGATGCTGATAGAATTGATGGTTCTGGAGTGGGCTGAACTGGTCTGGACTGGGAGGGCAGCAGTAGCCAGGCCGCAGAAAGCGGATTACCTGCACTCGCTTGCGTTGCCGACCGCACTGCAACGGTGCGTGTAATTAATTTCGGCGCAATTAATATTGCTCATACGCCAGCGCGTACGTGGCCAAAGCAGCCGCGGCCTTGGGGCTTCTATAATTAGACAAACGGAATCTGCTCCACAGGCTCCCGGTGATTTCGGTGCTCCTGTTTCTCCTGATTGCTCTTGTGAAATTTGATTCTCCAGGGAAATCAACACCACTTGTTTTGCACCCACCAGCATTACACAATCGAGTGGCCTCCATTAATGCCTCGCCAGACACACATTCTCACGACAGTCACATCATTGTCCTCGGCGACAGCAATTTCAATTTCCCCTTGATTAATTCCCCATCAGATTGCACCCGGCCAATTAAAGCGGCCAGAATCGTAGGGAGATCTCCGCAAATTAGCCCCGAAAACATTCGAAGTTTGTGCTGCTCTGGTTGGAGGATTGTTTGGCTTGGGGTATGCAAATTACACAGACTAATCTGCATGAGAATTCGAGTGGAGGGGCTGCATTCTCGAGTGGATGCCAGGCCGAGATAATTGCCGCAATAGAGATAGTCGGGAACTTCGGACAAACAATGACAGCGGGTCAGGGGTCAGGGGTCAGCAGCTAGAGCTACGTGATAAGGACCCGGCCATAATGCTTAGCCCCTCTCCGCAGATCTAGTGCAAACATTTGATTTTGTTTACATGCGCAGCAAATCGATTCAGAGTCACGGAGGCCCAGGACTTGGTCCTCTGCCCTCGCAGCTCCTGCATAATTCAATAGCTTTCCCAGCCTCTCGGTCTGATGCAATCGACAGCTCGCAAAATGTGTGTGGCTCTGAGCATTTTCCGGGCCAATAAATTTGATTACAGCTCACCCATTCCACCTGCCTTTCGCTAGCACTCAGCCCGAAAATGTGACGACTCAAGATGAATGCCAGAGCCCGGGAATCGAGACTGCTGATGGGTAAATGCCATTAAGCCGACCGAGATTGCCTGCCAAACCGAGCTCGTTAATTCCGCTCAGACAGGAGTTGGTGTGGCCCACAATCAGTCGGCTTAGGGGCTCTTCTCTTTGGAAGGGTGCGAAAACCTGCGGGAAACTCTGACTCAGACTGCACTCGACGCTCGATTTTCAACTGCAGCTGCGGCGGATCAACGCCAATTCTGCCAATCTACGATGGCTGCTGAGTAATTGAAACTAATTCTCAAAGCAAACCTCTTGCCTTCGAGGTACACTGCAAGAAAAAACTCTAGATTGGTCAAAAGTAGAAAAACATAAGCTTGGAAGTGAATAAAATAATTTATATTTTCATTGTTTTTATCTTTCAATTACAATGTTTGCCAAATCGAGTAGAAAAACAAACGAATTTCAATATACATGCTGAAATAGTTTCAAATACTTTTTCTCTCAGTGTCGAGTCGCCACACGAACTGTATCTGATTTCAAAGATGATTTCATGCGAAGGTTTGTATTGCATGCATTTAATTAAAAGTTTAACTTAAAGGCATAAATTCTATAGTATGAGAACTGGAATCTGAAAACTGGTCCACCCTAAAAGCACCAATTCGATCGGTCTCACTTGTGCAAGCCGCAATTGGATTAGTTCCTAATTCAATTCGTAGTAAAGTTCGATGAGCGAAGTGAGTTTGGCAGCCCAAATTGGCAAGATTTGGGGATTTCAGTTCGAGGAAAGGTAATATGGAGAATGGATTGGTAAAGTTGGATGGTCAGGTGCTAGAAGTTCGAAGATAGACTTACCGATGAGTTCTCATCGCAATGGAGCAGGCCGTAGAAGTCCTCGTTGGGACTGCGTTTATAATTGATTATGGCATCGACGGCGCTCATTGCGTCAGTTTATCGTGGGATTGGTTGGGATATATGTATATATATTTCTGTAGAGGATAAAATTGGCACAAGTTCGATGGTAAGTATTAGTTAAAAGCTATTTTTACAGCGTTCAAAATAAGGAAAACGGTTTTTCGCTTTTATTTCATTTCATTCAGAACAACATTTAAAGCACTTTTCTCTTAGCTTGCGTCCGATTTATTAAACCTAAGCTTAACTTGTTTTTGGTTTTTCAAAAGAAGAAATTGGTAACTCAATTGGACTCAAACTGTACCAAAATTGTGGCAATCGAAGGGGATCGTGTGGCCTTCAATTTGGTATCAATTAGAAGCTAAAAAAAATAATAACAAATTCACAGAAGCGAAGTCGCTTAGTAATCAGTTGAAAGATCTGGTTTTGTTTTGGTTTTTGGTTTGAGTTTTTCGTTTGTTTTGCTGCGGTTGGTGGAAGCACTTTCACTTGTTGTTTTTCTGAGTGGTAAGGTTTTTTGTTGGCGGAGGGAAAAACTTTGTTTGTTTATTGCAACCCGCTAGAAGTCAAATTAACCAAACATTAACTTGTCGTGCACTAGAACACTCTCAATCTCTGTTTTTACTCCCACTCTCTGGGAATCCCACTCTATAAAACATATATAGTTTTCAGGTTATATACTTCGGGTTAAGCGGTGCTTACGATGTTTCTGGCAGCGCGTCGAAAGTCGAACTGGCGGACGGCTGCCTCACGAAACTCGCCTCGGTTCGTTTTCCACTTCGGATGGGGAGCTTCGAGATGGGAGAAAGTTCTCTCTCGGAAAGCTCCAAAGCCCCACGGTCCCCGGGCTTTGTAAGCTTGGCTCCAACCAAGTTTTATGAGCTTGATTACGGGGAATTTAAGACTCAGCTTGGTGTTTCAGCTGCTCAAATCCATGACTCAACGGGGGAATACCCTTTTGTTAAAACCCCTGGTTAAACCTTTTTTATTACTACCTTGAAGCAAGTGGTATCACGAGAAAGTTATAACAAAAATATATTACCAGGTTTTTTTCATTCAAGTTCACTGTTTATTATTACAACCACAGATCTATATTTATAAAGAATAATTGACCTAAAGCCCAAAGTTGTGATACATTTGGTTGATGTCTTCAAAAACTGCATCAGAAAAAAGGCTTTCAAAAAGCTTCAATGAGAGAGCTTGTGCTATAAAATATTTGTGCCATAAAGCCACCAGCCTACGACCACTTGTTGCTGTCCTGCTGGAAATCTCTTCCTATTTCCCACTCCGCGCCAATGTCAGAATTTGTTAAGGGGAAATTAATGCTCCACCCGAAAAAGAAAACTCATCAATCTGAGGCCAGCTGCTCGGCAAAAACTTTTCCCCAAATGAAGTCAAATCGAACAGCGAACAAATCCGAACTGAAAATAACCGAGCCGGAGGAGCATTGGTTTTCAAATTAAGAGAGCCAGCCGAGTGTGAAGGGAAAGTTTGCAGCAAACGGAAACGAAATTGAAAACTGTTGCATACTTCGGGGCGGAGTAGGTCCTCCAAAAGGAGGCCTAGACCAAGGACCACCCACAACCACCCTAAACCACCGTTTGGACAACCCAGAAAAGCCGCAGTGGGCGAAAAATGATTTCCGTTCATAAATCATCATAATGGCGAAGCAGGCATATGTATGTCTGGCAGAAAAACAGGGCCAGAACCAAATGAAGATGAAACCATTTGACCAGCCAACGACGGTGGCTCCTGTGGAAAAGTGCGCCCGTGCGTTTGTCTGTCACGCACACAGACGACGGGGAAAAGGAAACCAGTTCATCGATTGAGACCAGTTTATCGACTAGCAGATATCCAATACTTCGGGGTTTACACAAACCAGCTTAGTAGTCCAAATGTCGCTTTCCAGACTGCCAATACATTTCGTACTTTTGCAATGGGCCTCAAACATGGTTTTCTAATCTGAAAATCGGTATATTGACCAAAAAATTTTTAAAAAAAATGGTCCAAATATGGAATGTCATATCTCTGTGAGCTTGTATTTACACCAGGAATCGATTGGCATTCAAATCCAGAAAATTTTATTTTTGAACGATTTCCGCAAAAAATGATGATGTTACCCCTTATCAAAAATGCGTGGATAACTTAGGTTGTTAGCTGTAAAAATCAGTCATTGTTTTTGCTCTGGGGCCCAATTTGACCAAGTTACGGCCAAAAAACTGAAAGCAATGATCTAATTTTTGACAATAGTCAATGCACTCAGGTAGAAAAAAGATTCTCGCTTCAAAGTAAACGTTCGTTCTTTCAGTACGTATAAAAAGGATTTACTGCAGGGTAGTAACCGGAGATTCCTTTGCTTATTTCGTGTGCCGGGTGGCAACACACACACATGCGTGGTGTGCGTGTGACGTCAACAAATGGAGCTGGAACGAAATGAAACGTTTTAATTAGACAAAAGAGCAAGGCAACTATTTATTTCCATTTCTGCTTCGACTGTTTACTGTCCACAGCCCGCAGGGAAGCTGCAGATACAGATACGACTGCTGGCCCAGATACAAATACGGAATACTTAGCAACCATTCCTGTACAACGCATTCCTTTGGCTTGTGGCCTGCAGCTGATGATAAACCCCTCTGGCCAGCACTGTTGCAATGCAGCCCCCTTTCCATTCTCTTTGAAGAATCCCCCGTAAGCTTTTCTTACACAAAGAGAAAAGGTAACAGTCATTACATAAGTAGAAGGTATAAAAAATATTATACATTTAAACATTTTAGATACATAAATATTTTATCAATGTCAACCAATGACTTAAAAAGATACTATTGTATCTAACAGTTTTGTATTTAACAAATTTGATGTGTTTGTAAAAGTGCACTTCTGCGGTGAGTGTTGAGACCCACTTGGATTCCGATAAGCGAACATTTTCCGCAGCATGCTTGCGAGGGCAAACATTGGCGGTGGCCAGAGAATTGCTAGGAAATTGCTCATACGCCGGGTGTGCGGGGCAGACTATCCCGGCAGAGATTCTTCGCCACTGCAGATTTATGCATACCAGAGCAGCAGTGGCTGCAACAGATTAGAGGCATTCCATTGCTCCCTGCCGAGCTGCACCCGAAAGTATGCTGTGCGAATCGCTCGTATTTGCAGTTTCCGTTTTATTTTCCCAGAATTGCATTCCGCCCACCGCCCGTGTTTGTCTTTTTCTTCATTTTCCGGCTGCTACTGCTGCTGATACTAACTGCATTTCGCTTGAGTTAAAGGAGAAATCGCAAGTCAAACATGTCGAGTGGCAGTGTGCGTGTGTGCCAGCAAGCAATCTGAACTTTTCAATGGTCGATTGCCAGCTGCCTTCCCCGATTTTACCAGTTTCCCAGTCTGCGCTCCGACAGCTCAATTAATGGACGGCATGCAATGGAAATTCTCCAGAAGTTGACAGAAATCGTTTTCGGGCCTTCCGCTTTTGCATGCCGGGGAAAATCGAGACTGAAGCGAAACTTTTCTTCATTTCCCAGAATTATCTACACATGAATCTTGGCACGGAATTTCCCCTGGTCTTATTTTTCCTCTAGGTCAGCGAGAGTCAACGACACTTGGCAAACGACGACGCATTCAAATAAAGTCGAGGTGGAGGAGCAGGGAAGGAGGCCTACACAAAGAACAAAATACTACAAATCGTTGATCGACTCAATATTCATTTGAACAAAGTAAACAAAAGTATTATTAATTCTGCTTTGTATAATATAAAATATACTGAATAGAAAATGAGCCTTAAATCAGGAATTTATATCTGCAATTTTGCCACCTTCAAGGGAGATGATTATTTTTTCTGTGTGGTAAGTACAAGCAGCACTAGCTTGTTGGCTTCTAATAAAAAGCACTTCATTTACTTTGTGCAATTTACAACTGTGAAATAAACAGGGAGACGCCAAGGCCAAGGAGCTCTGAAAAGTGGCTAAGAGGAGCGTGTGTGGCAGGGTGCGCACATAAGCCCGGAAAAAGGAAGTGCGGTCACGCCTTGGTTGCTCTTGTCACCCTTTGTATCCTCGGATCTGTCGACGCTTTGTTTTATATCCCCCACTCGCCACCATTCGGAGCAGTTCATCTCCTCCCAGTTTGTTTTCCATGCCTCTGTTTGCCCTATAATTTATTTATGCATGTATTTTATTAAAGACTTCCATGGCGTCGTTTCGTTCCCGTTCTCGTTCTCGTTGTCGTTGTCGTTGTCGTTATCGCCGCTGTCGTCATAGCAGGCCATCCCCAGTCAGTTGTTGACAAAGAAATTACTTATTAATCATATTTGAGCGCTGATTTCTCGACGCCAAAAGGATCACGAGCAGCTGTGGTGAGATATATGCGTGCATCAACAGATGGCTGTGAATATATGTCACTGCAAAATAAACGTGGAAATACCCACATTAAAATAATATTTTAATCCAATTTAATGAAGTTAAGTAATGGAGACATTACCTCTTCTTAGTATTATTAACCTTTTTTTATAAGGTATTTTTTGAACATAATTAAAAAGCATCTGATTATGTTACCACTATTTTCCTAGCCTCTGCTGTGCGTTTGAGTGTTTCAGTGGCTTCGGATGTGTGTTATCTCATGTTATCCTTTGGCTTTTCCTGCTGTGGCTTGTCTGTCATCAGCGTGGTCTTCCACATGCAAACAAGCATGTGCACAGCCACCGGGGAAGGAGTTCCTGCTCCATTTGGTGGCTCTGTTCATAACCCTGCATCCCGACCACACTCCACATAATTGCATTTGCTCATCAGAGACACGTCCATTGGACGGATCTATATGCAGGCATTTGTACCGCTTCATGTCGCTGCGCTTGCCGAGCTAGAAAGACATTTTCGAGAATTAATTTTAGAAATTTCGTCTTGCGTATGCTTGGCGCTTTGTTTACACAGCGATCGGGGCGAAATCGGGGGGCGTTCGCAACACTTGTCTTTCATATATCTTGCAGTCCGAGATGCGATACAGGAAGTCCGCACGTCGCTGTCAAAACGAAGCCCCCAAATGCCAGCAATTGAAAGCGTTCGCTAATCAAATCTAAATCTGAATCGGCGCAAAACATCTGAAATCAAACAGAAGGCAACCTCACTTGAGATGGGCATTTTCCGACAGATGCCCCTGCCGAAAGGCACCCTGTACGGGTCGCAATGGATGTGATGCACTGCCTCCGCTCAGCTGTCGAACGCCGGCCACGCCAGAGGAAAAATGAAAAAGAAAATAAAAGGAAAAAGAAAAAGAAAGGCGCTCGAAAAAGGAAAAGACAGCACCAAATGCCGCCCGGCCAAATGGCCAGTTCAATATATTCCGATTCAGAGTTGTTTGCGCACACAGGGTATCGATGGCAGGAAAGGGTTTATTAGACTCAAGAGTGGGATAACAATTTACCATAAAATCAATAATAGAAGCACGATTCCCGAAAGGGTAATGAGCACACTTGAAAACTTGGAATTTATAAATAATGATGGGTAACAACAGTTGAGTATTGGTCAACTAGTCGTATACTTAATATATCAAATCAAATGGGAAATATGTATTTATCCCAAAGAATTATTTTGCATTTAATCTGAAGTTTTCCTAGGTGTGTTTGGATCAACAAAGACTGCTTCACTCATCGGTGTGCGTCTCTCATTTTCTGGCTATTGTTAAATACACCAAAAATAGCTCCACGCACATTGACAAGGAGAGTGCGTGGGTCTGTGACGGGGAGTACGAGGAGTACGGGGGGTGCGGGGAGTAGAGCAGCATGGGAGACAGTGAGTGAGGGGTGAGTTTCAAATTTGACGGGCCGGCAGCCGCACTAATTGCACTCGCCTGGCCAAAAGGAGAAATTGCAACAGGCGGACAATTAGCGAGCGAATTCATTCGCAAGCCTATATCACATTCGCTCAAAGAGAAAACAACAGCCAACCAGTGCACGGCGAGAAATGTGGCATTCATATTTTCACAAAATATTTGATAGCAAGTTTGTTAACTAAGATTTGGAATTATTTAAACTCTGGTAACGTATAGGGCAGATTTAATTAGAGTTACCGCTACTTTACTTATTTTACCTAATTTTTCTCCGTGTAGACAGACATAGTAAAACTGAACGGAACTGAAAGCAACAAAAGTTTTGAAACGCCACGAAGATCAACGTTCAAAATTGAGCAGACGTCAGCAGAAGATCGGCAGAGAAGAGAGTGGAGACCTAGTGAGAGTGTGGAGAAGCCCCTCTCACGAGCAGTCGGGATCTCTGCCTGTCCTGCTTGCTCTTGGGCCTTCCCCATTGGGGGACCCATCCCCACTCGACCCTCCGGGACACAAGCTGTCTCGCTCTGCTCTCCGGCGTCGGTTCCGGTGGCAGAAGACAAAATCATTCTAACTAGGAAAATTAGAAGAAGCTAAAACAGAGGCAGCAAGTAGAAGACCCGTGATCGTGTAATTCGCCTCGTGTGCGTTCCGTTTTTCCGTAATTATTCCGGAATTGTTTGTGAGGCAGACTGAAGGGATGCGTTTCTGATGCCAAATCTTTCAATTTCTTTCGCTTTCTCCCCGTATTGTCATCGCGGTTTTACGTTGTTCCGTTGTCCCATTGTTCCGTTATTCCGTAGTCCCATTGTTCCGTAATTCCCGTACTCTCGTTTTCCGTTTTCCGTTGTTGTCGGGCCTTTCGTCGCCGCTAATAGGCTTTACGCTTTACAGTTCGAAAATCATCCAGTTCCCGAGAGGATCGAAAGCTCTAGCCCTCCGTAGAACCTAAAGGATCTGATAGACCCAATAGGAGTACCGTTATCAAGCCGAAAAACAAGTTACTAAAAAGCCAGCGCGCCGTGAAATTCCACTTGTTTATATAATAATTTGCGGCTGCCAAGAGCCCAACAGAAAATACAAAATATATTCAGTTTTTGTAGCTCTGGTCGTTTATATTTTTTCAGGCTGAAAGAAAGAAAAAAAAACCAAGCATTTCTGCGTGTTATGTGTTATTGTTGTGATCAGTGATCTGTGGATCAGTGGAACGAACCAAGTGAAAGTGAACACAAGAACGAAGAGAAAGCAAAGTGAAACAACTTGAGTCCTACCAGAAAGGGAATACAAATCAGAGATAATGTCGGACATTGAGGATGTTTTCGGTGGCTCCGCCGAGGAGACCAAGCCCGAACCCGATGCCGAAAGCAAAACCAGCGTGGTCACCGAACATACCGAGGAAATAATCCCCGGAGAGACCGAGAAAATGGTCACGGAGACCATCGACGAGGACGGCGATGTCGTGGAGGAAACCACCGAAGTTACCCGCAAAACGGTGAAGCGCACCATGAAGATCACTGAGGCAAGTACACTTTGATCAATTATTCTGTCCTTTTTGGAAAAACTTCAAATTTTCTCTACCACCGTTAAAAAAAAAAATAGCCCAAAAGAAATATGGTTCATAGTCATATGCACATTGTTTGTTAATGTCGTTATAAGAATATTTGAATTTGAAAAGAATCCGATAGGCTTTTAAGGATATTTGGAAATTTTTAATTGAAACATAAAGGTTAAGTGGAAATACCCAAATATTTTCAAGTTTGTTTTCAAATGGAAACTTTTAAAAACTTGTTTGTTTTTCAAGTGTTGTTTGCGCAGTTTTTCTGTGGCAATATACCACAAACGAAATATACATAAATAAAGATGTTCATTTTAAAAAACATTGTTATTCCATTGATTAATAAAAACAACAGTTTTGGTATATGACAAACATATGAGTAAAGAAAATCGTCTCAAAGATTTTCTCGATTAATTGCCATCCCTGAAACGTTTCTCTTATGAAACACTATAAATCATTTTCCACATTTTCTGAAGGGATCTGCGGTTATACTGATCTCTTTTCTTGTGATTTTGGCCAAAACATGGCAAACTCTGGCTATATTATTTATACCAAATGCCATTTCTCTATGTGCGTCTTAACAAATTGTTTATACGGTCCCACGAATATTATAAATCTTCATCTACATTATATCACACACACTGCAACATAGCCATAGGCGGACATATAGGCGGATATATATATACTTGTATAGCTCTGGTCCGCCACACTTTCTATAGGCGACGTCGACGAAGAAATGCCAACAAAAAAAAATAAAAAATGTAAGGAGGGGAAAACAAATTTTGCAGCTGTTTGATTTCGGCGCAAATTATCACAAAAGATTTAGAATGGCAAAGCGCATAAAAAACCAAAAATTAAATTATTATTAAGAAAAAATCACTTAAATACTCGATGCTGAATGATGCCAAAAAATCCCCACAGTCGGGAAAAATGGGGAAAATTAAATGCAATAAATTCTGTGCCGACAACAAATGCACAATTCAAAAAACAAATCCCAGAATAAAACCGAAACAGCATCTTGTACCAAGGAAAAATACGTTCTTAAAAAAGTAACAAACAGCAAAAAATAAATATTGAGGTTTCCGTGTCTTGCGGTCTGGCGCGCACTGAAGAAAGCGGGGAGGTGCAGGCTGGTGGTGCTGGCTGGTGGTGCAGGCTGGTGGTGCAAGTGGCGGGCAGCAATTAATTGCCACAAATCGTTGCACAAAATTACAAATTGCATTTCCGGCTTGGCGGGGCAGCCACGCATGCAGTTTCCTCCGCCGCTTTTCCGTCCGTCTCCCCCGGAGATCTTCGATTTTTGCGCTGCCATTTTACGACTGTCTGGCCCCCAACCCAGAAAACCCCACCCGCTTCTCCCTCGTCGAGTTTTATGGCAGCCAAATTAAATTTGCATTGCAATTTGCTTTTTTTGGGTCGGTCTCTCGGCCTTTTCTTGTTTTTATGGGCCCGAAATGGAAATGAAAACGCATGAGCTCTGTAAGCCAGTGCCTGTGGATAAGGATAAGGGGCGGAGGGCCCCGGCATATGTCCGTATATATGTATGTATTCGGTGCGTATGTGTTCCGCCCGGAGCAGCTTAGCAAACTAATTGCGCCGACGAAGTCCGGGTTCGTTGCTGAACTCATGAACTCATGAACTGCTGAACTTCCCACTTTCCCTTTTCCTTTCCTTCGCCGACTTTCCCGCTGGCTTTTCCCGGCAAAACCCGGCTAATGAGTCACGTAGCGTTTTTGTCATTTTTATGCGCTTAACAGGTCAAAGTTCCAGCCGCAAGGATACGTGACCGAAGTCGAGTCCGAATTGAAAATGCAAAATTAGTTAAATAAAGTCGGAGATCTGCTGGGGGCTTCTCCGCCTTCTGCTCTCCTCTCCTTATCTTAAATTCAAGCTTACCGGAAAACTGTCATAAATTTCACGGTTGATTTCACGGTTGTCGTTTGTTTGTTGATTTGATTCGCTCATTACACTGGTGCTATTTTAGCAGTACAGGGTACGAATTAACGTTAAGGATATGCATTCTATGAGACTCATTACGATTAACTAGACTAAGTTTTTAGTTCATAAAGAGTTATATATTTACATGGTTAGCTTTATTGGTTTGTATTAACTCTTATTAAAACTACTGGTAGTGCCTTTTTTAATTCGAACGACATGCATCTTTAGGTTATTGTTGAACTCCCAAATGGGCGGTTGGTGCTCCGTATCTTCACCCATACTGTATCCCGCCGTCATCGGAATGTATTTAAGCAAATCTTTGCTCTGCTCCGCCGTCCTGCTCAAATGGGGCATGCTAATTTGTGCAACAAGCCGTAAACTCCCATAACCAGGCAGTACATACACACATGGCGAGTAAGTCCGCATACGGATATTGGGGGACAAACAGGGATAATGGAATTTCCTGTGGCCTCCGAGTCTCATTGTCCTGCTGTCCCGTCCAGGATTCCCTTGATTAGACATCATAATATTGAACAGAGATTAATTGGAAATCCACGAGGGGCCAGCTCAGCTCTGAGGGGATTTAGTTGCGGATAATGGGAGGATATTCCAGGGGAAAGCCATTCAGAGTTTTCCGAGCGATTAGCCAGGCCACGAATCAGTATCGTGGACCGCAGCGATTTGCCCGATGATTTTATTGTGCTTGCTGGCATATTAAATTGTTTTGAAATTCGCCAGCGCATTCCGCAAACTGCGGAGAGCCGCAGCGCTAATCAGGGCAGGGACAGCTGTCTCTGCACCACCCGCAAGCCACCCACCACACCTCCTCCTGCACCACCAACCCTACCAACCACTATAGGGTCCCTGCGCCCTTCAACCCCTTTCATTGACAGCTGTCAACGCCGTGGCGCCTCTTGAAGTCCAAACAAATATTTCACTGGCAGCCATTGAAACGTGTATTGCAAGTGTGTCTGTTTGGGTTGAATATGAATACACCGAAATAAAAAACTCAGTACCTTCAAGTGAAGGAAGGAGGTAACACTTTTCAGGTTCTCCATCTTTGCCAAAAATGCTAAAAGGTATAATAAACAAAACTTCACGAACCTTCTCCTTAGTTTTAAACTGTTATGCTTTTTATTTAATGGCTCTGGATTTTTCCTTGAACATTTTCCCGCAGTGTATTTCTAACTGTAAGTGTGCGTTGGTTTTTTGAAAGGCGTGACAAAACAAGACAGACATTTCAATGTCAGGCGTCTCTTGGCCTTTGACGCTCGCTTAGCTTTCATTCACTTGTTGCAGTTCCCAAGGAGATTCCACCAGATCCCTCCCACCCCTCCACCCCTCCACCGATCCACCCTTTGAGAGAACCCCCGCCTTGTCCGAGTTTTCAGTACATTTGGTCAGTTATTTATGCGCTTCGCTTTCATTTCGCTGGCTGTTCGTTTCGTTCGTTTCTTCTCGTTCACGGTTCTGTGTTTTATTTATTTTTGCCGTTTGGCTGTTCAAACAATTTATAATTTTAATGCACACACAGGCCCCCGCCACTGAATACAATCGAAATATGTTTATATAATTGAAAAGCAAACGTTTTGCGTGAAAACATAAGGCGAATATCTGTGGGATATATAGTATGCTAGCGTTCATGCTGGGGTATATAAATAAAACTGCCAAATTGTGTACACGGGGCGTATGATGAACGTGCCATTTACTCTGCTCAGCGATTTGCCCTCTCCCTCTTTCTCTCTCTCATCAAAATTTCTCTGGTGAGAACTCGCTTTATGACTGGCACATATTTCATTTAATTTTCAAACACCACTAGCTTATTTATTTATCCAGATCAAATCGAAAATCGCCTCTCCGGATTCTTTGACCTGCCGCAACGGAAGTTTGCCATTGCTCAGAGTCTCGAAACCCCGCTGGATTTTGCAGAGCGTTACATCTCAACCAGAATAACAAACAAATAATTTCATTGTATGCCATAAGCTTCCGCCAGCTTCGGGCGGATATTCTATTGAAAATTTATTTCAATTACATTTGAGCGTGCCGCAAAATCTCGACGAATAAAATTCAATTTACAAAATGTTTTGCGTAGTTTTCTGCGTGCTGGGCGAGGAAACGGTAAGAGGAAAGTTGGGGCTCAGGAACATTGTTTTCTGTTGGCGATTGGATGAGGAAAATTTGCAGATTTTCCTGAGCACTTGTAAGCACCTAAGGCAAACGATTCAAAGCCCAAATGCAAATGAAAGCAAGACAATTAGTTGGAAATTGGCTGAGTTTAAGGGATCAGACTGATTGAACCGAAGTTGTGGCCCTAGGTTATTAGCATTTTCCTTCGATAAATATGTAGAGCTTTGTAAATTAGTTTGGCCGAGTCGATGTTTGCCTAACCCAATTAAACAACAAATTATCAACAGCTCGGCGACTGCAAACTGACACTTGCTTGTTTACACAGAATCATCTTGTGGCTTCCATTTTCCACATTTCCCTCTCAAATCAATGCAAATAAATAATCCCCATTAAATTGTATTTCCATTTAGATGATGAACAAGCCACTGACCCCTAAATCCGGTCTATAATTCCATATGCCGAATATTGACATTCGGCCATGCTCTCAATTGACTTTGTTTTTCATTGGTGCGGTGCAGAAAATCCATTTATTTGATTCTAATTTGGCCAAATCGCCCTTAGGCCACATTTCACGGAACAGAAGTAGCTTTTCACGAGTGTAAATCAGTTGCAAGGGTAATAGAATATCCAAAATCTATTTTAACTTTTTTAAATACAAACAAAAATTATCGAACAGTGGCAACCACTTTCCTATGAAAACAACTTTTATTAAAACAAAAGTATATAATAATATTGAAACATTTATAACACTACTCGTTGCGAAACGCACAGCTTCGATAATTTATTCAGCTTTCGTACTTATTTTTTCGTTGACTGCTTTATTTTTTCGAGCGCTGCAAATTAACGAATGTAATTATTGCAGTCTGGCTGCAATTTGCGGTTAATGGGCCCATTAATAT